GGCCGCGCTCTAAACAGGAAGTAATACTGCAGCGTCATGATGGAGCGAAGCAGCGCACAGTTTCTTTCTGACAAAAACAAAATCCAATCTGTGCACAAGCAGTTCAAGAGACGAGTTAGAAAAACATATACATTTCTTTTTAGAAATCACGATTATATTCTTGGGATGTCATAACTTTATACTTGCAATATATTATCACTGAATTTGACATGTCAGTGTTTAACCCATGTGGCCAGGTTTGATATTTTTGCCACTGTTTGCATCTTTGCATTGACTTTCAGGCCCTGTTTACACAACAACGGTTTCAGCTGTAAACAATAACCTCGTGTCACACTTTGCCTGTTAGTTTACATGACAACAGCGTTTTCGGGTGCCTGCAAACAGAACGTTTTGAAAACAGGTTCCAAACTATTAAAAACGGCATCGTCTCCCTCACTGGAAATATAATGTTCCCCTGAAAATGTGGACATTTCACACAGGTACATCATGCTTTCAGTCAATAGCCCACCTTGAGTTGATGGACTACAACAGTGGTCTGTGCAGCTCACTCCCAGTTGACATTTGATTCTTGTAGATTAGTGACTTGTAGCAACCCCCACCTCTTCATAAACATTTGTGCGTTAGCCATTTTTTTACATTTTTACACCTCACCACTCTGTAGAAGAGAGAGCATGTGAGCATGCATGTGTCATTTATTAGAAAGTAACACCGCCAACTACTGGTCTGTCAGGTAAACTGCAGCTTTTTTGTGTTTTTTTTTTTTTTTTTCAGGGATCTTTGTGCAGGATGTTTATCGAAACGTTATCAACTGAACTTGGAACATTTTTGAAAACACAAAAAAGATTTCCTATTCAGTGGATTGTTCTGGTCTTATATTGATTCTTTAACAGTTTTAAAGTCTCCATAAGAGGATTTAACAGCATCATAAATGAGGTGTAAAACATGTGAAGGGTCTTGTAAGACAGAGCATCTTAGAAAACTCTGCAGCATGACCGTTAATAAAAGGATGTGATGGCGTGTCTTTGATGTCACTGATCACATGATGAGACTTGAACACACAGTTAACAGTGACTGCGTGTTCTGACTCATCTCGTGTGTTTGAACAGTCGATAAGGATGCTCACACACTCACGCAGAACGATAGAGAGAGAGAGAGAGAGAGAGAGAGGTGTTCACGTCCTTCAGGCATTCTGCCAGGGCCACAGACTCAAACAGCCAATCAGCTGCCAGGTGACACAGAGGGTGGTGGGCAGGCGGCCAATCAAGGCAGAGTTTAGTGAGCGCCTACAGGAGCGGCTCATCTGGTCTGACTGGATTCTCTCTCTGACAAGACGCCCGCTGCTTTCCTCTTCTTCTCTCACTTCCTTTTTTGTTGCAGTCACTGAGTGCTGACTCCGCCCCCTTCACTTTTTCTCTCCTCCATTCTCTTAATCCTCGGCTCTGTCCATGCGGTATCTGTGTGGATTGTGAAATATTGAAATCAATACCATTTCCTGTAAATGAGTGTGAAGTCTCTCCTACTCTCCTCTTCTCTCGTCTCCTTTCCTCCTTTGTTTTCTCTCATCATTTGCCATCATATCTTGTTTCCACCTCCCCTCTCTTGATTCCTATTCCTAAATGGATTCATTTTCCTCGTGCTGTGTGCTCTCTTGTATCCTTTATTCCTCTCTCCTACCCTTTCTCCTTCATTATCTCCTTGCTTGTTTTCTCCCCTCCCATTTCATCTCCTTGTGACCTCTCCTTGTATGTCTCCTGCTATTTTGCACCCTTTCTTCTCTTGTTTCATTTTCCCCTTATTTCCTCTACTGTCATCCATTCCCTCTCATCTTTTACCTCTCCTCCTCTCTTGTTTCCTTTCCTTCTTTCTCTCCGCATCTGTAGTTTCTTCTGTTAACTTTTCACCTTTTCTCTCTTGTTGCATCTCCTTTCCTTTCCTTGCTTCCTCTCCCCTCCCTTGTCTCCTCCAGGCTCTCTACACTTGTTCTTGCCTGTCAACCAAAACCAGAGCAGCATTCTTCAACACACACACACACACACACACACACACACACACACACACACACACACACACACACACACACACACACACACACACACACACACACACACACACACACACATTCCTCATCCTGCTCGGCGGGTTATTTTTACCGCCAGTAATGTTACAGGCGCTCTGATGGCCGCCGGCCTGCTTTCACACTTGGAAGCATCTTTTCATCCACACGCCGTTCTCAGGTTCTGCACCGTCATTCCTCCTGTTTATTCCCAGTTAACCCAGTTACACTGTAACAGACACTAACCAGCACTCACCGACACCACTGCTGGTTAATGTTTCATGACTTGTGAATCCTAGTTAGACTTCTTGAAAAACTTGGAAGGCCGCACAAACAGAAGAACGACACTTGAACAGAGTGTTTGTTAACTGCACATTTGATCAGTTCTTTATGTCATTGTGTGATTATTTGAAATGATGCTTCCTTTTTGAAATCAGCCTCCTCTTCCAGCAAAGTTAGATTTTTTTTTTTGTGGGCTTTAAATTAGAGATAGGACAGTGGATAGAGTCATAAATCAGAGAGACTGGGGAGTGATATGTGGGGAAGGAGTCACAGATTGGATTCTAACCCGGGCCGCACGCCTCGAGGACCACAGCCTCCGCGCATGGGACTCTTGTAATTTATCTTTGCAAGTCTAATCCATTATCAAGACATTAGCAGCTCTTTCTATCAGATTTAGCGCCGCTTTAAGCTGCATCTGGAGCCTTTTAGCGCTCCAAAGCTACAAAACAATGCAACAGGCCCCGTCAGAACAAAGCTAAAGTGAGTTAGCAAGGGCTAGTTTATTAGCTGCTGGCTTAGCGGGAGCTTTGTGTGGTGGAGGGAGAACATGGTGATAAACCCTGGGTTAGGTGGGAGCGGTGGCACCTCCCTGTATCAGCTTACACCTCCTCTATCTCCCACAACACTGACGACAGCACGTCAGCGGCGGACACGGAAAAGGTTTTTAAGCTCCTGATTCAAGACACAGGGGACCATGCTTATTATATTTAAAGTGTTAAGATTGAAGATACAATTCTGTACAACAGGGAGATACAGTTTAGATACGCAATTAGATACAGTTTTGACTTATTAATGCTTTATTTGGACATTTCTGACATTTTCCTCCCTCCTCTTTTATCCATCACCTCATTCCTCCTCTTCATCTCTCTCCTCCTCTCTCCCTCCATCCTCAGTTACCTCCTAATTAGTCTTACCAACCCTCTAAGCTCTTAATCTTTCTCTGTTTTCCATCCCCCTCTCTCTCTCTCTCTCCTCCTCATCCATCCATCATCCCTCTATCTCTCATCCATCTATCCATCCCTCTGTAAATACTTCCACAATGCTTTGCAGCCTGTTGCATCTCCCCATCCTGCCACCGTCTCTTTTAACTTCTTTCCCGTTACATTTTTTTTGTCTCTTCCTCCTTCCTTCCGCCATCCATCCCTCCCTCCCTCCCTCCGTCAGTTTGTTCAGTCTAACAGCAGCAGCAGATTATCGTCTTTGTGCAGCACTGATGCTCAGCCCCCCCCCCACACTCGTCACGTCTCCATCAGGAGCTCCACGCTGTCTTTAGCTCAGCTTAGCTCCTGTTTACACTTCACATCACCTTTTGTCTCTTCTTCTCCTTTTCAGCTGTCGTACTAACACAACACAGCATTTACCTCATTTTTTTTTTTAAAACAACATAAACCACGCTGACCTTTTCTTTAAGACATCAAACTTTTTTGCGTCTTTCTTCTCCAGTACATTGGCATTAATTGAGATTTGAAAACAATATTTATTTAATATAAAACGCGCAGGGCAGGCTTTGTAGTTTTCTGAAGGACTATGAACTTATGCCCGAACAATATGGGATAAATTCAAACCTTAAGCAACATCATCCAGAAGAGGAATAAATCACTTATTAACAGTTTAACACAAGCTAAAGTGGACTTTTGTTCTTTTGTATTTCACACCACATTCCTGTTCAAATGACTATGCAAAGGTTCTAAGGCTGCAAAGATATGGTATAAAATATTCTATAAACACATACAGCAGCAAGAATATTATAAGAATAATCAGCCCCTTAAGGAAGGTGCAATGCTGCGTTTGCAAATGTTAAAGCAAGTTTACCCAATTGCTGCAGAATCCCTGCAGTTTTGTCCAGTCACCACAACTTTGAACACAAATGTGATTCATCACCTTGTGTTATCATTGTGTTTATTCTAAAATATATTTTTAGTTATTGTCAGTGTTTCTGACAATTATCAAATGCTTTCTTCCTTTATTACGAATCTGCAGGGTCATAACTACACACCTGGTAGTTTGATTTCTCTTCTCCGGCACTAAGACACACTTTTCATCACGTATCACTTTCTGTTGTCAGCATTAGCCCGTACAACACCTTCTAAAGAGTCATGTTTCCTCTCTTCATAGATACTTTAACCTTAAAAAGGTATAAAAACTAAAATTTGTTTTTATTAAAAAAAAAGCTATAGTTCATTTTTTTTACACTCTTTTTTGTTTGTTTTTATCTGACTTTGCCCCACTTACAGCAGATAGCAGGTATCTTTGTGTTACCCATGATGCACTGGGACACAGTTTGTGTTTCTGCTTGTACACTAACCGTTATCTTAACGCAGTGATAATATCAACACAAACTACCGGTGACCTCTGTACGTTAACAGCAGGGATTCATTGTGTGTGTGTGTGTGTGTGTGTGTGTGTGTGTGTGTGTGTGTGTGTGTGTGTGTGTGTGTGTTACATTTGATGTTCAGATTGTGTGTGTGTGTGTGTGTGTGTTTACATTTGATGTTCAGATTGTGTGTGTATTAGTATGATGCTTCCCTTTGCATTGCACGCTACATTTTTTATGTTGTTTATATGAACTGTGTGTAATTCTTTGTGATAGGTGTTTGTGTTTGTGTTTGTGTGTGTCACTGACTGTCTCTCTGTGCTCTCCCCCTGCAGTGTGAGCAGAGGTTGCAGCAACACACACACAACAAACCCCGCCCCCTCCCGCCCCGCCCTTCGAGACACGAGCGAACGAACGAACGTTGCTTTACGAAAAAAAAAGGACGGGTAAATATGCTCCTCCCTCCTTCCATCCATCCATCCATCCATCCATCCATCCATCAAGCCCTCCATCCTTTTTTTCTGCCGGCTGTCGAAAAAAAAAAAAACCTCATCGCTCTGCCTGCCGCGCTTTCTTTCTTTTTTTCATTTTTCTTTTTTTCATTTTTCTTTCTTTCATTTTTCTTTCTTTCTTTTTCTTATCTTTCATTTTTCTTTCTTTCTTTCTTTCTTTTTCTTATCTTTCATTTTTCTTTTTCTTTCATTTTTCTTTCTTTCACTTTTCTTTCTTTCTTTCACGCCTTGCTTCTGTTACACCATCCCCATATTTTCGTTCTTTACGCAGCATGGCCGTCATCCCTCCATCACCGCTCCTTTGATCCCCTTTTTCATAATTTTCGAAAAACTCTGACCATCTTCCATCCGTTTCAACAAAAATCTCCTACACACACACACACACACACACACACACACACACACACACACACTGTAAACGCTGCATCACCTGCCGCTTCCTCGCTGCTTTCTGCTCCTGATATCTCCTGTCTAAATGAACATGAACAATCATGTCATCATTATGTCAGTGTGGCTCCATCTGTTCCTTTAAATGAGCTGCTGTATGCTTCTATTTGCTCTTTTCTCTGATTATTGTCTTTTTATTGGTTTCTATGTTCTATTTCATGTTTGCAGAAGATCATACCTTGTCATTTTCTGTTGACTGCTTCGTTTGACTGCAGTTTGCAAGTGGAATCCAGCGATTTAAAAAATGAATTAATTGACAGCTCTAGCTTTTTTTTATTACTTTAGAACAATACATGTAAGTCAGCATAATATAAACATTTAATAAGTATGGGTTATGTTTTTTACACAAGTGTTCCCATGTTATGAGAACACATGTTAGCATTTTGAGAACAAATTAAAAACATTTTTAACAGAAAATAAGAAACAAAAGTCATGAAAATAGAATAACACATCATAAAGTTGTTTTGTTAGAAATGTTCTGTTGGACACAACTTTGAACACAAAGTACAAAGTAAGGAGAGGTCAGCTGGGACAGTACACACTGACTGAATGTGTGTGTGTTTGTTCATCTGAGGGAGACAGAGCGAGTTAAGGCATCTGCATCCTGATTGGCTGAGAGCTGGCAGACATTTTCCACAGTCAGGCTGTTCAGTGGTTGGCTGAGACTCTCCCCTCCCCCCTCTGCCTCTTGGCTCTGGTATGCCGTACAGTAGAGCTGGCACACCGTTGATGCTATCTCAACACTTTATCACGTCGGGTCTAAACTCCACATCACAAACACACACTCACTCACGCACACACAGCAGTCAATCTGTAACCCCGCTGCAGGGTAGAGAACTCTCTCTCTATCTCTCTCTCTCTCACGCACGCACGCACACACACACACACACACACACACACACACACACACACACACACACACACACACACACACACACACACACAGTAAGGAAGAGCCTGAAAGACAAGACGATGCAAGAGAGAAGAGGGAGCAGGAGGAGGGGAAGGAGAGGATGAGCAGAGTGAGAGTCGCGCTGTTTCCTTTTGCAACAAAGTTCTGGGTTACATTTTTTTGCAAAAAGTGAAAAGCAGTGCAGGATTTGATGCAATGCATGGCCAATAGTATGTGGAAACCCCTGCCAACTTGCTTGAACAGTTACAACACAAAAGTTACAATCTGGGAAGTATCCAATAAATATCCAAACCTGCAAATACAGTTTATCACCACACAGGATGCTAAAGAGCACAAAACAGAAGCCTTCAGGATTGCTACTTAGAGGTTGTTGCTAATTTGTGCTCATCCTGCAATCAGATCAGAAACAGTTGATGGCTGGATTGGTTGCAGAGAGAAAACTATTTAGTAACGATTTCAAAAAGCATGTGAAAAAAATCAGAGTTGTGTGCTGATTTGACCCCTTTCTCTGCCTTTTAGTAAAAAAAAAAAAAAATTCTGTTCATTAACCATTTAGTTATTTAAAAATAAATCTGCTAGATTTTTCTGTATAAACTTTAAAGTTTCGATGCTAAACAGAAAATCTTTTGGTTTTCAGATATTTACTTAATAAAGTCAATCCCAAAATTGCAGAAAGTCTTTAAACTCTTAGTCTATAGCCTTCTTTCAACTTTGTGTTGACCGTTTGTGTTGGTTCCATCCTGTTTCAACATGACAGGAGCCCCCATACCAGTGCACAAATCCAGCTAGCGAACAAATGATTTTCCCAGTTTGGTGTGTTAGAAACCAGGCATCATCAGTGTTAATGGTCATCTGGCTGAATGGAAGGTGTCCACTTACTTTTGGCCATGTTGTGTGTGTGTGTGTGTGTGTGCATGTATCTGCATTGGGATATTCTGCGTTCAGCTTTGTGAGTGTGTGTCAACAAGTACAGGCAAAGTACTGCAGCGTGAGGAGTGGAGGAAGGAGGGAAGTCAGGAGAGGTGGAGGATGGGCAATGGCAGCTCAGTGTTAGGTGGGGGGGGGTGTTCAGTGAGAAAGAGAGCGAGAATGCCCATCAATCTCTCTCGCCCTGAACACACTCGCACATGGGGAAGCAGCGAAGCACTCTCTTGTGACTCCAGTGAGTGTGAGCTTCCTGTTGTGCTCAACACACAGAGAGAGAGAGAGAGAGAGAGAGAGAGAGAGAGAGAGATTCTTTCGGTTTCTTTAGCCTCTCAGAAAGTTTGGGGACGTGCTTTATCATCCTGCAGCATCAGCATCAGGAGTTTTTCAAATAAATTTCAACAAGGTGTTATTTTCTGGATTTTAAAAAATCATTTTGGCCTATGCTCAACATGTTGAACACAGGATAAAGGACTCCTCTAGATACTGTCCCATTTGTGATTAATTTACTTTATTTAACTTTTTTTATAGTTTATTTACTCCCCTTCATTTACGCATTCACTGAATTTGAAGCAGCCATTTAAGGAGTGAAAAGTAATTGGATGAACATGCTGCAGCTGAAATGTTGATCAGGGTGACTTTAGCCAATCATCTCCCATCCAACACCATTTGAGCAAACATAGCATATATTTTCTTTTTAGCTTTACATACACGTACATTTTCTTAATTTGAGTTTATGCCAGTATGGTACAAAGTTGTATACCTAATAGCAATACATCAGAATTGTTTTCTTACTCAACAAAAAAAACATTTCCATATCAATGGTTTCACATTAATTAAATCAACTCTTAACTTAGTCACACGTGTGTCATTGTGGTTTAAAAGAAAGCCAAAAATACCGTTGCTGCCGTTGAAGCGTGTGCTGACAGAGCCTCAATGTATGTTTTAAGAAATGTTGACTGGAATCTGGTTTTCCCTGTGTGTCTTTGGGGCGTTGTTCTGTATGTGTGTGAGGCCATTCAGAATGAGATGAAAAGATGTAGCGATGGAGACGGAGCGACAGTTAGGAAGAGGTAATAAATAGCCAACATATGGTCACTGGATCCTATCCTCCCCCCCGGCCCGCTCCTCTATCTCCCCCATACATCCTTCCATCCCTCACCCTGTGTCTCTAAGCTAAACACAGACTGTTAGCTGACACCATCGAGGGCCCATGTACAAATATCCCATCCTCGCAAAAAGAGTGATATAAATATAAATAAAGAAGGGGGAGAAAAAAGTGGGAGAGTTAAAGGAGAAAAAAGAGTTGAGGATGAGTCCTGTGGGGCTGTTTGCTTTCTACAGCAGGTGTCACTTTTGTCAGTTTGCCTCTGGCTCTCTGCCTGTGGGGCTGTAAAAGATGCTAGCGGGTTAACCCAGTGCTGCGAATGTTTGTAAGCTTCCAACAGGCAGTGTGCTCAGGTACTCTGGTAAAGATGAAATAAACTTATTTAGGAAAGTATTATCGTCATTTTATGTCATCGTCATAACTACACAAGGTTTAACTGACTAGCATGATTGAGCTAGCAGAAAAGAGCTGATCCACTGCTAGATGTGTCAGACTGTCATTTAGGAGTTCATCCTGTTGCACATTTTCTAAAATGTAGACATTGACTAGAAGGAAAAGTGATCCTTTAAGTTATTGAAAGTGAAAAAATGATATTTGAATAGCCGTTCTCATCTAGGTGCTAGTCGGAACAGCATGGTAAAGCTAACGGAGAAAAGCTGAGTCACTGCTAAAGTTGTCCATGGCAAATTTTTACTCTGGTCCATATGTTACACATTCAATGTGTTTTATATTATATTATTAAGGACCCCTACCTTACTTAAAATCATCTTAAAATAGCGTATAAAAGTTGTATTGAACAATGCTAACGGCTAATATTTGTGTTAAAATAGTAAAAAGACGCAAGTTACAGTAACTAGCAGGGAGTGAGCTATGCCTCTTCTTTTATTTTATTACTAAAAATGCATGAAGTTTCTGTGCTAGTGTATTAGCTTATTTCAAATGATGCCAGTTAAGCCTTCCTGTTAGCATAATTTAGCTCATTAAAATGTAGCGGACTCGAGACATATCTGAGCATCAGTATGCTAAAAATGCTAACTTAAGGTTTATGGATTTGATACTAATGTTGACCGTAGCGCTAATACTTAGCTTCCGAGGGCAAAGTAGCCTGCAGATAAACTACAGAAGACTTTTGTAAATGTATTTTCAGCTTTATTGTTCGTTAAGAGATGAAATAAGAATAAAATATTTTTTGACTAGAATAGTCATCATGATCAAGAGGCTGATGTTGATTTAGTTTGTACTCTTGAGTTAAGTGACCTTAACTTGAAACACGGCCATGCAGAGACTCTGCTGTCCAGATTTTATGTCCCAGCTGTCATGTCAGATGAAGGGAGGCAGGGACGTCAAGGATTTATGGGGCTCAGGTGACGGGAAACTTTTGGACTCACCCTTCTATCCCACACGTCTATCTCATCATCCATCCATCCCCCACTGTCCCTCCTCCTCCTCCTCCTCCTCCTCCTCCTCTGTAATGTCTGTCAGTGGGTTACATCTTCACACAGGTGCCACACACAGCAGGAGGTCTATGTCGTGAAATCGTTGACCTCAGTGTGACTTAAAGCAAAGCATGAGAATGGAAACTGCTTCTGTTGTTGTTCTGTTTGGGAAACCTAATAAAAAAACAACTGGTAACAGGCTAAACAACTTTTTAAAATCCACAAACCTAAGAAGGACAGAGAGACACCTTACTCTGCACAAATAACGAGTATCAAACAGAGGGTCAAATCTTAAGAAGGTCCCATACATACTTCACCTCAATTTCCATCCATTTAAATCTTGTTTTTTTACTTATTTAAAATTGACTCTTTACTGCCAAAATGTTGAGAGTTTCAAAGTTTTTAGGTTTGTTATGTAGCCTACTCTTGATTCTAAAGCTGAAACAGGCGGTCCAATCACAGAATTATCCGGTAACAATTTTAGAATATTTGTCCAAAAATATCAGAAAAAATGAACATCATACTAACAAACATATTTGTACTTCTTTTATAGCTGTTTTGAGGCTTGATTTAAAATTGCCATATAAATAAAAGCTTCAATTATTATTATTTTTATATTCAATTTCAAATCAGACCAAATAGCCCACTTTTACTTGATAGGTAAGAAAACAATCAAATTTTACAATTTTAAAAGTTGGATTCAGACACTTTTCTTTTTTCACATGAATCTAATTTAACTGAAAACTGAAAGAGCAAAAGTATTTAGTAAGTAATCAGGTAAAAGTTGTACTCGAGTCATTTATAATCCAGCCTGGAAGTTGTGAAACATCAAGTATAGATTCAGTTGGTTCAAGCTTCATCAAACTGCATGTATCCATGGCAACATTAATCTGGCTCTACTTCCTAATACATCCAAGTAAACACCCGTTTAACTGACTTGAAAATTACTTTAAAGACTGGATGACAACCCAGGTGTTGTCTTCTTTAGGTAAGTAGCCATGGTTTTAAGGACTTTATATCAAATTCAGCTTTTATTTTCATAAATTTCGATTTCTCTTGTTATTTCTATCTAATACAAACAGATGGGAATGATCCATGGCTTGTTCAATGGATTAGTTATGTTGGGGTTAGAATACATCCCTTAAAGTTAAATTGATTAAGTACAAACCTGCAAGGCATCCATGCTTGTTTGGTTTTACTTTGCAAAAGCTCTATATATATCACAGTTTTAGGATTCTGTGGTAGGTTTCTGTGATGAAAGTGCTGGGTAAGTTACTTTTTTCCATGAACTTGTATGAAAGCTGGCCTTTCAGTCTATTTTCCTGCAGTGAAAGTCAAAATATATTGACTTTTTTAGGTTTTTCTCCATCCTTTCATCCATCTAAAGCACTGCGGCGGCCATGTTGTCAGGTCTTTTCTAAAAGAGAGTCTCCACATGTGTTTAGGAAGTTAAATGAGGCAGAGAGGAGGAGGAGGAGGAGGAGGAGGAGAGGGGGGGGGGGGGGGGAGTGATGAAGTTAGAGAGAAAGGGAGGGATAAATGGAGCAACAGTCTTTGTTTGCAGCACTTTGGCACAGAGAGACAACTTTTCCATCACTCACACAGATAGACCGTTTACTCCCCGGCTCCCACATGGTGACCTTTTTTCTGCTTTTGCATGGATGTGAAAGAATGTCAGGATGTCAGCGCTCTGTGTGTGCGTTTGTGTGCGCACATGTGTGTGTGTGTGTGTCAAAGCTAGTGTGAGAATGACGGCTAGGAGCAGATGCAGTAACATCAGCTATCACACACACACACTCAGTGTATTCATCCACAGACTCATGTTTAACTACGTTGGACTATAGGGTTGTCATGATAGCCGAGATTTTTAAACTTGGATACTGTATGTAGTGGCTGGTTGGGTGTACAACATTGACTTTATTTAACGATGCACAACACATCTCTACCCCTCCTGTTCTACAAAAATGAAACTTAAGTTTTCCTCGTGACGCTGAATACACATTTAGAGTCAGAGTGTGAATAGAAGGGATTGGCTGGTGGAGCCGCAGCATTAACCCCCATTAGCCCCTTTCTCTTACTAAAAAAACACATTAAACTTTGTGATGAAAAGTCAAAGGGGGGGAGGGGGGTCCAAATGTTTTGGCATCATTTTTGTAGAGTTGTCATACGGCCTTTTCTTTTACTTGTGGCCTTGTTCACTCATCTTCTCTTCTCCCTTTTTCCTTCCTGTCCTCCATCCTTTTTTAACACTTCTAATCCTCTCTCTTCCCCTCCTTTTCCTTCCCTTCTCTCTATCCAACACCCCTCCTCCTCCTCCTCCTCCTCCTCCTCCTCCCTCTCCTCCACTCCTTGTAGCCGTCTGTCGCGTAGTCTTTCAACAGGCTGTAAAAAGTGCTGCAGGAGCACTTCATCAGCCAATCACAATGTGTGCTGAAGACAGATGATGCTAATGTAAAAAACAATCCAGGGCTAAGCTGTGTGTGTGTGTGTGTGTGTGTGTGTGTGTGTGTGTGTGTGTGTGTGTGTGTGTGTGTGTGTGTGTGTGTGTGTGTGTGTGTGTGTGTGTGTGTGTGTGTGTGTGTGTGTGTGTGTGTGTGTGTGTGTGTGTGTGTGTGTGTGTGTGTGTGTGTGTGTGTGTGTGTGTGTGTGTGTGTGTGTGCACCTGCCACAACCATGTTACAGTTTGTCATGTAAGAGCAGTGATACAAGGAGAGGTCATTGGAAACGCTACACACACACACACTCACACACACTCTCACAAACTGCCAGTTGTCACCAGTCACTCGCAGAGCTCCACTCATCCTCTCCTCATCTCTTCTTTCTTCTCCTCCATCTTGCTTTTTGAAACTGGAACTGGAGTAAGATTATGGATGATTAAACTAGATTTAATACTTTCATACGCTCTGTGTTAAGTCTAGTTAAAACTTTATTGATCCCTGTTGAAAGACAAAACAGCAGAAAAAAAGAGTGAACAAAACAAGAGAACAACTGAAAACAAAGAAATGAATTCACTGAAATGTATCTCTTTGCAGTTCTCAGCTTTGTTTTATTTGTGAATTCATGAATATAAATAAATAACAAATAGCTATTCCAAATATAGATGTATTTTTTTTTATTACTTTATTTATTTTGACAAAGTGCTTCTTTCGTTGTTCGAGACATTTTTAGAGTTGAGAGCTTTGTTTGTATTTAGTTTAGTTTAAAGGTTGTCAACAGTTAAGTGCTTTAGGCAGCTTTAAAGTTAAAATAATGTCTGCATCTTCTGTAAGATGGAATCCTGGTACATCTACATCTTAATTGCATAACTTCTGTTTTAGCGCTCGTACCAAACCCCATTCACTTTTTCAATATTTTAAGATCTCTCTCTCTCTCTCTATGTGATCTCTGCTTCTCTCTCATTCTTCTCTTTTTCCTTTGAACGTGGAATGTCAAACACACGCTCCCACCCTACAACACACACACTCACACACACGTGTAGACACACACATAAGGCCTCTGTCAGAGCTGGAGGAGGAAGTGGCGAGCTCTGGAGTGCTTCTTCCTGTGGGGGCTGCCAAACAGGAAGCCGTAATTAGCTCTCTTATTCTACTTCTCCTCCTCCTGGGGCAAAAAAAAAAAACTCATCTTCATTCCTCCTTTTCATCCACATTCCCCCTCTATCCCTTCTTAATCATCTAAAAACTTAAAATTCTGACTTTTTCTTCAAATGAATCTGGTCTCATCACTTTTACATGTCTTTCCTCTGCTGTGTCACACTTTCATCTTTGTTTGTATTGTCAGAATCAATCAGAAAACCAAGAGAAGTCACTGAGGATACTGTTTAGAAAGAGGCTTTTTAAAGTGACAGAAGCCTTAAATTAGTCAAAACATACTTCCTGTCTCCTTTATCTTTCACTTTGTGTCTTTAAACTGTTATATTTAAACTCTTTCCATCCATTTCCTGTGCTAAGTCATCCAAAACCTTTTATTTACAAACTTTCTAATTTCATGAATGCACTTCTGCAGCATTTATAATGTGTTAATAAAACTTGTGAAACCAGAGAGCAGTGTGGGATATTAACCCGAGCCTGCAGCCCTCATTCAGAGGTCCTGAGCTATTCTGAGTTAGCCCTCTCCCTTCACACACCAGACTCCATTGAAAAATCTGCCCGTTTAACGTGTCCTCATTTGACATCTAGTAGCACCAAGTAGAGGATGATTTTCAAGACCTTTTAAAGATTAACCAAGAGGCAGAACAATCTTAATTTAATGGATTACTTATATAAGGTTATACATTGAGAAATCTTTGACATAAAGTGTTAAAAAAAAAGTTTGTAACATGTTTTAATCACAGCTGCATGGAGTGATTGATTCTTTGTCAAGTTATCAATAATTGCCAATTGTTCCAGCATAAATGTGATAGTTCAGTTTTTCTCCCAGTATTAAATATTATTTAACGTGTGAAAGATGAGATCTGGACCGCCATCTTTGTGAAACACTGACGTTTTTCTCGTTTGCATGGAAATCTTTTTGCACCATAGAAGTAATCCATGAATAGACAAATTGATGAACAACGACAAAAATTGTCTCTTTTCTTATATTTCAGCAGTCATGGAAAACTCCAACGAGGAGCAAAGAGCAGAGAAAAACGAGGAGGGGGAGTCGGAGACGAAGGAGGAAAAGACTCACAGTAACCTTAAAGGTACGCACATTTCCTCATTTGAAATTGACGACATTAAGCCAAAGAAATGACCTCAATTGCAACCTAAACTTTTATGATACAGCGATCAACGGGGTGACGGAGGAGGCAGCGAGTGCAGGAGAGCAGCTACAGAACGGAGACCGAGGAGGAGGAGACGGAGAAGGAGGAGGAGGAGGAGGGATCATGGGAGCTGAAGGAGGAGGAGACCTGTCCTCCATCAACGCCATGATGTCAGCAGTGATGTCAGCAGCAGGGACCATCAACGGCGGAGGAGACGGAGAAGGAGGGAGTGGAGTCACCTCAGCCAACTCCTCCGCCGGACCCTCACCAAGGTGAAGAACACATACCGCTGTTTTTATTTATTTCATAAAATCCTACAAATACTTTCCAGCTTCTGCCTCGATTTCTAAATTATGAAATATTTCAAAAAATATTTTGGAGGGTAAAATCAGAAAAGTGATAATGTCAGTTTTGGTCATGAAAGGAGAGTTGATTCAGTTGATTAGAAGTCTGAATGTCTGTGTTATAGATCAAATCTTTCCAATCATTTCAACATCTAATTAATGCAGGAAGATGCCACAATCAGCCTTCAAGGATATAAAATATGTTGACGTTAATAAAGAGAATAAAGTAGCTAATTAAACAAAAAAATAAAAACTATATTCTCTTTTTGGATCGACACAAAAAATGTGTTCAAGCTGACATCGTCATGGCAATGCTAACGCTTCCTGTTTCTCTGTTTTAAGCCCCTCCCCCAGCAAGTCGCTCACTGCAGCGATGAGAGCCCCTCCTAGCCGCAACGCACGACGCACCCAGGTACATAAACAAAAATACAATAATACACACTTTTATGTTCTTAACATTTATGACATTTTCTTTTCCTATCCCCTCTCTAATTATCCCCTCCTTGCCTCCTCTTTTTGTCCTCCTCTCGCGTCCTTACTCTCCTTATTTACTCTCTCTTTCCCCACTTGTTTTGTCCTTTCCAGTTTACCTCTTCCTCTCATTTTACCCATTCCTCTCCTCTCCTTATTAACTTTCCTTGTGTTCTCCCCTTGTCTTCCTCTTCTCTTCCTTACTAACTACTCCTCCCCCTTTTGTCCTTTTTCTGTTTACCTCCCCTTGTACCTTTCCTCTTCTCTCCTAGCATCCTCTCCTTGTCTTCCTCTCATCTCCTTATCTACACATTTTCCACTTCTTTATCCCAATTTATTTTCCTCTCTTTTTTTTCTTCTTGTACTCTTTCATTTTCTTTTCTTCTCTCATTTTCCTTGATTCCTCTTTCCTACTTATTTAGACTCCTTAACTCCTCCTTTCTTCTCATAATTTCTTTCCTCTTTGCTCCTCGCTTCATTTTTGCCTCATCATTGTGGTACATTTTCCCCTCTTGCCTCCCACCATGCACTGCAGCATTCCACATCTCTTCATCACTTCCTTTAGCTCAAACAGGAAAAGAGGAAGTGCTGCTTCCCTGCTAAGTGTGTGTGTGTAACTGTGAATGTGAATGTGTTTGTGTGTGTGTGTGTGTGTGTGTGTGTGTGTTGTATATGTGTGTGTGCTTTAAATTATAGAGATTGTTTTCCCATACTTTCCTCACATAATGACCAGTGCAGAACAACGTGTTTATGTTTAAGAAACAGGGTTCTCTCACATGATTGGTCAGCTGAAATCATGTTAAACTGAAGTCAGTAGTGTAACTTTAAACTGTTAAGCTTTAAAGGAAAAGTCCCCTGTTTCTGTGTCTATTTATTGTTGTCAAATTTCAAAACACAAAAGGTAGTAGTCTAGTATTTTTATTGGCGGATGAATCCAAATTTGTTCCTCTGCTGAGCATTTGAGACAGCAGGATGGTGTGTATAGGATTAGGTCATACAGCATGTGTGTTTATTGTAAAGAAGGAACAACAGTGTGTCTCATTTATGTGTTTTTAATGTGCAGCGATGGAGCCCTGTGGCCCAGAGGCACATTTTGAATAACATTTGTCTGGTTATATACAGTATTTTGTTTTTTTTTGTAACAGGACACCAAAGACGAAAGCTCAGCTTTTATATGTCCGCTGTGTGACAAGAACTGTCAATCACAACACCAGCTCACCATGCACATTAGACAGGTATGTAAGAACTGTACTAAAGTTGTCAACAGTTTTCATATTTTTCGTTACAGAGGGTTAAAAAATATACAGTGAACAATATTCTGTGAGAAAAAGAGGTAGCACAAAGGTCATAAATGATGTACCTCTTAAACTTGAACTGTTTTTGTAGGGATTAGGCCACTGTCATGCCTGCGTTACGTAGTCGTGTCGGCGGTGGTTCTTCTTCTGTGGTGGCTGTAAAGTGACATTCTTACCTCTCTGCAGCACAATGCAGACGCCGGAGCGTCGGATCACTCCTGCAGCATCTGTGGGAAGTGCCTGAGCTCGGCCTCGTCGCTGGACAGGCACATGCTGGTCCACAGCGGGGAGAGACCCTACAAATGTAACGTCTGTGGACAGACCTTCACCACCAACGGCAACATGCACAGGTGCGCACACACACATACACAAATAAATACACACAAGTGTAAATGTACTTTGTTCATCCAGAGCAACAATCATGACCTTGTGGTTTTTTTAATACAAAGCTGCATCATTTGGCTTCTGAGGCGTTTTTAGGAAGGATGTTGTGTGATGTTCTGTGATTTTGCAGTTCCTAGAGTGGCCACTAGAGGCTGTCTCCTGCAGTGAGCCAAACCCCATAGAGCCGCATGTTAAAATGTCCAACTTTACAGCAGAAATGAACATGTTTCCAGCCTGATACAAAAACAGTTTCTCTCTTAATGACAACTGTAAGGACAGAATTTTTTGTTTACATCATAGAAGGCTTAAAGTGATGTAGAATTAGGGGCGTGGCCTCTTTTAGTGACAGGTGGGAGCTGCTAGGTGTCAACTCAGCCAATTCAGTCATTGGACTTAGCCTCTTGCGATGCATGTATGTATATGGTTATTTCTCGCTTCATCAAAAATAAGATGGCAATGTCCAAAATGCCAAACAAAATAAAAAAGATTTTTGCTACAAGTTGGAAAAAAAAAAACCCACACAGTGACTTCATTACTGGTCATTAATCCCTAAATTTCGTAAACAAGAACAAATGAAAAAACACACAAATTATTGCACACAGACTGCCTGTACGTTAGTGTGTAACAACTGAAAACACACACCCACACACACACAATCACAATCACACTCGCACACACTCATGCGTAACCTCAGGCAGAGGAAGTAAGCGTTTAACCCAGTCCCAAGTCAACCATGATGGGAGCACAAAACCCAAACTGGTCCTGACTCTGTGTACTGCTATGTGTGTGTGTTGGGGTGTGGGTAGCACAGGAAATGGGAAGACAACTTTAAACTATCCATCACACACACACACACACACACACACACACACACACACACACATACAGACAGAACAACGCCCAGTCATTTATTATCAGTGAAGTCCAGCCTCTACCGTCAGACTCAACTGTCCCTAAAGTCATTTGTGTGTGTGTGTGTGTGTGTGTGTGTGTGTGTGTGTGTGTGTGTGTGTGTGTGTGTGTGTGTGTGTGTGTGTGTGTGTGTGTGTGTGTGTGTGTGTGTGTGTGTGTGTGTGTGTGTGTGTGTGTGTGCTGTTAACCTACATCTTGAATCTTGTCTGACCTTCACTGACCTCTGCTTAAAACCTCACATGTATTAAAACAGACCAAATCTGACCAATCAAAGGAGAATTTATCACAAACAAACACATTGAAAACAACTGAAATTAGCAGAAAGAAAACCCCAAAAGTTTTTGCTTCAGACTCAGCAGCATGGTTTGTTTTATTTTCAAACAGAAGGAATGGTTTGAAACATGCAGCGTTTCAATGTTGGTTTGGGACAAAAAGGCGAATGTTTTGTGCTCTCTCAGACTCTCTCTTCTCTGTGATGGTATGAGGAGATGTGGGCAGGATGGAATGACTGTAGGCTGAGAGACAGAGATGTCACAGCAGTTTTCTTCCCAAGTTTGCCTCTGTGCTCTTCTCCTGTTTCCTGTTGTGTTACAATGAGTGTGTTTACATGGACTTTACTGCCCTGGTTCTGAGTGGCTTATACTGTGGCTTAGCAATATTACAGAGACCTTTGTGTTAAAAGAAGATGCTGCTGAGGGAAATACATTTTCTTTTTAGACACTTCTTCTTCTTCTTCTTCTTCTGCAGTGTTCACCTGTTAGCTTCCTACTGCTGATCAGGTTGAGTAAAATGCTTTTTGCGAGTTTCTTTGTAAACGATCATACAAGAGTGCTGAGAGTGATTCAGAACAGTACAGTTGTAGTTCTGGTGCGTTTTTATCTTGGCTCTTTGCAGTTACATGACTCTCTCCTTTCCTTCGTCTCTGCTAAAAGACAAACTGAACTCACACTGATGGAAAAACACAACCTCCTGCAGGCCGCCGACGTTCTGGATGCTGATTTCCATCAACACACCCTGGAAACAGCTGCATCATTTTCCCACAATCCTGAGAACAATTAGGAATTCAAAACACAGACTGAGAAGAACTGCACCTTTTTAATTTTGTGATAATTCACAATACAAACTAGATAAAAGCAGAAATATATAGAGGGAGGAGACGAGTCAAGTCTACATGCGAGGCCTGAGTTCACACGCTGCTGTAGGAAAATAAAGAGGAGGCCTGTGTGGATGGAAAAGAGGAGCAGAGGGAGGGGAGGAATTCATTTTGCAGCAGAGCATCCTTTGAAATGTGAAACACGAGATTTTCCTACTCTTCAGACATGCAGAGAGGAAGATGAAGGGAGGGAGAAAAAGAGGGAGAGAGATGAGTTCGATGTAGGCGACGGACGGAAAGAGTCATGTGTGAAGAATTTCCAGCCTGGTTTGGCAAAATCTGAAATGTTTTGTTGCCTATTAAGGAGACGAATTTAGAGAAATTACGTAAAAACAAACAAAAAAAAAAGCTTGTGACCCAACAGGAGGAGAGGCATGTTGGAGGGAAACGTAATATGTGCTAAAAAAGAGAATCCATTCTGCAGGAGAGCATCACTGAAATGTGAAACTAGTTTTTCTGTTGTTTTTTTTCTGCAAGCACCCAAAGGCATCATGGTAGGAAGAGATGAATATTGGAACCAAGGCAAGGAGAGGAAAACCTCTAGGAAGGTAGAAGACAAAGAGAGGACACAACTTTTAACTTTTAACTTTTTCTGTCATTCATCAAATATAAAGTTATATTAAAGAAGTTATGATAAGAATTTTTCAAAACCTGTAAAAAAGAAAAGAAGAGAAAGAAGAAAAGAAAACGATAAAAAGGGATTTCTGTTTGAGGTTTAATTTGCACAAATTTGTTATCTCATCTTGGCCAAATTTTAAAACTGTATAAAACTTAAAAATGACCAAAAACTCAAATTGTTACTTTTTCAGTTTTAAAGAGATAAATATTAAACGAAGAAGACACAGTAATGAATCCCAGATGTAGAGACGCAGAGAGCAGCATCACATGAGCCGGCTTCTCTCGGCCTCCCGGCTGCTCTGTTGTGAGGCCGCGGGGCCTGGTTGCCATGGCGAGGCATCCCATTAGCCTATTATGGGCTGGCAGCGGTATGTGAGCTTGGATTGGCTCTCTGTGTCTGCTGCAAATTTCAGCCGAGCGAGGAAGAGAGGAGCTGAGAAAGTTCAGCTCATCCCTCTGCCTCTCTGCACATCCTTCTTTCCTTTCCTCGATTCCTTTCCTATACTTCCTTCACTTTCTCAGAGGGAAATCCCTCCCCTCCCCTCCCCTCTCCTCTCGTCTGTTAGTTGTTAGACTCTGATTCCTGCTCAGATAACATGTGTCAGACTGTGAAGGCTGACTCAACAGCGCCCCTGTGGTGATGTAGAGGCACTGCAGGCAGGAGGTCAAACTAGTACATTGTGTTACTGCTCTGCTGTGTGTGTACTGCTACTTTTACTTATGCTACCACAGAGGATTGCAGTAGTAGTGAGTTGATTGGCTTATCAAGTCAAAAGAAGTTGATATTGTGGTGCATAATTCTGAATATTTATATTTATATTTATTTACAAGAAAACAACCCTTGGCTGCATGCCATCCCCCACTCTCTCCTCCCAACATTTACTGTCTCTCTTCAGCACATAAATGCAGAAATGAGCTTTGCAGCAGACTGCTTATTCAGCAAAACATTTTAAATCAGGTTTTAATGAAAACAATTAAAATATATGTTATATATAACTCTGCAATCAAACATGTCATTTAAGCAGTTTAAACATGCAGAGTATAATAAAATACTCAGTAAAATGCAGAGTAAAATAAAGAAGAAATAATAATAAAATAATAAAGAGTTGTTGTTTTGTGGCAGTGATTATGAAGAAAATCTTCAACTGACACGTTCTACAGTCGAAATCGATGGTTGCTCGGTACATTGTTTAGGAAAAAAACAGTTTCCAGTGTATTCAAATATAATTTCATCTCTTCCTCTCAAAAGAATCAGACTGTCTACAGCAATGCAGTACGGCCTCTGCTCTGCAAAAACAGTTAGTCAATTATTTTATTTGTCTTTGTGTTTGACAGACTCTTCGTTAAGAGGTGCACATACCTTTAGATGTCGAAGTAGTTCCAAATATCAACATATTTAACATTTTGTTCAACTTTTTTGACTTCTTCTACGACTAATACTTCTACTTTGAATATACTGCATTAATGCCATTTTTGCTTGTTAATTTGTGTTTGTGTGTTTGAGCAGCTGTTGTGCAGTCAAACACACACACACACACACACACACACACACACACACATGCAGCAGGATTGTGTCTCTGCTGACTTCGCACATTTCCTGCTCTCTGATTGGTCAGTTTGGGGGTCACAGTACATTTTGGGCCAAGAAGACTTTGCTCCCTCAACATCCCGCCTCCTCCTCTTCCTCCTGTGATCTGATTGGTTATTAAGTAACTTCCTGTCAGCTGGTCTCAGGTCTGCCGACTGTCAGGACCTCTTATGGGTGTCCGGCCTGATGCCTGTTAGTTTATTAATAGCAGAATACATCCAATCCCACCTCCTCCTCCTCCTCTGTGTCACTTTTCCTCTCCTTTCCTCTCCTCTCCTCTTCTCTTCTGTCCTTTCCTTCTTGTGTCAACTTGCTTTTCCTCCTCCCCTATTGTCTATCCTTTTCTCCTTTCTTTCCTCTATCCTTACCTTCCTCCTCATCTTTTTCTTGCAAGTCCTTTCCTTTCATTCCATTTTCTTTCCCTCACTCCTCTCCTCCTGTGTTTTCCCTTGCCTTGTCCCCTCTATCCTTTAATTTTCTCTGCCTCATTTTGTTTCCTTACATTTAATCTCATTTTTATCCTTATTTTCTTTCCCGTCCCTTCCTCTCTGTCTCTCCTCTCTTTTCTTTTTTCCACCTCCTCTCATCTACTTAACTATTTAGCTTTCATCATCTCTTCCTCTTTTCTTTCCTTACTTCCTCTCCTTTCCCCCTCAGTGTGTCCTTCCATCCTCTCCACTCCTCTCCTCTCCTGTTTGAACTCCTGTAAACCGACACCTGTGCTAAGGCCACATGCTAGCTAGCCATGTGACCTTTATACTCACACTAAAATAGCAACACATGCTAACTGCCTGCACACTTTCTCACGCTTCTCCCAACACCTGAACAGAATCACATACTCTTACCAGACGATCACAAGAGTGCAGCAAACACACAGTCTCCATCTTTCTTTCTTTCTTTGTGTCTTTTCTTTTTTTGTTACTTGTATATCTGTAGCTCTATTTCTTTTTCTTTTGTATTTTTTTTTGTTTCTCTTTCTTTCTTTCTTTCTTTCTGTTTCTGTTCCTGTTTCATAATATTGGTGTCTGAGTCTGTGAATTCACATTGCATTACAGCGTTGCGGTAACGCAAGAGAGCACGGCATAGACACAGTCAGACATGCACGCACATAACAACAAAGTGGTGCGCCCCCCCACTGGCTCCCCCCCCCCACAACACCTTCCCAACATTCTTATTGAAGGTGAAACGTCACAGGGATGTAAATATCGCACCTTGAAACAGCAGTCTGAACAGAGCTCTTATTTTTCCTTTCAATAAAAAATACTTATATTTAAAGTATCAAGTTTTTCCTTTCTGCATTACCGAGTTTATCGACCAATGACCTTTTGAAGGAAGTTGTTATCATGACAACGAGAGCATGATCACTTCATGCTTTAACCTGAAGCCCCTCCTCCCTCTGCCTCTCATACGCTGAACTGTGTGTGTCATTATGTGATAATTGAACATACATTCAGATTATTACAGGCCTGTGTGTGTGTGCGCTTGTGTGTATGTGTGTGTGTTGCTCCACATTCCCAGCTGATTAGGTCGGATCAGAGACTAACAACAGGTTTAACCTCTGGTTATGATTTATATCCTGCAGAGCAAGTTTAAATGAATCAATTATAACAAAAGTCTTCTGCTCTTACTCACTCCCCAGAATCCTTTGTAACTATCAGCTGTTTAATGTCCATACATGTGATTTAAACAAGAGGTATTTTGTTTGTGACTTACACAAAACAATCAGTTTTTTGTTTTTTCAATCGATTGATCTTAAGCTACCCCCAATCCTAAATTTGCTAACCTAACCTAAATGAAAAGAAGTAGTTTTGACATTGGGATGAAGAGAAACAAAAAGAACAAAGCAACCACCAGTGTAATACAGTTACCCGTTACCACCACAGAGGCCGCCAAAGACAACAAAACAGATCTTTGAGACTTACTCCACAGTTTGTTGTTTTGTAGGTTTCCAAAAGTAAAACTAACCTCAGACTCTTATTCTTCTTTCTCAGACACATGAAGATCCATGAAAAGGACCCGGCCAGCGGTCTGCTCCCCGTCAGCCCCCCCTCCCCAACCAAACGTCGCCGTCCGTCTGTCAAGAGGAGGCTGGAGGAGGAGAATGGAGAGGAGCCGCCGAATAAGAAGGTACAAACTCGCACATTTACTTGATTTTTATCGTGTGTAGAACAATGCAGTGGTGTTCATTGTGTTAATGTCTGTGTGTGTGTGTGTGTGTGTGTTTCAGGTGGTGGAGGATGCGGCGTCAGAGGAATTGGCAGCTGCAGTTCGAGGAGCCGAGGAGGAGCTGCTGCCCTGTCCAATCTGCTTCAAGACCTGCAGCTCCAGACTGGAACTGGATGCACACATGGACGCACATCCCGACACTGCATTAAGGTACACACACACAAGACACTGTATGTTTTTAATCATGAAGGAAAATAAGAAGGAAATTAAGAACTCAGGAAAGACAAAATAAAAGTAGAGGAAAGGAAGCAAAAAATGAAGTAAAAATCAGAGACGGTGAAATAAAAGGAGCTGGAAGAAACAAATCCAATTTGAAAATATGGAAATAAAGAATAAGGAAACAAAGAAATTGAGTAACAGAAAGGGATTCAGGGAATGAATTAAGAAAAGAGGTGTAGGAGAGAAGAAATATAACCGGAGGACCGAAGAAAGAAGAGAAGAGGCAAAAATGGAAAGAAAAGAAATGAGAAAAGAGTAAAAGAAGGAACTGACACTGATAGAAAAAAAAGTGTAAAGAAAGTAAGAAAACCAAAAGAAACAAACTTTGTAAAGAAAGGGAAAGAAGAAAAGGAAAAAAAGAACAAAGAGAGAAATAGAGCGGTGCTGAGCTCGTTATGGAGGAAGGCAGGAATATTTAGCTGTAAATCCTCACTAATCAGCCGGTAAGAGGATCGACTGAACTGAAGGGAGGAGAGCGAGGATGGAGGGATGAAGAGGGAGGGAGGGAGGGAGGGAGGGATGGAAAAGGGGGTGGGGGTGACTCTCTAACTGACAGTTGGGGAGAATGAGGGATGGAGAGAGGAGCCAAAAGAACAGCAATAATTGGTGATAATTATTCAAATGGCTACAGAGTTAGCATCAGATACTGTGTCAGACTTATTATCTGGACATAAAAAGGAGGAGCATGAGAGAGGAGATGCTCGGGAAGGATGGAGACAAATGAGAGAGGAGGTGCAGAGTAAAGGAGGAGATTAAAGGAGAAAGAAGAGGAAGGAGCTGATGAGGCGGGATGGGAGGAGAAAGAGGAGGGATAAGGCTGAAGGGTGGAGGAGGAGCAGGAAGAGGGGGGTGATGGAGATTTCAACAAGTGCTGGTCCACATATGGTCCTCTGTGTTCCCCCTCTTCTGTCTCAAAAAAAATCCTCTTCTGAGGTGATAGAGGGGATTAAACTCACACACACACACACACACACACACACACACACACACACACACACACACACACACACACACACACACACAATCACACAGGAGGTGATAAGAATGTGTGACTGTGACTGACACTGAGCAGCTGTCCTCACAGCACTTAACGAGAGCAGGAGCAGCACCGACACCAACACCGGGGGTTATCTCTCTCTCTCTCTCTCTCTCTCTCTCTCTCTCTCTCTCTCTCTCTCTCTCACACACACAGACGAACTGACATTGAACCATTAATTACAAGTCATTTTGGAGTCATAAATGTGCCAGAAATAATGACAAAATAAATGTGAGAATTTTAGGACAACTGATTTAGACAAAGTGTTGAGTTTTAGAGTCAACTTCTTCTTCTTTCTTTTTTTTTTTGATTTCATGCTTTGGGTAAATCCTCCAATCGCAAGTATTAAATCGTGAAGTGCTTCTCTTGTTGCGTGTCCGCAGGTGCGATATCTGCTGCCTATCTTTCCGAACCCACCGTGGCATGTTGCGTCACAACGCCGGGGTTCATAAGCTCCTCCCCCAGGACCCCAGTGGACGCCCCTTCATCCAGAACAACCCCTCCATCCCGACCGGCTTCAACGACCTCGCCTTCATCGACTTCTCCTGCAAGAAGTTCGCTCACATCGCACAGGTATTAACTTTGAGTCAACTCTGCGAGAGAAAAGGAGTCTTGTCAGTGCCGGGTATTTTGAAAGGATATTAAACATCTCCTACCGGTTGGGAGTAGCTGATAGGGCCATAATTGTCAATCACTCAGTTCACACTACACAACTGACAACAATGGGGTGATAGGGCTGAAATTCATCCCTATTTAAAAAGTCGTGCAACTTAAAATCAGCTCTAAATCAGCCTGATATCGGACAGTGAACACCTGGCTTCATCTTGTGATGTGAAAAGAATGAAGTGTGGTGCTCTTAGAGTTTTTGTTTCAGATTGATGTAAAAACAACTGGAAGGACTATATCTGTAAATCAGTCCCATTCCTTTTATATTTTGTAATTTCTAAAACTTTCATTCTCTTCAAGGTCTGGTGTGAGACAAACCTCCGTCGCTGCATCAGTAAGTTCCATCGGTTCGTCTGCGATTGCTGCGACAAAGCGTTCCCCCTCCACTCTGCGTTGGAGCTCCATAAAATCACGTCCCACTCTGAAAAAGCCAACGACGCTGACACGCAGGAGGCCGAGGATGAAGAGGAAGACGAAGACGAGGACGAGGACGAGGACGTAGCTGACAAAACGATTGGTCCAGAGAACGAGGAGAAAGAGGTTCTGCATGCAGAGCAGTCCGGCTTCTTGGAAGGGCTCGGTCTGCAGCACATCTCTACGGTACAAATCGGAACTCAAGTCCATTTTAATTCATCACAGATTAAGAGGATGGCAGAAATAGGAAATAATTTGTTAAAGTAAAAATGCACAACTAAATTCAGTACAAAGGAAACATTTATATAATAAAATAAATGAGTTTTTTGTTGGCTTAGTTTTCCTATGTATGTGTAATATTCTGAAGATAAAAAGCTCTTAAGTCATTATTTGTTTTATTGCAATAGTCAGTATGGATTTGAATGCAATAATATTATGTGATAAAGGTGTCTTTTTTCAAATCTAGTATATTAAGGCCTTGGTCACTTCCTCCCTCTTCTGATGATGCTGTTTTTCTCTCTCAGGTGAAGTCTGGTCCCACAGACGATGAGATTCATCAGGCTCACCTGGACAGCATCAAGGTGATCCACGTGGAGCCTCCCTCCTTTAGCCTCCCCCAGGAGCCGGCCTCCGCCTACCTCTCTGGAGGACTGGGGCTGACTCTGGGACTCGGTGTGGGGGGTCTGGCTGCCCTCAGCATCCCGCTCCTGGAGGCGTCTGGCTCCGCCTCCACCCTGCAGGGCCTCACCCAGCGCGACGCCCTCAGCCTCCTCTCCCTTCAGCCGTTCCCCACAGGCCTCCTTCTGCAGCCTGAAGGGGGCGCTGCCACCGGGAGCGCAGTCTCATCTGGCGCTAAACCCGGGGAGGCGGGAGGAGCCGGGATCATGGAGCTGGCCGACATCCAGCAGATCCTTCAAGTGGCAAGTGCAGCGCCCAATCAGATGGGACTGACCCTCCCACCTCTCGCCAAAGCTCCGGGATTTGCTGGAAGTCAAGGTGGGTGGTCGGCTGGAGCTTCATGTTGAGATGTTTGTCAATCAGTCCATCAGTTATGAGAATAAAAAAACAATTCTGACTCTTTGTCCCTCCTGCAGGTCTGGTTCAGGGTCAGAAGGCGATGCCTCCATTGAAACCCAAACCTCCCATCACCCCTCGCTCCAGCCTCACAGCCAACACCCCTCCCCCCCTTCAGAGCTCCCAGCAGGCCTCTCTTGGCTGCATCAGCCCGAGCCTGCCTCCCCCCACCCCCACTCTCTTCAAAACTCCCTCCTCCTCAGCCGGTAACGGAGGGCAGCTGGACGCAGAGTGTATGGGTGACGCTCACACGCCTCTGTCGGACTCGCCGCCAGCTGTGACCACAGCAGTGCATGAGGAGGCGGGGCTAAGTGGGAGGAAACCGGGAACCAAAGCTGGAAACAACGCCGGCTCGGCTAAAGGTTCGTTCCCATGCAGATTCTGCGACCAGGTGTTCTCCTTCTCCGGCGTCCTGCAGGCTCACATGCGCTTCCATCTCGGCATCCTTCCTCATCAGTGCAACATCTGCGACTACGTGGCGCCGGACAAAGCCACGCTGATCCGACACCTGCGGACACACAGCGGCGAGAGACCATACGTCTGCCGGGTCTGCCATTACCCGTTCACTGTCAAGGCTAACTGTGAGCGCCACCTCAGGAAGAAGCATGCCAAGACCTCGAGGAAGGACATCGAGAAAAACATCAAGTATGTCACTTCCACCACCACGGCCAACATCGCTGCAGCCATAACCGCGGTAACAACCACCACCACGGATACGGAGACTGGCTGCACCGGAGCAGAGACCACCTGCAGGTTCTGCGGCGAGGACCTGAAGAGCTACCGGGCACTGCAGATCCACCTGCGAACGCACAACGGCTGTCAGAGGAAGCCGTTTGAGTGCCGGCGCTGTGGTGCTGCCTTCCTTGCCAAACGGAACTGCATCCACCACCTGCTGAAGCAGCACCCCGAGGTGCAGGAGAGAGAGATCGAGGATCACATCGCCACACTCCTGCCTGCCACTCAGTCCGCCTCCGCCGCTGGCCCGGTCCCAGCGGCCGCAGTGGCTAAGTTGTCGCTGAACGGGATAAGTCCGCCTGCAGTTCAGGCGCTGCAGGCAGTGAAGGTGGAGGACGTGGTTTATCCTGCTGAACTGGACCAGCCGCTCGACTTCTCTGCCAAAGGTCGCAGCAGCCAAGCGGGGTCTCCTGGAGTCAAACTGGAGAGCGTCTCCCCAACCTTCGACTGCTCTGCCATCGACCAGCCCATCGATCTGTCCATCCCCAGCAAGAGGCAGCGGAGAGAGGCGGCAGGCGTAGAGAGGAGGGAGATAAAGATGGAGCAGGGCGGCAACAGCATCGAGCAGCCGATTCTTTCAAAGGAGGAGAAAACTGGAATCGCTCTGCCTCCTCTCCACCCTCACCCCCAGCTTGGCTGCTACCAGCTCCCCCCTGGATCCACCCCTCCCCCGGCCTCCCTCCCCAACATCAGCAACTCCACCCGAGCTCAGCGCCTCAAACCTTTGCTCCCCAAACCAAGCTCCTCCACCACCACCACCACCTCCTCTCCCTCCTCCACCACCCACAAGGAGCTGCCTCCTCTGGCTTCAATCGCTCAGATCATCCACTCCGTCTCTGGAGTTCCGGACCTGCTGAAGAGAGAGGATGGGAAGCCACAGGGTGGAGTCTCTTCTCAGGGTGAATCTGCTGCAGCTGCACCCGGAGCCTCCGCTGCTCCTGAGACACAAAGTGAAGACACAACAGAAGGATCCAGCAGGTACGAGAGCTCCATTAACGACCCAAAACTTCTTTAAGATAACTTTTTTAAGCAATGCTGTTATCCTCTGCTTGGAAAATATAACTTAAACATTTGTTACTAACACATTTGAAGTAAATATTTTTTTCAGAGTGTGTTTTTTAACAATGTAAGATCGATCATTTATTCTAAAATTCTGACGTTTTATAGTTTATCGTATCAAAAACAGGTTGGACTATAAATCTGGTTCCTAAACTTTTTAACTTTTAAGTTCAGTAAAAACATTTCCTAATTCCACCACCAGATGGCGCCCCAGTATAAGTCTAAAACTGAGCTGTGAATTTTCTGTCTGACAGAAAGCGAAGCAGGAAGAAGCCGGCCGCCCTGTCAGTGAAGGAGAAAGCTGCTGTGAGTAGCAGCGGCATAGACCTGGAGTCCAGCGGGGAGTTCGCCAGCGTGGAGAAAATGCTCGCCACCACGGACGCCAACAAGTTCAGCACGTACCTGCAGACTGGAGCTGCCGACCTCGGAGCAAAGAGAGGTAAGAAAAGACACTATTATACACTCACAACTAAAAAAAAACAAAACAAAAAAAGAAACAGGGAGGCTTAATTTAAATCCTCCCTTCTGTCAGACGTGGACAAATCAGGAGGAGCAGAGGAGAAGGAGGAGGGGAAGCCTGTGGCTGCGGTGGGGCCGCAGTCGAAAGGGAAGAAGAACGCCTACTCCAACTCTGTGCAGAAGATGACATGTCCCTTCTGCCCCCGAGTGTTCCCCTGGGCCAGCTCGCTGCAGAGACACATGCTGACACACACAGGTAACACACCGAAATGACACACCCAGACACACACACGCACAATCACATCACACAGATGACTTATGACTTAGGTCAGAAATAAAGTGTTTCCATCAAAGGCAGACAAAGGTCTCAAGGTCCCCAATCAGTAATAAAACATCTCTGTACACATTTTCTGCTAGTTTTCTGTCCAGATTTCTCCTTCATGTTTTTCTTTTCTTTTCTTTTTTTTAAATGCACATAAAAGAAGTCTGTTTTCTTGATGTCCGTCCCCTCACTTGAATCCTTTGTTTCTTCTCAGGCCAAAAACCTTTCCCCTGTCCGAAGTGCGACGCCTTCTTCTCCACCAAATCAAACTGTGAGCGCCATCTGCTGAGGAAACACGGCGTCACGCACCGAACGCTGCGACGCAACGGCTCACTCAGCAAGAAGGACGGAGAGGACGGTTCGCAGGACAGCGCAGGTTGGAGCACTAAACATCCAAACTTTCAACGCATGACGCTGATTACCTGCGTTTAAGAGACACTGTTTTAACCTGGAGACTCCTCTCGTGTTGATTGTGTTGTGCTGATTTTGTTCTGTGTGATGTTGTGTCGTGCAGAGAGTCAGTCAGAGAACGAGCAGCTCACACCAGATGCACAAAACCACGGCAACACCACCCCCTCTTCAGAATTAAGCCCCGCCCCCACAGCGGAGAGTCCCTCTTCATCTGAGCAAGAAAGGGAGGGACCCACAACGCCTAGCCCCAGCCACAAATCAAGTCAAGGTAAGTCTTTAGAAACTGCAAGCTAAGCTAGCTTAGTACTAATAAAGATTTTTTTCTATAATTGTTCAGGTCATTCTCTCGGGCTAGGATCTTAATTTTGAGTTTTCTTTGTCCTCTTTGAAAATAAACTTCTACTCTGTGAGACTTTTGAAGATTTGGTTTGATAAAAAACACATTTGGAGACATTTTCTTGTGCTTAAGAAAATGTTAATTTTATATACTGAACTGTTAACTAGTTAAAGGGTAAAAAGTATTTTTATTCAAAATTCATTGCAACATAAACTGGGTTACCTTGCCGACTTCTGTTTCATGTAAAGAAAAGTTTATAGTGTAAAATATTTGTCGTTATATATTTGTTGTTTGTTTCCCCAGTGCAATTTCTGTGTTGTCTGTCTTTTGTTAAGAGAATAAAAGCGGAAGTTTTGTCTTTTTTTTATGTTAGTTGCTGTACAGATCCTTTGATTTTTTATCATAAATGATTACACCATGTGTTGATGATATTGACCGTTGTTGCTTTACTGTGCAGGTGGCAGTCCAGCTTCCATTGTTGCAGAGCAGCAGGAACCAAACACCACAGATCAGACAGACCAGCAGGGGGCGCCAGAGACCAGAGCAGGAAAACAGCCTCAACAGAGCAACAGCACCAAGGTAACACACCTGAGCCTGCCATCGTTGTTTATTACACGAATATTGTGTTAGCTAGAAACTCATCAGGCAGCAGCAGACCAGCAACTCCGGTGTTCTGTGAGGTAATATCTCTGTTTTATGAATGAAGTCTGGTGTGTTTGTAGACAGAGATAAACACCTGTGTGTTTAACTAAGGTCTGTCCCTGTAGGGATCCTTCTGTTATATTGACCCTTTGAATAACAATCATCTTTTAGTTAACAAATACATTTTCAATGACGCAGTTCACCCACAGGGTTGCATTACAGCCATCATAGCCTGTTTTAGTGCTGCAGGCTGAAGAAGTCTCCTGGGGCTATTCCAAAACATTTACATTTTCTTTAGTCATTTAGACCCCAAAATATGTACGAAACAGATATACATACAAAAAGTATTTACAATAAATACTACCGAATATTATGCTGACAACACTCCAGAGAACTTTTTGCTTTCTTGGTTTTGAATATAAAAGCCTTTAGAAAACCTCATTAGTAGAAAAAAAACCAGCCTCATTAGATTAAATTGATCTGTATGTACGTCTGTTTGATGCTAATATCACCTTCTGTTTTTCCTCCTGCAGGTGGAGAGTACAGATGATGACGACTGCCACAGCAACAAAAGTTTGGACCTGAACTTCGGCAAAAAGCTCATCGACTTCAAGCTCTCAACATCGCCAGATGCAGCTCAGGAAGAACAACCCCCCCAGCCTGCATCCTCTTCCTCCTCATCCTCCTCTACCTCTGCTCCTCCAGCAGCATCAGACAACCAAGAGAAGGAGAAAAGCTCTGCAGCCTCCTCCTCCTCCTCCTCCCTCCTCCTCCTCCTCCAGCAGCCCCGCTGTGAAGCAGCAGCAGGAGTACAAACACGTATGCCGAGTCTGCAACAAGAGCTTCCGATACGCCACCACCCTCGCACGCCACGAGAGGGCGCACCTCTCTGAGGAGACGCCAACTCCTGCACCAGTAGAAGTGACCTCGCAGGAGACAGAAGAGGCGACGGAGAGCACTGTTGCAAAACCAACAGAAGACAAAGAGGAGGAGAAAGAGGAGGAGCAGAAGGAGACGGAGATGGAGGAGGAGGAAGGAGGAGTGATGAGGGGAGGAAAGAGTGAGGGAGGAGAGAGCGGGGAGTCCGAGGAGGAGAAGGAGGAGAGGAGCGAAGAAGAGGCGTCGGAACCAAAGAGTTTAGAGGGAGGCAGAGTTGACAAGAGGAAGAAGATTTGTAAAGTCTGCGACAAAAGATTCTGGTCTCTGCAGGACCTGACCCGACACACTCGCTCACACACAGGTAAACTTTTATTTACGCTCGATTATTCTCATAAATGTTCATCATTATATTTTAACTTTCTGTTATTATTTCTATGTTTAGATGTATTTATTTAGAAATCTCATTCTGAATTCTCTTACACCTTCAAATTTCCCAATTTTGATTGTTCAAGAACATGAGTAACATCTGCAAAATAAAATGTTTTTTCAATAAAATGTATTTTCTTTAGAATTTATTAATGTTGAAACGAAAAAGAAATCAACAATCAACAAAAACATTTCCATATGTATCTATTATACATGTGTAATTGTTTTAATCTCTAATAAATCCTCCCCAGGTGAGCGGCCGTACCAGTGTCAAACCTGCGAGAGGACTTTCACCTTGAAGCACAGCCTCGTTCGCCACCAAAGGATCCACCTGAAGCCCCGCGGAGCCGATGGAGTCGATGGAGCCTCTGTCGGGAACGACGACGCCAGTGAGGATGGAGACTCCTGCGGCCCGACGCCAACCTCCACCTGCCCGCCCTCGGAGAACGAGAGCGAGTGTGGGAGCGGCCCCATAGGGGCCAAGGAGTTGGATGAGGAGGAGGATGTGAAAGAGGAGGTTGAGGAGGGAGGGGAATCAGCGGTGGCGGAGGAAGAAAATTCTGTGAAAAAAGTAGAGTCTGCTGCCGATCCAGAGCCGCCAACAACCAATACTTCTCCTGAAGAAAAATCTAAACTTCCTGAAGAATTGGCGACGCAAAAACCCTCGGAAGACTCGACTCCCAAACAACAAGCTACTGACACAAAGACAAGTGACGAATCCTCAGCCAGCGACCTAAAATCAACGCCTGAATCAAACACCTCCAAAGACCCCTCACCCTCTTCCTCCATGTCTCCTGAGGAGTCGGCCCCTGCAGACGGATTAATCCAGGGGCTGCTGGAGATCCACGCCAAGCCCGCGCTGGAGCACATCCTGCCCAACGGAGAGCCTCCTCTGGTGGGGGCAGACTGAGGGGAAACTCCCCCGGCTTTCACCCCAGTGCCATACGACGGAAAAGACGCTACAACATTTATAATGATGAAGATGATGCAAAAACCAGCCCAGAAACTTTTTTGATAGAAAGAAAGAGGAAACCCTCGTTTTCTTGAAGTGCCTTACTACTAGTCCTACTTCTAAGAGATGTTTTTTGCTAAATCTTTATCTGCATTATTACGGAGGATGGATCTAATTTTTATAGCTTTTTATGATGACAATGATTTGCATTGATATATTTTTTGTGCGGGGAATCTAAATTTCAGCAATAAAAGAATAAAGTTATGATTTATTATTGTCTAGATTCTGTTTGAGAATTAATGATCAACTTAAGAGATGCAGAAGACAGACAAAGACTGAGACAGACTGTCTGAATTTGTGTTTATTCTGTATTTAAATCGCGGCTGAGACTGAACATGATATGAACCAGTTGGATTTGAGAACGAAATAAGCCAGGGTGAGGAACTTTACATTTTTTTTTTCCAATGCTCACATCGGCTATTTCATTTTTTTGTTTTCATAAATTCAAATTGGGAGTTGGAGGCTGCCAATGTGGCTCGTCGGCCCGATTTCACCAGCAAAAGATGACTTCCACTGATGGCTAACTGTCGCATAAATCTGTGTGACAAAGGAAGCTTTTTGTAACTGGAAAATAAAACACCGAATGACTTCGTCCTTATGGCTTGCTTCTGCAATAATCCTCGTCTATCAGCTGGCTCAGAAAACACACAAAAACATTCACAAACTTGTCAAAGTCGCAGCAGAGCTCTGTCTGAAAAAGAACTCTTTAAAGGGCAGATAAAGTGTTGATCAGTTTGTGCTCTCCATGTTTTTTTTAAACCCATCACACTATTGATCCCTTTATCCCTCAAAGCCTCCCTGTGAGTTTGTGTGTTAATAATTTGTCATTCATAATCATTCTCAGTTGATTCCATGTGTGTACAGAGAGTTGAACATGTGGCACGTGGTGTTAGAGTATTTTCCTTTTTTTTTTTTTTGCGTGTGTGCGGATTATCAGTGAAATATAGGTGTAGGGAGGGGAATTCTTGTGTTTTTGTGGATTTTTTTTTTTTTATAACTGAACAAATCAAAATGTCTGGCTTTGTGTGCGATTGTATGTGAAATCCACCTATCTCTCATCGTCGTCCCCTTGTGTTCATTTAGGGTTTATTACAGGGCCTCTAGTATGCTAACATATTTCACCTCTAACACTTGATCCAGGTTCAGTTTACCTCAACTTCCGCTTTAACTGCAACCGCTTATACGATATATGAGCAGCTCTATAGGCTACCCTTTAAATCCTATGTCTTCCTAAACGTGGCAAGCAAGGCTAATTCTTTGCTACCCTTGTTTCCACTGTGGACAAAGTCGGAGCTAACCAGGACTAACTCACCAGCGAGACTTTAAACACAGCTACCCAAGCTTACCATATCACATGCTAACTTAGCTTGCACAAAAAAGTTAATTACATTTAAACAGAAATAGCAAGGGAAAGGTCATCAATAGCCTTATTTGCATAACGAGCCTTCACAGAACACAGAACAACCAGCACTTACTGTACAAGCTTTATCTTGGCAACGTCCCATAAAAGGGCTACCACTAGCTAGCTGTACTTAATTTTAGCCTGTGTTAGCTGAACAGATATCAAACAAGTCCTAGCTGACCCACCCAGAGAGGTTAGCCTTAGCTTCACAGAGTAGGCCTTATTCAGCCATTACTCGTCTTAAACACTCAATTAGAGCAACCTGTAACCAGACCACACAAGTCTGCCAAGCTAATGGTAGATTAGCACAAACTAGTTAGGTTTACTCAGTTAGCTATAGCGTTAACAAAAAACCTGAGCTTGGCAGAGTGGGTCCTTTATACCATACAGCAGCTAAGTAGCGCAAACTCACCAGAACTAGCTAGGTATAACTATTAGCCTGAGCTTTGCTTAATGTGCTGCATGGTGAAACACATGCTAGCTAGGGCTAACTAGTTGAGTAAAACCAACACATCTCTAAGCTTTTAAAAAAGCGTACTTGGCTAATGGCACGTGTAGCTCATCTCCTTCAGTATTATTTCGGTATCTTGAGTTGGTCCTGGACAGCTGTAGTGCGTTTTTCTGGCTCATGTCTCTAACATGAACATTTAGTCTATGTGAAGACATTTTTTAACAGCTGAACTTAAACTTAAAAGTCTGTGTTGATTTATCTTCATGGAGGTTAATAGATACTCAAAGACCCGTGGTCATAAATTTGGCGGTTGAGACAATCATTTGTAGTTATCAATTAAAAACAAATTGAAACTGATACTAAACCCTTCATTTGCATCTTTGTGGTTTCCAGAAAGAGCTTAACAACAGGTTGAAAAGAGTGAATGAACTGATGAATGAATGGAAGAACAGATGGATGGATGGATGAGGGGGTTGAGAGTGAATGGTATTACCCTACTGCACAAACAGACACAAGTAAAAGGGCTAATTCCACCCCCTCGTACCAACCAAACCGGACATTTCCACAACAGTTAAGGGTGGCTAAGTGCGCATGAGTATTTTCTTTTTGTGTGAAGTTGAAAATAGCTCTCTTTTCTTCTTGTATGTTTTTCGTCTCTTTGTTTATTTTTTTTATATCAAGCAACCTCAAAACGAATCGAACCTCAGCGGCTCATAACAGAACTGTAAGGCAACGACAGTCAGTCATCTGGCCTGTCAAAAAGCGAGTGATATTGAACAACTGGACTGACTGTGTGACTGACTGGACGCTGCTGTGAACTGGCACTAACAATTTCCAAAACTACTACTACTAGTACTACTACAGTGGAATATCGCAACACAATCAGGAGAGAAAGAGAGAGAGAGTTTTTCATTCCCAGGGTATTCAAAACCTAAACCTAGCTTATTCTCTTATATTTCTTAAAAAGTTTGCTGTCCAATATTTGTCTTTGGTGAATACTGTGTTCTTCGCCAAGTCAAACACAATGGGAAAAGCAATGGTGTGGCAGAATATTTAATTCTTAGATCCTTTATTTGAAGATTAGAAACAAAAGAAATGAAAAGGCTGAAACTAGTTTTGGGTTGCTCTTGGTTTTTGGATAATGTAACAATAATTTTGTACATATTTTCATAACATCTTCGGCCCATTGATCAGTGTTTTGTTTGAATGTATATTTGAGGGAATCGACTAATAAAAAACAATGTTTTCAAATCAAATTATTTTTGATTGATTGATCTGAAATTGGAATTTGAACAACATGAATTTAAATTTAGTTGGAATTTAAGATTTACCGTTTTTATTATGCCACATTTATGAAGGAACTCTCTCTTTCTTTTTCTCCACTGTTTTATGTTTTGTTGGCTCTATCTGTACATCCCTATCCCTCGGGAATGTGTGTTAATGTTCTCTTAAGTGTGTGTGTGTGTGTTGTGTGTGTGTGTGTGTGTTTGCACGGCCATATGAATACTGGACTTCCATTGGAATGCACATGGACTGTTTTTAAATGTATTTAAAACCTGGAGCCCAGGTGCGTGTTTGTGTGTTCGGGTGCAAGTTAGTTTCTACAATGACTTGAGAAGAAGCCATGTATTAAGAATATCACAATAATGCTGCAGAACTGTTTTGAGGAACTGATGGTTTGTGTTATGGACTAACCGGCTTGCTGTAGGCCGGGATGTGAAACGTACTAGCAATAAGAATCCCTCTGAATCCAAAAAGCTTTATGTAGATCTCCTGTATATGAGTTGAGAACACTTTGTGTGGGTGTCTTGGGTCTGTTGTTTATTTTTAGTTTGGCTGACATGATTTTTGTTGTGTTTATTTTTTCTTTATGACATTTAAATGTGTATAAAACTGTGAAAATCCATTGTGTTCAGTTAAAGGGTGAGTTTTAGGTTAGTTTTTTTTGCATGTTAATCTAATTTGTTCAATTATGGATGATTTCTCCTTTTTCATCTCCTCTCGCTCTACACATACATATAAATATATATAAATATAAAATTATATATAATCTCGCTCTCAGGGTCTTTCACAAATCCATTATCCGAAATGCTTCATGTTCTTATTTCCTGAGTTGCAACTTGTCTTTCCAACTCCTGATCATTTTGTCTTTTTTTAATAATGATTCAGAACTGTCAATCACTACATTTAGCACTTGACTGTGAACTCGTCATCACCTAACAGATAAAAGATGTCGTTTGATTTTTGGCGTTTCAAAACCAGAACATTTAGACATTTTTGTGTCATTTTTCCCCCTCTCACTCAGACTTTTCTGTCAGACCTTAAAAGCCTTTTTTTTCTGTGTCCTGTTTTGGGTTAACTCTCTGTCCCGGTCAGAGTTTAAAGGGAACATCAGAGAGGACGTACACAAACATACACAGATGCTGGACTTCAATCAGAAAGCATTAACACATGATCCCGTGGAAAACTTGTATTTTCTGTGGTTGTGTTTTCATCCTTCTATCCCTCCCTCGTCTGTCCTCTCTCCTCCTGCTGTTAGTAAGACATGAGAGTGTTTCACAAAGTCAAGAGATGTAAACATGTTCTGTATTCAACCCAATAAGAAACCGCAATAAAGATTATATTAAGGAAAGGTGTGTGAATCTAATGCTGTCTGTGTTTTGTCTTTCTTTACAACACTGCTGATGTGTCACTAATGTCTTTATTACTCTTCAATAAAGCTACTTATTATTGGCCATAAGGCTGGTTATACACGCATCATGTGTGCAGATCAATTCAAACACAGCATGATGAAGGTATGTATGCTGCACACTTCTTAATGCCACAAAATGAATAGATTGGGTTTCGACCAGGTCAAAAGAAAATAATATTTGTCAGGGTGAAAAGGAAAAAAAAAGAGACAAATCATCCCAAAAAAAAGAAATTACACAGATTGATTGATTTAAATCTTTATTTCGAACATATATATACATTTTCTTTTTCAGGATGAGAAAAACAAAACAAACAAAAACAGATCCACAAAATAAATGTGCATAAGACAAAATACATTTCTAATTTCATATTCAAAAAGGAATAGGTAGAAGTGTGAATTTATATAATCCCACCCCCTCTCCATTAATCTTTAGTCAATAATTGAACAAAGGCTTCCTTATTTAACCTTAATGTACGTTTAAATAAGTAATACATCTGTAATAAACATTTATTTCCTATTTTTTGAGACGAAAGGAAAATATTTCAGGGACTAATAAAGTTTATCATGGCAAAATCAGACTTGAAGAATTGATCCACAGTATTTTTTTTATCAAGGCTTCTGTATATCACAAACTAAGGTTAGAATTGAAAAATGCAGTTTATGTAGGCTACAATAGACCAGCTTTAATATTAAGATGTGTCGGCATGTTGCTTATATTATCTGAAGTAGCTTAGCCTACAGTAGGGGGAGCTGCTCACATTTGTATCATCCTTTCCTGTTCTAAAACTGATGATGATCAAGCAAACACGCTCGACAATGGATGAGCCTATTTACTATTTTTTATAAAATCCAGCTTGATTTGTTTGCCTTTTTCTCACTTTTTTTTTTTTTTTTTTTTTTTTTAAACATACGTGGATCAAGGTTTCTTTTTTTTTGTATCGATGTAGGTCTTCAGTTCTCCTGGGATCAAGTCTCCACTCCGCCCCAGATGTTTTGAGCTCCTCTTGCTCTTCTGCCACGTTTTTGCTCCTTTCCAACGAGAAGGATGAGACTCGGAAGCTGTACCACAAGCTGATTGGCCAAAAAACACGGGAGTCTACTTTTCGTCCCGCCCACAAAATGTACCCGCTGCTCTGATTTGTTGAAAGCACGGTCCATTACGGTTACTATGGACTTTGGCTTTACTGGTATCCAAGTGAAGACGTGATTTTAGGGGACTCGTAGCTTAAGCGACGAGAGTGAAGAGCACAAAGCAAAAGGGAGCGGTTTTTTTTATGTAATAACAGCTAAGTTAGCCTGTCACTTTGTGGTAACAATACGGGAGAAATTGCAGTTTACGACGCAAATGGCCCAAAAAAAGAATCCCAAACCCCACTCCAAAAAAGGTCAGTACCCTTTCCTTGCTAGTTTTTGACGCGCCTATTTGGCTTCTCTACACAATTCTGCAGTTTTTAAGTTGTTTTCACGATCGGCTAAGATATAGATCCAGCCTTACAAGGACAAATATATTAAATGAAGCTTTTAGATACGTCCTTGCATCCGGCTAACATCCCGACACAATATGCAGCACGAATTTAAGCTTAAATGGTTGAATTACCTTTGGGGTTCCCAAGGTTTTCTACAGTCAAAAGTGCGACTCACTGGGTGTCTGAAGGCAGCGTTAGCCAACAGTACAACTTACTTTTAGATTAAATTAAGCTTGTTTTGCGTATTCTACCTATGCCGAAGTAAGCAGTGCCCTTTTATTAAATGATTTGTTATTGTCTCTGTTGTTTTCTTCTAGTTTGCCTTGCCACGCTTAAAGACCGTGTTAAACTGGCAGAATTATGAATGGGGTTTGGCGAGGAGATCTCGCGATGCAAGACACCTCAGTTACTTTAGCCAGTTTTGTGCTAGCTGTCAAAACACAAATAATATAAAGAACTAAAACGGTCAAACTAAACTCAGTGGAAAAGTCTGAAGCAGGGGATGCTCTGCATGACCGGCGGCACATTGAAGTGGCCCTGTCAATGATAAGCTAAGCTAACCAGGCTTTTATAAGTGACGAGCTAATATTAGCCTACAAGCCATTCACTTAAAACACACAGAAGTCACTGTTGATGCTCCTGAGGCATTTTAGAGGACTTTAACTGCAAACAGAAATAAACCCAAAACTATTTGCAAGTGTATAAGCATCTAAAACCTCATCATACATTATGAACTGATGTATCTTTGTCATCACTGATAAATAAAAACTTTTCTGGTATTTTAAGTTTATGCGTGTTGATCTTCTAGTCTGACCTCAGCAGTCAGTAAATGTTTTCCTGTCACTTTAATTATGCCTATGATTTTCACAGATATGCATAGCTTCCTTTTTGACATTGCATAGTTTGAACTTTGGAGAACTTGTTGATTTTTAGGCTGAAGATATTTGTTGTAACATTTTTTTGATATTGTTGTCATTAGTGTTTTTTTTACCAGTAGCTTTTATTGGAGGACCGTTTTCTTTATCTCTTTATTACATGGTTAAAATGTCCTTTAGAGTTCAAAGAAAGATCATCTCCTTTTTCTCAAACTTCTCAAACTATATATTATTTACAAATATGTCAGGTACTCATAATGGATGTGATGAACATCCAGATTGGTGCATTCACATTGGTGAAGCAGCATTGTGTACTTTAACCGACTTACATTCATTCATACATTGGAATGCCAACTATGACAGCAGGCACGTGGGTGCTGCAAAAAAACAGATGCATGTTGTTCTTGCTTGTGTGCAATACAGACTGAGCAAAAAAAAAAAAATCAGGAACACCTTTATCTTATTACTTAACGCTTCATCTGCTTGACATTTTTAGTACTAATATTTTGGCTGTGTATATGGCTTCTTCTTCTTCTTCACAAGAGGTGGTGCATTCACTCCCTTTTGTTCCTTTCTATCACATCTGCTTGTTAGACCTCACATACGCAAACAAATGTCTAAGCAGGAACAAAGAATAACATGTTTTTGGAAAAAAAACTTGAATAAATAGTGATCCCTGTTGATTTCTTTTCTATTCCTGCAAGGCAATTGTTGCAATTAAAGACGCTTGGTTGTAGAGATTTTATTTAAAAAGTAACATTTGTCAGAGTAGAATTGCAACTAATGATTATATTGTTAATGACTCATTACTCAATCTGTTCTTCTTTTGTTTGGTCATTTCATCATGTTTCCCCTTCTAAACACAAAACACAGCAAAATACATCTTAAAATATACCAAAGCTCAACGTGATAACTTCTAAATCTTCAAGAAAAAAAAGGAAAATTGTAAGGAAGGCATGGGAAAATTGTCAATATTGCTTGACTATTTAATTTCTATCAGTGTTAACACATATTATTAGCCGATGCCGATAGTCACATGATATGTGCAGCTGTCTAAATGATGGAAAATAATTGTTGTGTCTCTGTCCTGGTTAACTTCTTAAAGTCTAGTTCTGCAATTTTTTGTGCTGTCCACAGCACTAAAATAACATGTTATCCTTTTATCAACGGTTTTGTCAGCTTTAAAAAAGTGTACTTTCATTGTCCCTTTTGTTCCCACTCTTTTTATGACTCATTATTTTCTGGAGTAATTATCAAAAGTTGCAGACAAATTCCTGTACACTGTTTAAATTGCAAAAATACGTTGGCAGTGTTCTGGGGCCGTTTGTTTGCTTGCAACTTTTGATGGATTCATTCCTCTCCGAAATGCACCAGTCTTATGAAAAAGAGGTAGTTTTTAAAAGCTTTGGTTCTTTTCCATACCATTAAAGTAACATAGATTGTACTGTTTTCAAATGTGGTATCAGAAAGTACCTAAGCATTCAAAAGTTTGACATCAGTATGTACACTTTGTTCACCTGTGGTTCAAAAAATGAGCATAAGTGTGCATGCTGGTAAATACAAGGTCAAACTGCAGACTTAATGACCTTTTAGTTACTGTTTTTTTGTTTGTTTAAAGCTGCTGATTTTCTCAATGAGTAAACTGTTCAAAGTTTAATATAATTATAATTTACTTTGACATTATATATTTTTGGTCTTGAATATAGAGTACTTTGCTTTGTGTCTTCAAAGTGTCTTAAAAATAACAACCTTGTGGGTTTAGATAAAGACGTGACATACTCTCCCTTTAATTCAGGTGAAGTATCACACAGCTGAGAGTGTGTGTGTGTGTCTGTTTGTTTGTGTGTGTGTGCGCGCGTCTTTCTGTGTGTGTGTGTGTGTGAGTATGTGTGTGAACAAACAAGCTTCAAGGTTATTTGGTGGGCTATTCTGTCCTCTGGTATTTTACCCACACACACACACACACACACACACACACACACACACACACACACACACACACTTGCACAGTGTGTCCCTGGTTTTGTCAGCTCTAATAATAGTGGGGATCAGGTTCAGGATGGCCAGTAGATTGTAATACAGCTGGGAGGAAGAGGAGGAGGAGGAGGAGGAGGAGGAGGAGGAGGAGCTTTTTCTTTCTTCTGCTTGGCTCAGTCACTTTCTGTGGCTCTGCTAGGTCACAGCTTTAGTTTTATCGGTTTAGATGATAAGTAACTTTGACGATAGCTTCTTTAAATCATACTTTTTAATCTCTTTTCAGTCATTTGTTACTTATTCTTTTATTTTTTATTCTTTAAGTTATCATGTTTTTCTCAATATTTAAATTATTTTGATACTGTGATTTTTCTTCCTTTTTTCTGGTTTTATGTCACAGTTTGGACTGGAAGCTGGGAGCTGGAGATCAGTCCCTTCTGTTCTAAAATAAAAGTAGTTGTTTTATTTTCATGCTGGTTTAGTGTGTAGTCCACACTGTTAATCTGGGCAGGTGAGTTGTCTACTCCTGGCCCTGTCTCGCCTGGTTGTGGCCTGCTTCTGGTCTGGCTCGGTCCTCTTTTGATTCATCTGAGACGTAAGACCTTCCATGCAGCGCTACCGCCAATATGGCACCTCCTACTCCTCCCCCTCTCCCCCCTCTCCCCCCTCACCTCCCTCGCCTCCTGTAGAGGAGATCCACGCTGAGGAGGAGGAGGAAGTGTACACTGAGGAGGAGGTGTACACTGAAGAGGAGGTTTATGAAGAGGAGGAGGTGGCACCACTGATACAGGAGGGGGCAGAGCCTGTTGTGCAGAAGACAGGTAGGACTGGTTTACAGATGAGGTTTGACCTGAATTGGTTTGGGCTGGATTCTGATTTGGCCTGGTTTGACTCGGTTAGGAAGTGACGAGGCGGTCCAGAAGAAGGAGGAGATGCAGGCTGTCATCCAGGAGACAGGTAGGAATGGGTTACCAGCTTGGTTTGGTTTGGTTTGGCATGGTTTGCTGGTGTGTTTAGGGATGTGGAGCTATGACTAGAGTTGAGGCTCGTCATAGTTTTGTTTGTTTTGGTCTTCATTGGCCTGATTGGTGTGAATGTGCCCTGTATAGTGTGTGGCATGCTTAAAATGCAACTCAGAACTTCCTGTAGCTTATTATCATTGTAAAAGCCTTCCAGCAGGACAGTGGGGAGACAACAGTGTAAAAACATTCTGTTTACCCCCCCCCCAACACCGGTTAACCAGTTTTGGTCAGAAAGCTCCAAGGCAAGATTTGTCTTTGCAGCCAAAGTTGGTTTCCTGCCTCCCTATGTCTGCCCACTGAAAGCCAAGAGATCGGCTAGATTCACGCCGCGTAGCTCTGCTGGTCTGAATAGAAACATTTATGTTTCCACGAGCAGCATTTTCTTTATGTTGATAATTTTGACATAAAGAAGGAAAAAACATGTTAAAAAGTTGCGGTGCTAGCACTGTTAGCATGGCTAGGAATCCCAGGATGCTTTGAGAAGCTAATCAGATGGTTGCAATAGACAATTAATGAATTATTCACATTTTGATTGACATATGTGTTTCCATGAGCATTGGCTTTTTTTCCTGAAGCAGAAGATAAGAGGGGTGAATCACAGCTGTATTCAATTTCAAAAGCTGTGTCAATTATTTAAAAATAATAATTGACTTCTATGTTTTCATGTCCTCAGGCTCGTAATGTTTTACTTTTTTTTTAATCAAATAACCAGATATCTCCCTACACATATGTCCATTTTCTTTTCATTTAGCCGCAGTAGAGGTGCATGTCTGAGGTTTTTAGAGCTCTCACATTTGCAATGCCGAATTGAATGGCATTTTTATCTCTTGAACTTATAAATATACTTCTAAAAAAGCTCCTCACATTGTGCAACTCTGTTGGTTGATGTTCCCTCTCTTGCATTAACGCTTCTTCAAATAAAACCTTAGAGACCGGACACATGTTGTAATCAGTTGTACAACAGCTATTTAAACCCTGGAGGTTGTCTTTGACAGCTTTTAATTCATCTTCCTGTTCCCGCAATCACTGCACAGAAACCTCCCAGGATTCATTGCTTCAAAAACACACACCATTCGAAAGAAACTAAAAGTTAACCAGACCAGGTTGTTTATGGTTTGTTCCACGAGAATTAAGACCATTCGTCAGACGTGATTATGCTACACAAGAAGACAGCTGTTGTCATTAGCTTAAGCCATTTAAGTTCAGAGTGTTGGACAAACAGCTGTTCCCTCTCTCTCTCTCTCTCTGTATCTATCTCTCTCTCTCAGGGTCATGTCGGCTCGATAAATATCTAACTATTCCTGGGTCAGCTTGCCCTTTCTGGTTCCTGCCACATAGTCTTTTTCTACTCAACCTGATTTATTTTCCAAAAACAGTTTAGAGCTCAATATGAAATATATTTAAATGAAGTCATGTTGTTCTTTTGCTGAAAAAATAACTTGTTGCTGCTACATTTATGCCCCTGGTTGACTATACAGTGATTTTTCTATATACATGCATCTTTTCAATGCCTTCACACTCTGGATACTGTAAACCGCGGAGCATTGAGGTTTATTAAAAAATCTTCAGACCTTGACTCCATATTGCTCTCTGCATGCTCAAGTTGGCCGGCATGCAGTGTCCAACCATAGACTAAATCCTTAACATGTCCTTATTGTAAGGCAATCCTTAACTGGTTACCCTTTTACTTGTTTAACTTCATTCATTTGAAAATGCTGAAAGCCACAGTCTTCGCTCTCTTACCCATTCAAAAGACTTTTGCTACCCATCTCTAAAGTACGTCCTAAATGGGGAAAAAGGAGTTTCGGGTGCGCTGCTCCTGCAGTTTTGGAATCTGCTGCTCACACATGCAGCTCACCTCAAAAACTCCCAGAAGTTTTCTGGAGCTTTGTGCAAATGTGAATACAGCTCGTGTGTTGCTGTCTGTCTTTACCAGGACACTCTAATCAAAAGAGATTTGTTAACTTAAATATAATGGCCTCGGAGACATGATGCAGGATTTTAATGATATAGTCTTTGTTTTCTCAGAGGGGCGGTCTCCACCTGTGGAAAGCAAGAATGGAAAGAGGACGGAGAGAGGAGGAGGAGGAGGAGGAGGAGGTGATGCAGGAGATGCTGGAGGAGGTGGTTCTAAGTATTCCATGTTCACCTGGTTTGTGGTCCTGGCTCTGCTGGGTGTCTGGAGCTCATTCGCTGTGGTGTACTTCGACATCGTGGACTACGACAGTGTTATCGGTAAGTAGGATGGCATGAGTCAGAATGCTGATTTCAATGTTCTGCATCAACCTGTCAGGGTTTAGTTCTGTCTTAATGTTGCACTTTGACCTAGACACCTTCACCTGCCTCTACTCCTAATTACTTGTTGTTAATCAACACTGAAAACATTAAACAGTGCATTTGAACTTTTGAACAAAATAACATTTTTGGTTATTTGAAAAGTCCCAGTAAACAGTGCTTGCCTGTTGAAATTTTTTTAAAAAACAAATAGAAACACACAGCAGTCACCCAGAACTAAAGGAATATGATCTTGTTCCAAAAAAAATCTTTTAAAGTCACATATTATGCAAACTACACTTTACCATGTTTTTTGAACACTTATATATGCTGTCTACAAACTCCCAACCAGTGACTGGTTTGTTTTTAACCAATGTTTGAGTTTTCTTTTAAATGTTAAGTCATTGTTTGCCACAATCCATAACAGTCTGTTCTAACGGCAGCGACAAAATCAGCTTGATTCTGTTGTTTCCTATTGAAGTGTCCTGAATGCCCGTGAGCAATGCGGTGCGCAGTTTTTACCATGTCGCTACATTTCTATTTTCCTCTCTGTCAACAGCTAAAATTATAGTTTTAAAGAAACACACAATTGCATTGAAACCTGCTTCGTATTTCATGTTGCACTGACATGCACACACTCACACACACGCACACACAGCGGTGACTTGGCTGTAAATGTCAGAAGAGGTCGAAGATGTGTTGATCTTATCTCAGACTGGACGCTTCCGCATGTTTGACACTTTGACTGCTTCTGCTGCTCATCAGTCAGATAGAAACCAGAGATAATAGGAACTAAATGAGTGTGTGAGCTACAAGTGCTGTGTGTCTATATTAAACCACTAATGTAAGTTACTCAACCTTTAAATATCACACTGTGTCTGGCTGTAAATAAACACATTTGTCAGCAAGGGGAGATGGAGTAAAGATCCAGTCGTTTGTTCACTAACTCTGAGAAATACTGGTATTCTTTTTTGTTGCCTAATTAGCACACATAAATAAATAGAATGTGGCTGTAAATGTTCCAGTAAAGCACAAATATGTGTTGAAAAATCAAATTTTTGAAGCATTGATGAAACAGAAATCCTTATATTGAAATGATAAATATTGTGCAGCCCTGTGTCTCCTCTTTTTCTCAATTGCTTTGCACTAATCCCTATTTGCTGCAAACAGAGCTGGAGGTTTCTGTGATCTCATGTCTTCTGTCTCTCTTATTCCTGTCCTCTTTTCCCTCTCTGTTGCTTCTGCATGCAGCCAGAGCTAAGGAGTTTCGTATGAACTTTTCGGAAGTTTTACAAGGTATGCTCTGGATTTAAGATTTCTCTAGAATAACTGAACGCTCAGGCTGCATATCAACCAAAGCGTATTATTTTAATATAGAGAGAGATTAAACTGTTCATCCCTGTACTGAGTCTGATTCATTCTCTTTCTTTACTGTCCATCCTTAACAAACATTAACTTTCCTTTGTAGTTGCCTAAACATCCTTCAATAGATTCACATATATCTTAGAAACTATGTTGTATACTAAACCTTAAAATGAAGTACTTTTCAGAGTCTGGATGAATTAACATGTTACAAGAGCGTATTTGGATTCTGAAACTGGATTTTGTGGTGATTGTTTTATTTGTATGAGTAAAACAGAGATGCCAGACAGCATGTGAACTGTGTTAAAACTCAGACACTTTTCTGTTTCTCCACCACATCCTTCCTCTTCACAAGACTTGACTGTTTAAAAATTACTACTTCGTGCACTTCCTCACACTGTTCTGTGCTGCTGCTGCTAACCTGCTTTTTTCTTTGTTCCTATTTATTAATAGCTGAACAAGTATAGCAGAGCTCTGCCACTTAGCCTCTTACTCTGAAATGTTTAAGATACGGTCCAGGTTTTTATATTATATTAATGATATATTAAGATGTGAGTGAATACTGATATTAGGCAGACTGATAATAATAAACTGACTGAATAAAAACATTATAAAGATTTGACTACATGCAGAAATACAGAAAGTAACTCAATTTGTTATTTCATCTTATGACGATCACAGATGGCCCTGAACTTCTCATCATGCAATCATTTTTTTAATATGCTTTATTGTTCCACTTTATTTCACATGCATGAGTTTGTCTTGTATCTGAGATTTTAAATATGTGTCAGCCAGCCTTCATCACCCCCTCCTACTCCTCCTCCTCAGGTAAACTGACGGCCTACGACACAGATGGAGACGGAGACTTTGATGTGGAAGATGCTAAAGTTCTGCTCGGCAAGTCCACTTCAATTTTTCTCTTATTGTGCCTGTTGTTGTCTGAAATGCCTGACCGGTGTGGTTTACAGTTGTGTGACAGTGCCTTAGATTTGAACAGAAATGTAGTGGTTTGAAACAGACTAGAGCAGTGAGTGAGACCTGGTTCATCTGTATGACAGGAGACTAATACCAGCCTCTTAAATGTGTCAACTCACAACCATGAATTTCTTATTTCGGTTATGTTAACTGAGAGAATAAAGCATGACCGTTAATGCTGAACCAAGTTGAAACCTTCAACTGTTGTTTGGCTGATGTTTTAGGAGCACAAATATCCCTCTGCCTGTACTTAACTGAATAATGCTTTCTTTTTTGTAAAGCATCTATACTGATGTAAAGATGCAACTTCACGGCTCTTACATCAGTCTATTAACTTGATGAAATACACAATGACTTCACAAAGTCATACTTCCTCCTATAATGCAATGTAAATACATTTCATGGTTTCACATAAATCGTATATAAGCAGTGGACTTAGTTTTCCGGTTTCGAAAGTGAAGCCTGTTCAAAGTGCCTAAAGCATGCATTCTTTCTATTTCCCAGTAGGGGGCGACTCCCCTAACTCCAAAATTAGACAAGGATTTAACAGAGGAAAAATAAACGATAATGACCCATCTACATAATAAGGTTATTTACGTTCACTACTTTGTTAATTTTTCTATACCACATTTTATGAAACAATACAATCTCTGATATTTTAATGATCAATATTGAAAATACCAAAAATTAAACAGACTTAGACACGGACCAGGAGAGACTTGGGGAACCAGAAACAAAGAAGTCAAAGTCAAAGATGACGTCCTTAGCAGTTTAAAAAAGGGAATTGCAATTCATTGTTCATCTTTGAATTGACCCTGATGTGTACTGGTTTTCAACTGTCTCACGTCACATCCCTACTTCCTAATGATCACAGTGCTGCAGAATTCAGCAGGTAATACAAGAAGGATTGGCAGAAATTTCTACGGAAGATGGCCGCCTGTGTTCCTTGTTTTAAAGCAAACAAAAAGTCAGAGATAGCCTGATGAGACCGAGACGGGATCCAAACGGCGTATTTGTTGTTAATGCTTCATATTCGACTTCTTTAACTCACTTTCTTTCTCTTTCCCCCATAATCATCCTTTAATTTTCTCAAATTTTTGTTACGGCTGCTCCTCTGTTTTGAACATCTTCCTTCATTCATTCTTGTGTTGTATTTCTCATTCTTTCTTACTTTTCTCATTCTTATCTCCTCCTCTCCCTCTTTGTAATCCTCCTTGTACTTTAATTTACTCCCACACGGCCTCCTTGGGTTTCTTCCTCCTGTCTTTTTCATCTCTGCTCCTCCCCCATCTTGTCTGTTTTTCTTCCTCCCTCCCTTTTCTCTCCCTCTCTCTCTCTCGTCAGGCTTGACTAAAGATGGCGATGGCGGTGGTGCTAGTGCAAATGCCGAGTCGCTTGAGGAGATTCTTAATATTTTAGCTGAGGAGGGCTCTGATTGGATCTATGGCTTCTTCACCTTCCTTTATGACGTAGTTTCCTCACCTGTAGAGCGGGGCAAAGAAGAGGAAGAGGAGGAGGAGGAGGAGGGGAAGGAGGAGGAGGAGGAGGAGGGTGGCAAGAGCTCCTCTGATGATGTGGAGGTCAAAGGGGTCATACTGGACCTCCAGAACCAATAGGAGGACAGGAAGCAGAGCTGCGGCAAATAGAGAGGCCGCCTGGTCCCAATCCAGAGCAATGAGGACCAGACTGGGAGGTATCCCAGTCCAGCTGAGGGAGGATTGTGGTGTTTGTTTGGGACCTGATGGAGGACCTTCTGGTTTGCATTGCAGGGCTAACTGGGAAGAATTGCCCTACAGTCCTCCGAAAGCGACTAGAAACAAAAAAACAACAACAGGGTTTCTTAAAATACTACATATAAGAACAAGCGTAATTTCCAAGTTCTCTTATATCAACCTAAGAGTTTTGGTCTGTTGAAGGGTTGTCCCGACACAGACTGAATGAAGTTCAATATGATTTTTAGTAAAAATGAAACAATATCGATACCTGTATTGACAACACAGCAACAAAAATAGATGTCCCAGGAACCCAATATCGGATATTTTGTTGTTTTCTGTTCACAAAAATTGCAAGCAAATTCCTACACACTGAATGCACTTTATTTTGATGTAAAAAAAAATAAAAAATAAATCATGGGGACTTAAATTTGGCATTTAAAAGCAGAAACTATATAAAATTTTCTCAGGCGTTCCTTTTGTTTTGACACAAGATATAAACTATACTTGTATTCAAATCATATACAATCTATTATGGAAAAGGAAAAGAGGGCAGAAAAATCTTAGATGATATGCTTCTTTTTTTTTTTCAAGCTAAGTAAACAGCATATTGGTACATGACTGTTTACAATGCAATAGTGTACTTCCACCTGCTATTATCACCCACAAACTGAATATAAAAGGAGGTATCATGACATCATCCATTGCTTTGTGGACTACTGTGTACATTAACTATACTTACACTTTGCTGTGTTTTTCACTAGCATGACTTGGTATTCTCATGTAAACTCAGCAACTTTCTTCATGTGTAACAACAAAGCCGAAAAGTTAACTTTGTCTGGGATTTAGCTGTATTATGTAAAAGGATTGAACTTATGAAGTGAAGTGATTTGTGGCTTTGGCTTTTGTTGTATTATTCACTTCAAACTAGATTCATTACATTTCTTAGGGCAGTTGACTGTCTACCTTATTAATTTAATATTTCTGTAGTTTTCTTGAACCTCCTGTGATGTCTGTCTGTTCAGATGAAAAGAAGTTAAAAGGTCCTGCTCTCAGGAGAGACAGGCTAAGAAAAGGTATCGTATTAAAGTGTGTTTGTGTGTGTTCATTTTCCACACTGACATTCAGCTAAGAGCTCACCTGTCTGTTTGTAAACCTTTAGAGGACAAGAAAGAGGGAAAGAAGAAAGATAAAAATAAAGGTACTATCTTCAACTCTTCTGTAAGAGCACGACTCTGTGAATTTGAATAATAAAAACAGTGGAGTAAAGTGTTGTTAACCTTCAGGTCCTAATACGGACACCTGTACTAAATCTAAAGCATGTGTGAAGGGATTAAAGAGAGGCAATACATGTTTTGAGTAGCACAGAGGACTCAGTTTCAAAATGCCCTTCTTTTTTCAAAGTCTCTTGTTGTAAGAGCATTATTTTGCATGTGTTGTGTAAGCAGTGTGCTCTGCCGGGTGTGAGGATTTCACCTTTGTTTCTGATACATTTACCTTCCATAACAAATAACTGATGTCTATATCAACCTAGAAGAGAAGATGTCAGAGACGTCTGATGAGGAGATTGAACTCCCAAAAGGTAGCTTTTTAGATAAGAAGAAAAGTTATGTTGAGCTCTTGTTTTAGCCACTGATTTGTCGGTTTAATTGTGTATTCCTGGATCTGTTTGTTCTCTGTTGAAGATGTGACCGCAGAAGAGAGTGCCGCTAAAAAGAACATTACCAGAGGTATGCAGTCTGCCACCTGCACGTCTGAAATAAAAATGTAATTTTGGTCAGATAGGATTGAAGGCATGCCTTTGATTTAACAGTGATGTGCTTGGATTGACTTATAGGGCTATACTGGACCCTATTTTATAATGCTTTGGGTCGAAATTACTTATATGTTAAAAAAAGTTTTATGAAAGACTTTGTTGTCAGGTGTGCTGTAACAGAACCAGGGATGTGATATTGAGACTTCTTTAAAGTTCCAATGAAGCGTAACTTTGAGAGTCTAACTTCCGTGTCATGAATAATAACCAATCGAAACAGGATATAACCAATGAAAAGATAGAAGGCGAGTCTTAACATGGGATCAATTTGATTGGATAATTAGCTTCGACTAAGCTTATTAATAGGTTAAAAAAAAAAAGTTTATGCCCCTGCATGTAGGATGAGTCATCAGACATTTATGGTAAAACATTTTACAGTAAGGGAAAATACAGTTATTGGAATGTAAAAATATTTGGCAGCCAATGGCAGGTAAATAAACATTTTACACAGGAACACTTGATTAAAACTGGACGATGTATTTTTTATTTTATGGGGACTTCCAACAAATAACATCTATTGTTATGGGACATGAAATCCGGACACAATTTAGGAGAAACAATGATAAGGATTTCAGTCTAATAAGAAAAAAAAAAGGAGTTTTTGAACAATTGTGTCGTTTGAATAGAAGTGGAGCGAAATAGTAAGTAATTGTTAAATGTGGCAAAGAAAGAGCTTGTGAAGTGAAAAAATGCAAATGGTCCCAGTAGTGATCCCTGAGGAACTCAAGAGATACTAAAATGGGTTTGTTTTAGTGATGTCACACTCACATCCTTGTAACACTCCATTGGTTGCCTTGGTGTTAACAAATCACTGAATGGAGTTTTGATTCAAGTTTGTGAATGAGATTCCTCAATCATGACATGGTTAAAGTACCACCTTAAATCCCAACCTTAGAACCCCATGTGGGAGGTGCCAGGCTGCGCTCTGCTCTCAGGGAGGAGCTGCGAAAGATCCAAGAGAAGATGGAGGCCAAGAGGATAGCTCGCATCGCTCTTGCCGAGATCAGGGCCTTTCTAGCTGAAGAGGAGGAGGAAAGGGAGGCGGCGTGGGAACTCAAAGTGAAGACTCTGGAGGCTGTCCAGGAGCAACTGAGGGAGGAGAGGAGGAGAGAGGCAGAGAGGGTGGAGAAGGAGAAAGAGGAGAAGGAAAAAATTGAAAGGGAGAAGGCAGAAAGGGAAGCAATGGAGAAGGCAGAAAAAGAGAGGCTAGCTCGAGAGAGGGCAGAAAAAGAAAGACAGGAGATGGAGAGGCTTGCTAAAGAAAAGGCCGTAAAAGAGGAGAAGGAGCGACTTGAGCAAGAGAGGGCAGAGAAGGAAAGGGTAGAGAGGGAGCGCTTGATGAAGGAACGTGAGAGAGCAGCTAAGGAAAAGGCGGAGAGGGAACAACAGGAGAAAGAACGACTTGAAAAGGAGAGGCTTGAGAAGGAAAGAATTGCAAAAGAGAAAGCAGAAAAAGAGAGGCTGGAGATGGAGCGAATTGCTAAGGAAAGAGCAGAAAAAGAACGGCTAGAAAAGGAGCGCATCGCCAAAGAACAAGCAGAAAAAGAACGGCTAGAGAGGGAGCACATTGCCAAAGCCAAGGCAGAAAAAGAACGGCTAGAGAGGGAGCGCATCGCCAAAGAAAGAGCAGAAAAAGAGAGGCTAGAACTGGAGCGTATCGCCAAAGCCAAGGCAGAAAAAGAGAGGCTAGAGAGGGAGCGCATCGCCAAAGAAAGAGCAGAAAAAGAGAGGCTAGAACTGGAGCGTATCGCCAAAGCAAAGGCAGAAAAAGAGAGGCTAGAGAGGGAGCGCATCGCCAAAGAAAGAGCAGAAAAAGAGAGGCTAGAGAGGGAGCGCATTGCTAAAGCAAAGGCAGAAAAAGAGAGGCTAGAGAGGGAGCGCATCGCCAAAGAAAGAGCAGAAAAAGAGAGGCTAGAGAGGGAGCGCATTGCTAAAGCAAAGGCAGAAAAAGAGAGGCTGGAGAGGGAGCGCATCACCAAAGAAAGGGAAAGACTTGAGAAGGAGAAACTTGCTAAAGAAAAAGAGAGAATAGCGAGGGAGAAGGAAAGGATTGAACGAGAGAGGGTCGAAAAAGAACGGGTGGCAAGAGAGAGAGCAGAAAAAGAAAAACTGGAAAAAGAGAGAATAGCAAAAGAGAAGGAAAAGATGGAGAGGGAGCGCATCGCAAGGGAAAGGGCAAGAATTGCTCAGGAGAAAGAAAGACTGGAGAAGGAAAGGGCAGTGAGAGCAGAAAGGGAAAGAATGGAGAGAGAGCGAGTGGCAAAGGAAAGGGAGAGAGTCGCCCGGGAGAAGGAAAGAATTGAACAGGTGCGACTAGAGAAGGAAAGGCAGGGGAAGGAGAAGGAGCTAATGGAGAAGCAGAGGCTTGCAAGAGAAAAGGCTCTCCGGGACAAGATGGAGGCAGAGAGGCTGGCAAGAGAGCGGGCAGAGAAGGAACGCAATTCTGCTAAGGTTCAAATGAAGAAACAAGAGCTCCATGAGAGGAAAACAAACACAACTCTGCTGAAGACTCCAGAGAAGAGTGACCGAGCAAGTGTGTCCACAGTTAGAAGAGAAAAGACAGCAGTGGAGGAGAAGACGGCTTCAGGCGGGAGGAAGAAATGAAAACACAGCACAAAGTGACGGTTTTAAAAAAGGTGCTAGAGCTGTGATTGCCTGGAGGGTTTAAAGAATGCTTGGGATAGGGGTGTCACAGTAAAATATGATATGCAAGATACTTCTCTTAAAAAAATACATCTCTTAACATGACTGTGTGGGTGAATAAGTTTGTCACAGATTAAAGAGACAAACAAAAGATGCAGCAGGAAAGTCAGTCTGCGACTTAACATCTCAGCAGACTTCTTTTAGTTAGAGTTATTAACATGTCAGGGATTGACATGAAGGGAAATTGAGCCAATGGCTTTCCAAGATCACTGGCCCCACCACTGTAACCACTGGCCCAGGAATATTACTTTACCTGAACAAAACGACGTCACGTTTTCTATACTCAACTTACTTGTCTACATCTGTTGCCATTGATTAGCAGATTTGGCAAAAGACTACATTTTAATCTGCATCTGGTGTTCCAGCCAACTCTCGCAGTCTTGCCAGTATGGCTGAAACTTTCTCTTCCTTCTGTTTTCATACTCTCCGTCGACTCGTCTGGTGATTTTCATTTCCTTAAAATGTAGATTTTTCTTGACTTTTCCTGGCTCTTGTCTGGGAACGTTTGGTTTTAAAAACATTTTTACATTCTAGTTCATGAGAGATAACCCGCCCTGCTGTCAGTGTCTGAGTGTAAAACCTCAGTAAGCACACTCGAGGGAGCTACAGCAGTGAAGCTGTCGGCGGCGGCTGCCTTTCAACTATGAAACACAAAAAGGTGTGCTCATGAAACGTTGATGCTTTAGTAGTAATAACACAAAAAACGAAACACCAGTACCACAGGAAAATGATGCACGAGGCCCCACTCTCTTCACTGTTTCCCACACTATCCACTGACCTAGACAATCTGAGCCAAAGCCCAAATAAATCTTTAAAAATAATAATAATAATAAATAGAAAAATACTTTTTAGAGTGACATTTTACACCTTGTGTAATAAACATTTACAAGAAAATAAATCTGCAAACTTTTTTTGTTTCCTGTGTCCCTTGGGAGCCTCTTGCTTCATTTTGCATGTTGATTTGAAGTAGCTGATCACAAAGTTTAATTTTATTTTGAAGAGAATTATGTGTGAATCTGCAGATTTGTGATGTGACTCAAATCTGTTGTCATATCTTGCGACGCTTTAATGTTGTGTGATGGATCATTTAGTATTTAGTCCTTGGTCATATTGTGAATGGATTATTTGAAGTTTTCAAGAATGCGGATTTAATGAAATCAGATTTTGTGTTCCTTTAAATAACTCAGGACAATGCAGAGGGACTGTTTTACAACATTGGCTGTTCAAGTCTCACTTTGTCTGTTATATTCCCATCAGTGTGTGATTGATATTGTATGACGGTGACAGAGTCGTCTAACAAGACACAGATACACTACAAGAGAGTTCACTGTATTTGATTATGTCACAGCGTATTCAAATTATGGTCTTATTTTTTTAAAAGAACAAGCAGCTCATTTAAAAGACTTCTTCATAGATTTATTTATGAAATTCAGCTTTGTGCAGCCTTGAGTTTATTGCATAGGGCATGGTTGCAATTTTGTTGCTGTTTCGTGCAAAACGTAGTCCTTCAATAATTCAGCTTTTCCTTCAGAATGTGGGGAACTCTTCTATAAATGGCTCTTTGTTTTTTAAAAACAAGAAACTTTTGTCCTCCCCCTAAATGTAATTGAAATATGATTGTGTTCTACAACTGTAATTTGTAGAGTGGTTTCTGTGTAACTCTGTTCAACGTGTCTTCCGCATTAAAAGGTTGAGTAATGAACATCACATCCTCCTCCTCTGTTCAGTGTTATCTCTCTCCACCACAGCTTCCTCTTCTGTTCGCTCTCACACTCTGCTCCTCTCAGCTTTTATTTCCTGAAATTCCTGACCTCCTCACTGCTGCTCCTGTGGGCCTGAAGTTAGTTCTCCTGCTCGATACAAGAAAATAAAATGTTAGCTTAGAAGTTTATAAAAGGAAAGGAAATGTCACTCAACTGTAAACCCACGTTGACATAATTTTTCTTTTTTTTTGCTGTCGTCTTGATTGTGTTGGTTTCTTGATAAGCCAAGTTTTTAGATTCAGTGTGCAAATAAGGTCTGTTTATGTTCTATTGCTCAGTGTGACATTGTCAAAGTTTAGTGAACGGCTATGAAAATCTATTTTGTTAACCTGGATATATTCATACAACCAACTGGTTTTAGTACTACCCCCTGAATCCCTTTTTGCACTCACTGTTGTAGTTATTTGGAGCCAAAAGAGACCATATTAGTACGGCTGCTCAATAAATCAAAGATCGTAATTGCGTTAAGAGTGTTTCCAATAAACACATTACAAAAAAAAAAAACATTTTGATTCCCCATACTTATTGTCTTTGTTTCAATATTTAAAAAGTGAAAGCAGTCATTTGTTGCCTTGTGCATCCTTTATACACAGTTGTTCCGATATGCTTTTGTGCCTGATTTTTACTCTTGAACCGCTAAACAGGGCTGAAGGAAGCAGAGAAATCACCTGTGGGAGATTCACCTGTGGACAAGACAAGTAAGGACACACACACACACACACACACAGACACACACACACACACACAGACACACACACACACACACACACACACACACACACACTGCAGTCTGTTGTCTCCCAGACAATCGATCTCACACAGACCTGATACTTGAGAAATCCAGCCTGTTGTGTCACCCTGTTCCCACCTGTGAATTCAGACCTGCGGGCGTGTCTGCCTCACCTGACCTCTTCTAAACGACTGAAATCTGTTACACCAACAAAGCTGGAATGACGGCTACACACACACACACACACACACACACTGAGGCTTTATAACAACTCCACCCTGGTTCACTTTCAGACATTCATAAAGTTGTGGTCTCACAGGATGTGCAGGATACAAAGTTTCTGTATATGATGTGTTTTGTACTTTGATTTGGGGATGGTGTGAAGATAATCCATATTCACATATAATACACAATATTAGTGAATAAACTACTACAGAGGTGTAAGTGCACAATATGATTTTGCACAAAAACTCATGTGAAGCCAGTTTCAAACTAAGAGTAAAAAAATGGCACATCAAAATTTGAAGTTTCAATGTTTACCTAAAAAACCTGAAAAATAATGAGTTTTAAGAAATATATTACGCACAAAAAACTAAATAACTGAATGCAAAACAATCAACAGATTAAATGATGTAATTAAAATGATCATAACTTGAAACTCTGTATGCTGCAGTCATTTATAAACTATTACGAGTTACAAAGTGCACAAATGTTTTTTTTTTTAGGTTGAATCTTCTGTTGTCCTTTTTCCTAGTTTTAAAACCAGAAGACGCCAGCAAGCCTTTAGCTGAAACAACCAATGAGCAAGCGGCTGAGTCACAGGGGGCGGAGCCAACAGAGGCATCAGTTGAAACACCGACTGAGGATACTGCATCAGGTGTGGAACATGTTTATTGAGTGCAGACTCTGCAAAAGTTTTTTTTTGAATCTCAAATAAAGTAACTTTAGTTACTCAGCAGATTTTAATGTGGCCTTTTTTATTTTGACACAATGTTTATATTTAATTCCAAGCATCATGAAATGCAGCTCATTATATCCACATACGCATAGTATGCTGTCAATCATGTATTGACAAAAAAATTAAAGTGATATTGATATATTCGATATTGCTTAATTTATAGTTAGATGTATAAATTATATTTCTATTTTAAGAAATAAATAACCCCATTATAATGTTTACTCTAATCGACGTACAGATCCAAACATTGTATTTATTTCTGTTTTTATTGCATATTGTGTATTTTTTTTGTTTAAAATCAGAATTCTTTGACTTTCCTGCTAACTGTCTGTGTTTGTCAGTGTCAGAGAGCAGCAGCTCTCCTGTCCTTGGTGACGATGATAAAGGTATGTAGTTTGTGTGAATGTTTATGATGAAAAAGGATTTTCTGTGGATCTTGTCTGTATCACTGCTTTAAACATTGAATGCTCCTTTTTCCGCCTTGTTTGCTTCAGTTATTTGCTTGTTTGGTATCATCGGGTACTCTAACTGGCCAGAACTATGTGAACTTGTTATGCGTCTTCTCTCCTGATTTGGTCTGTGATAAGGAAGGGTTGGAAGGGTAATGTGGGTATATATAAACCTAGACCATATTGTTTGACATATTAGGGGTCTAAACTGATTTTAGCTAAGAAAAGTTATTGGTTATTAAGTTATTACATCACTGGAACAGGAAATACTGATCTATTGCTGCCTAGATTGCTTCGTGTTTAGTGTGTTATCATGTGTTGGAAAAATATTCAGTAGGATTCAAACTAACTTCTTAAAACAACTCTTCCATAACTCAAACAATCCAGTTGGAGCCACATTAAGAAAACAGCTCCTGTGTCTGACTGTGTTTGTCAGTGGAGTCTGGTGAATTTTAAAAGGGCACCATACCAGCTTACAGTCACACAGACCTTTTCTTTTGCGCCTTTTCTTTTTGAATTCACTTTTTGCTTGTGTCTTAGCAGCAGATTTAACATCTGTCAGGAAGACCTAAAACACAAAAACAGAGGCTGCTGTTTGTTCACATACTTTTGGCCTGTTGTTGTATCCATTGCAAACACTTCTTTCCAGCATCAGTTTGTATATTTGCCTGTGTTTGCATCTTTTTGCCTGTGAATGCTCCTGTTACCTGCTGTCTGCCCTCGCTGTGAACAGCTGACATGATGATGATGATGTCATAAAGGTAACACTCTGGCTCCTCCTGTCTGTGTCTGATGCAGGCTCCAGATCTTACGATGTGGAGTCTGAAATCCAAGGTTGGTCCTGCACTCACTCCAAGTTAGCGGCTGCAGCACAGTGTGTTTAGACGTGTGTCTGTGTGTCTGTATGTGTGTGTTTTCTGCATGTTAAGTTCTTTGCATCTTATCGTTAGCCGATCAGTTTATAGAATCAGTCTGCTCGAGGGTTGTCACGATAGCAGATTTTTAAACTTCAGTATGAGTCTAGTAAAAATAAAACGATCAAAATCAATACCTGTTTCTATACTACCGCAACAAAAATAGGAGTCCTAGACACCCAAACGCCTGCACTGTGTCTAAAAATGCAACTTTTTGGCCAAGACGTGAGGCGGCGCCACAGACGGCTTTCATCACCACTACTTCAGTCTGCTTGGTGTGTCAGGGACAAATATGTCGGCAACCTACATTTTCCTGCAATTCAGACACTGCTCTCTCTCTTTCTCTTGCAGCAACTTTTTGATACTATCGAAAAAATTAAAATAACAGAGAGGATATAAAATTTTAAAATGCATGGTTTCAAAAAGTATCAAAGTATAGAGAATTCTGACCTGCAGGACTCCATATCATTGACATAATAATCCACGTTACTGTTTATGTATATGTGTGTTAACATATGTGTTAACATGCGTGTTAACATGTATGTTAACCTGTGTGTTAACATGTGTGTTAACCTGTGTGTTAACCTGTGTGTTAACATGTGTGTTAACCTGTGTGTTAACCTGTGTGTTAACCTGTGTGTTAACATGTATGTTAACCTGTGTGTTTTGGTGTCTTTAGCTGCTGTTCCCCTGCCTCTGTTGTCAGAAGAATTTGTGCCTCGTAAGTTTAACACTCTCATTTCATTATCTTTTATAAGTGAAATTAGACTTTAAACCAGTTGTTGAAAAGTAATCCGATAAATTTAAAGATACCAGATTGGGGGGTTTGGGGGCAGCGCTGGTAGTTTAGTGTTTAGTAGGCGCGCCTCATATACGGATGCTACAGTCGTCAAAGAGGGCGGCCAAGGATCAGTTCCAACCTGTGGCTCCTTTCCCACATGTCATTCCCCACTCTCTCTCTCTCTCCCTGATTTCCAGCTCTATCCACTGTCCTATATCTACAATCTTCTCGAAAGAAGAGTTTGAATCGAATAATACCAAATCGTTTCATATTTGAATGAATTTTCCCTGAATCAGATCTAAGCTCTCGAGAATCAAATCGGATATAATTGTCTTGTAACTCTGTGACATCAAAGTGGTTTGAGATTATGATGAACCTTTACTGAATCATCTAAATAAACGTTTTGTTTAACAGATGATCCCAGAGACAGCGTTGATCCTAATGGTAAGAAAGGACTCATCTTTTCTGTCCTCTTCCTTTAATACACCTTAATATGTTTTATAATAATTCACTTTTGTTGCATTGACATGCTTTTTACGTTGTTGTTTCAGAGGAGAAAGATGGAACCATCGACACCACTGGAGGTGAGAAACTGTACAGTTATATAAAATGTAATTTATGAGCTATAGTCCTCATCGCAGCCCCCGAGGGTTCAAAATCCAATCTTGGCCCCGTGCTGCATGTAGTTATCCACTCTCTTCTCTTTTTCCGGGTTTTCTTCAGCTGTCTTATCTAATAAAGGAAAAAAGGTATCACTCAATCAGACTCTATTTATAAAGCACTATTCGAAAAAAAAATGTTGCAGAAAGTGCTTTACACAGAAAATCAATAAAAACAATAAACAGTTGAGTTTGCTTTTAAAAACGTTAACATTATCAGGGACAAAAAAATTACAATCCTTACAAATGTGTCTTTGTATCATTAAATCATAAAAAAAAGCAGAACAAATGTGAATTAAAATCTGAGTTTTTAATTTTTTTTCTGTGCTGTAGTTCTAGTGGAGGAGCGCCCCTCAGAGGAGACTGTAGGTGAGTCCAACAGATCGCGAATCAAAAAGTTGTGAGGTATTTTGTATGTTGTATTAACAACAGTAAAAACAATGGACTCTGATATATTTTCTTTTTTGATTTGTTTCGCAGTGGACTCCACACAATACTTGACCAGCTCCAAAGTCACACAGGAAGCAGGTACAGTGTGGATGCTTTGACAAAAAGCAATAAATTAAATCATAATAAAAGGTTTATTGTTGCCTGTTTTTAAATAAAGTTCAGGGAATCTAGAAAATGCAGTTCTTCCTGAACACGTGCTGCCTTACTGGTTCTGCTGCGTTTATATTGCTGAGACCAGTCATGCATCGCTCCATCCCGCTCCTTTTAAGGTTTTAATATCTCACCAGGTCTTTTCATTTCCTGAATATTTCTTGAGAAAACAGAAGAATTTCATGAATAATTTTGGGTTTGAGGCGATGTAAATGTTTTGAGCCACTTTGGAGGAAATTGGTTTCATGGGAAAGAAAATAAATAAACAAATAAAATCTCATATGGAAGTACAAATATTTTATATCCTTTTCTCTGTGAAGTTATATAAAATAAAGTTATGATATCAATAAACTTTGTGTTGTTTTTGTCTATTCAGAGACGGTGGAAGAGCCAGAGAACCAGTCCGAGCCCCCAGTGGAACCAGAACCAAAAAGTGAAACTTCTAAAGTGGCCGAGAATAGTGCAGAGGCTGAGGGTAAACACACACAAATATTTAGAGCTCCCCCTGCTGACTGACTGCGGTATAGGTCATGAGCTCCGCCTCCTCCCTGTTAACAGATGGGACATGGGTCAAACTAAAAAATAAAAATTCCACATCAAATCACTGAAACACAATAACACAAACTAACCGATCAAGTTTGAAGTAGAGCAACAACTCCTGAGTTCTGGAAATAAAATTACAGTTTTTGTCAATGGAGTCTGGTGGCTTTGAAGTGAGTGATGTTAGTTTTTTTTTTGCTTTTTCTTTAACAAAAAGGTCTGTCTCTGTAGGGATCTAGAATTACAATCTGAGCCTGTCAGTGAGAAAAACAACCACTTTTATTGGACACACTTTGACATATGTTGCAGACGTTACAGCCTGTTTCACTGCTGCAGGCTGAAGAAATATACTGGAGCAATTCTATTATCTTTTTACTCATTTAAACACCAAAAATATGCACAAATGGGGCTAAAGTCTGTCTCATCTGCTGTGTCACAGGAACTACAGAGACTCAGGCTGAGGAAAAGGTCAAAGAAAAAGGTAAAAACTGATAATGAATCATACAAGCAGGTGTATCATTTCAGATTGAGCCCTGTCACTCACACGGCTTCTTCATTTTACTTCTCTAAACTTTTTATCATCTCTCCCATTTTGTATGTTTCTTTCTCCTCCAGCAAAGAAGAAGAAACCAAAACTGTTGAATAAATTTGATAAAACTATCAAAGCAGAAATCGACGCTGCAGAAAAGCTCCGCAAAAAGGTAGAGACATGATGCTGCAGATCTCCTGAAAACACTCACTCACATTGCACTTTTACAGAGCATGCATGACACCTGTTTGTCAGTATCAAATATCTGATGACTTATATATATTTTGATATGTATCGTTCTCCTGCTTTCAGGGTAAGTTGGAGGAGGCATTGAGAGCGTTCGAGTCATTGGTTCAGCAGCATCCTCAGAGCCCCCGCGCTCGCTTCGGAAAGGCCCAGGTACTAAACAGTACTACTACACATTACAACTGTACTGTGATCTGGTACTGTATCTAAATGTTGTTTCTTAAATATGTGGACAGACGGAGGACGACCTGGCAGAGAAGCTGCGTAGTAACGACATGCTGCAGAAAGCCATCAACAGCTACAGAGAGGCCGCTGAGCTCCCTGACGTGACCCCTGACCTCCTGAGAGCGGCGCTGAAGAAACGAGCAGAGAGGCAGCAATTCCTGGGTAACAAATACTTACACTACACCTAGTGCTACTTCTAGAAACAATACTGCTCACTTACTGTTAGCAATTACCTCTTTAGATCCCCCAAATGTGGATAATCGGGATACAAAAAAAAAGGAATGCATTAATTTCAGACTCTGATTGTAGTGATGGCAGCTAACCAACTTCTAGATGATTTTTGGATTCGTCTATAAGCCTGTGTTTGGGATTTGTGTAAAGATTCCTAAAATTTGAATGTTCGGGATTTTTTTTCCTTTTTCTCTCTCAGGACGGATGCGAGGCTCTCTGACGACTCTGGAGAGGTTGACTCAGATCTTTCCGGAGGATATCGGTCTGAAGAACGACCTCGGCGTTGCACACTTGCTGCTGGGAGACAACAAGGGAGCCAAGAAGGTCTATGAGGAGGTGTGTGTGTGTGTCTATGTCCTCAGCAAACACACGTCATTTCTTCCACCACAGAGGTTCTTATAACCTTCCTCCAGAAAACTGATTGGTTCTTCTTCATTTATAGGTTTTGGCGGTCGCCCCTGATGACGGTTTTGCCAAAGTTCACTACGGCTTCATCCTGAAATCAGAGAACAAGATAGCAGAGAGTATACCATACCTGAAGGTAAACACACACACACCTTTGTATGCTTGTGAAGACTTTTTTTAGCAACATTTAGATGCAAAAAAAAAGGAGGAAGGAAGGAGAGCCGTTGTTCTTCTACTGATAACTTTAAGGCTGCTTGTTATTAATCAAAATACAAGCAAAAAATTTACCAAAAGAAACCAGAATAATATCCAGTCCAGTCTAAATGTATCCTGTTCAATCAAACAACAACATAAAAACAACACAACTAACACAAAGACCGATTTAAAGACAACAGGACAATAAGCGCTTAGAACAACAGGATAGAAAAAGATTTAAGTGTTGTGTCTGACAAAAATCCAGGTCAGAGCCAGAAGGTAAGTCGAACTTCTTCTCTAACAGTCATAATTCCTCCATGTACAAACCCCCAAAAATGGCACAAGAGAAGTAAGCACTGGACATTTCCTTATTCGGCGCATAAAAAGTTCACTGTATCCATCCAAGCCAAGCATCTCAATAAACTGAGTTTATTCACCATGGCAACAGAAATGAAAAATGGCTTCAAAACATCATCTTTTTAGCTTTTAGGACTTTCCACTACGTCTTTGGGCATTCTTATAATGCAGTGCTTCCGCCTGTATGATCCAGTTTTAACCGGTTCTCCTGACCGGGGTATTCTCTGTCACAACCCCTCCTTCTACTCCTCCTCCAGAGGGGCTCACTCTCCTCTACTCCTCCTGGATTTCTAACGCACAATAATATATGTTATATCATCATTGTTTAAGCACAAATACTGTCATGGAACACAGAGCATATCATTCGTCATGAATATTATGAATATAATTGTTTTCCACACAGGGAATATAAAACATTTGATATCAAAGACAGTTTGGGTTTTCTCTCAATCAGAGCCCAGCAGCAGGTCAAATAGAATTAAGACAAAAAGTTTAGATCAAATCAGAGCAGGAAGATAATGACATAAAAACACTCTGTCCTGCACAAGTCCCCTTTATAAACCTGATTAAACACAACTGAGAAGCCAGGTTTCATATCCAGGTTGTTAATGTGACTGTAAAGTGCTGTAATTTATAATCTGTCATCTAATTTAAACTTAACACTTAAATTTAAACCCTTAAAACAACTTAAAAAACTCCCTTCTCTCCTCCTGTGTCTCTTCAGGAGGGTTTGGAGTCCGGTGAACCGGGGACAGACGACGGGCGATTTTTTTTCCACCTGGGTGACGCTCTGCAGAGAGTCGGAGACAACAGCGTGAGTAGCACACATGAAAACACAAACTCACATCAGTTATGGCTTCATACCTGCCTGGTACATTCATCACTTTCTAAGAAATACAGGAGCTGACAAAACAAAAGCTTTCTGATCACAGGTGACTCTCCCTCGTTTTAACGTCTTTTCAGTGCTCTACACAAGACGCGCTGCCATCCTGTTTTTCTTATTATGTTTTCTAACTTTTCCGTTTGTGTAACCTCGGATACTAGTCTGATTTTCTAACTTACCCCTGCTCTGTCCTAGGCGTTAAAGTTAAGCCCAGGTGTAACACAAACGGGGCTGAAGTCCAACAGGTGCACAGGGTATAACTTTAAGTTCAGTAATTTTCGAAACAGGACATTCAAATGGAACGTGTACAAAGTCTGGTGTCAAGTGAACTGTGTTTAACAAAAAGAAAAAGGTAATTAAATAACAATAAATACAAATATTGAAAGTCAAACCAGATAAATTAATTTGTAATTAATAAAATAAAAAATCTTTATAATATAATATGTTTACTAACTGAGTGAATAGGAACGCTGGCATAGACAGAACAAGTTTAGCGTGTGTAAGTATGTGTGTGTGAGTGTGTGCTCTCTGCAGTCAGTGACAGAGCAGCTCCGTCACAACAAAACCACGTTTGCATCCCATGACAAGAAAAAGACAGAATCACGATCAAGAAGGAAAATATGGTAATTTAACATCTGTACCTGCAATAATGTCTGTTGGCCACTTGGAGGTGCCAAAGAGTAACGATAAACATCCTCTAGTCTAAAGTGACCTCAAATTACTCTTTTCTATTTTATTAAAACAATCAATTATGAGACAATGAATCAGCTTTATCAATGTCCAGTTACTCAAAGTCATTTTTCAAGCTTTCTCTGGTTCCACATTCTCAATGGTGAGTTTTTGTTGTTTGATCTTTGATGGCAGAAAACCAAATATTTCGGGATTTAGAATTTCTCTGTTTTAACTCCACGAAAGTCCCAAATGTAAGCTTGTCTTTCTTTACAAACAAAACGCTTTTACAGTATTTATCAGTGTCTATCTGTGCGTCTGTGCAGGCGTATCACTGGTACGAGCTGGGTCATAAACGCGGCCATTTCGCCTCGGTGTGGCAGAGGTCTCTCTACAATGTGGACGGACTGAAGGCTCAGCCCTGGTGGACGCCTAAAGAGACCGGTTACATGGATCTGGTGAAGGTAAAGTGTGTGTGTGTGTAAGGGAGTTTGTATTCACATGTGTATATGCATTCATTAACACTTTAAAGAACTGGAGCTGTGCTGATGTTTTAGACGCTGGAGAGGAACTGGAAGACGATCAGGGAGGAGGCTCTGGCTGTGATTGACCAAAACACGGGACTGTTCATACCTGAGGAGGAGAACCTGAGAGAGAAGGAGAATGGGGGCAGTACACACTCTGGCAACAAGGTACACACTCCAGAAATGCATGAGGCAATACAGACCATTCTTACCCCACCGATACAGTTTGTTTTCAAAACGATTAGATTTTTAAAAGTAAAAAGGGTGGCAGCAGATGGACGATGCAGGTGGGACCTACCATAAATAACTGAATGTGACAGTGGAATTCTGCATAGTGTAAAAGATGACCTTCAAATCAAACGCTGGAAATGTTTTAATTAAGATAGGAAAAGTTTGTACTTCACAATTTTGATAAGAAGCTGCACTAAAGGAACATTCATTATGTGTTTTTGTTCTCTGTGTACATTTTTTGTGTGAATATAATTCTTAATTTCTATTTTAATAATGCTTGAATGTATCTTTTGGTGTTTTTTTTTTTTGTCTGTTTAGGTAAAAAAGCAGGAACTTCATGTCAGGGTGTCCCAAAGACTTGTGCTCTGCTGGATAGATATCCTGAAGCTACAGGTTGCAAGAGAGGACAGGTACACACACACACACACATACACATACACACACATATCTTAACTTCACCAGGCCCACATTAAGGATTAAATCAGTATTTCCTGCTTTTCGACTTGACTCTGATGACTAGGCACGGCTGCTCCAAAACCACAAAACAAAAGTACATCTTGGGGGGGGAAACAGCTGGGAGTGTAGAGCAGGGCTGCTTGTGTCTACGGGTGACCAAATAGAGTGAAATTTGAAATTTGTATAAAAAGCTGAGGTGGGGGGTACATGAGATAAAAATGTAAAAAACGAAACAGTATAGAGAATTCCACCATCTCTTCATTGAGCTCTGTCTGGACCTACAAAGTAGTAAAGCCCAAGCTTTTACCATCTGAAGCAGGAAATCTTAAAATGATAATCTCATGAGCTAGTTTTAATCTGCTTATGTTACGCGCTTTTGTGTGTGTGTGTGTGTGTGTGTGTGTGTGTGTGTGTGTGTGTGTGTGTGTGTGTGTGTGTGTGTGTGTGTGTGTGTGTGTGTGTGTGTGTGTGTGTGTGTGTGTGTGTGTGTGTGTGTGTGTGTGTGTGTGTGTGTGTGTGTGTGTGTGTGTGTGTGTGTGTGTGTGTGTGTGTGTGTGTGTGCAGATAAAGTTCTCAGTGATGCAACCAGGTACACACGTGTGGCCTCACACTGGTCCCACTAACTGCAGACTGAGGATGCACCTCGGCCTCGTCATCCCCAAACACGGCTGCAGGATCCGCTGCACCGACCAGACACGGTACTCCTCTTCTTCCTCTTCACTTTTAATCCTCCTCTCAACAATCTCCTCATCCTCCTCTTTTTATTCCTCTTTCTCCTCACAGCTTTTTAAGTATTTTTATATGGCAGTGAGTTTTGATATAATAACTTCATTAAACTTGTGATCTCAGGGTTATTCACAACTCACCAGATGGGCTTATAAGACAATGTAATGCATACTTTTTTCATGCTTACCAGACAGTAAAACCTAATTGCAATCCTGGTTTGTTTGAGTGAATTACCCATAATGCAGTGTGCTTCAGTAAAGGGTTCTGCTAACCTCTCTTGTCCTCGCCCCCCGGTGTCTCAGGGAATGGGAAGAGGGAAAAGTCCTCATCTTCGACGACTCCTTCGAGCACGAGGTGTGGCAGGACGCCGACAGTTACCGCCTCATCTTCATCGTGGACGTGTGGCACCCAGAGCTAACGGCTCACCAGCGCCAAACTTTGAGCCCGATTTAGATCCAGAACACACCGAGGACTGCAGAACTAGTAAGAACAGTATGAAGGACTTATCGGACCCTCTGATTCTTCTTCTGTGGATAAAAACACTGAATGTCTGAGAAGAATCCCATTTGTTGATGAACTACCAAAATCGACATTCGAAGGATCAAAACATCAGACTGGGGATATTTTCTGGGTTTTACTACTGACTTTATTTCACCAAAACTACACAAGGTACGTGTTTACGCCCTGATATAGACTTAACCCATAACTTAACTCAGTTTGGCTCATCGTCAGGGTTAATAAATGTGGAATATTTGACTTTTTAAAATCTGATATCATAGAACATTTTCCAGCTTGTTACTGAGACTCAAACAGAAACCCGCCCCCTGATGCTGTGGTACGGTTTCTCATTGTTAAGTGGGAGAAATTGTGATTAAGAAAACACTAAATGTTTGAGAAGAAACCTCACTTATCTTTCTTGATAAGTTTGTTTAAATGTCTTTGTTTATGAAATAAGAAAGGAGCCTTAATTTTAGCTTGAACCACTATGCATTTCTTCAGTTTATCCAGTGGGTTTTTAGTTTCACTTTTTCATCACTTTTGCACAGAAACCAAGAAACACAAGATGTTATTAAAGATGATTTATATTTATATTAAAAATAAAGATACTGGAAAAAAAATGGCAAAAACAAGAAAAATGTGTTTTCTTTTTGGAAATGATCCCATCTTATTCTCAGACTTTGAATGGTGTTATGTGATTCAATGTGACCGAGCAGAAAACGATAGAAGGTTTTGCAGCATGTTTAAAATGTAACATTAATATAAAAACTTTCACCTCAAACTTGAAAATTGTGAGTATTTAAAAAAAATCATAATTTTTCATGTATTTTGGAGCTCAACTACTTAAATGATAAAAAAAAAAAGATTACATTTTCTACCAGCAGCTGTGTAGCAGCTGTGTAGCTTTAATGGATGTTACATACAGTAATACTTTTCAATAAGTGACCAGATCTAAGGGTCTGTGTCTGTGTTCTTTATTTCCTGAACTGTTGCATTAGAGATTCCTTAAAATAAAACTCTTCTAATTAAATGAATCACAGCACAATCATGTTGGTGTAAATGTTTACTTCTATACATTCATTGAAAGGAAATACATTACATTACAGTCGAGTGGAGACCAGAACACTGCTTAGTGTAGCCCTGATAACAAGTCAAACACGCTGCAAAAAATAATGACAAACATGGCCTTTAAATTTGACATACTTCACATTATTTGAGATAAAGAAGTGAAATTATCAGTCTGCAAGTGTTCCTTCTTCTCAAAATTATGTTGAACTTGTTGGCATATTGGTTTTGTTTCTGGTTTTCAGAAAAGAAATTGAAGTGAATTGACTTGGATTATCTCAGGATAAGATCGGCCAGGTGTGCCACTTTTTTCGCAGTGTGGTAATACTTGTAACAATAATATACAATCTTCAAATAATTTAGACTCAATAAAAAAAATCTCTCCCTTCACAATCAAAGTTAAAGTGAAAATTTGGCATCCTGTGGTTTCTTCAAAATACAATACTTTTAGAGAAAGACATGTTTCACTCTGGTAGAACAGTTTTGAACATTTTCATGCATTTGATCACGTTTAAGTGTTGTGACTAGTGCCGTCCTTTTGTTTGAATTGCCTCTGACAGTTGTTGTTGATGTGATTTTGTCGTTTTAACATGAAAGAAAAAATGTGACATTATTCTACCAAAGTGAGTTTTCCTTCAAGTCATCCTTCCTCCCATCCTTTCTTCAATAACTAATATGGATTTTTTTTATCCCACGTTTAATGATTTATTTCTTCTTCTGAATTTAAGACAAAGTCAAAAGAAGACATCATTTAGAAATACTCCAGCAGGAAGATAAAAACTTAAGGGAAGTAATGGAGCCGTCCTGCGAGTACCGCACATTAACCTGAAAGTAACTTAAAACTTAAATTTTATATTCACAATCACAGCTCAGAAAACAGTGAACATTAATGTTTTTTTCTAGAATTTAACGCTGGGTTACACCAACAAAGATCCTTAAGTATGAATCAAATCATATAAGTTTTGTCTTCCTATTGCACCACAGACCTTACAGAAAAAAAACTCAATGAAATGTTAAAGCTGCATTAATACATTTAGGCCACTAGGGGGCAGTAGAAGTGAGTTACAGACAAAATTAGAGCGAAATATTGATGCAAACATTTTTGTCCAATATTCAAGTAGTGTCCACCATTAATTTCACAGCTATATGACACTTATTATTAGTAGAATTAATTTGAAATAATATACAAAACAAATGTTCTAAGCTCTGAGACTCCAATCAAACATCCAAGCATGTTGGGGAGTTAGAAAGCCAGTAGATGCTTCTTAAGACTTGCCTTTTTGAGTTCTCTACAGTATAAAAGCAATCCAAGTGATAGTTATCTGTAAATCAAATTGTACGAGGCATACATGAACTGCTAATAGCTCATTTGGCATAGTTTTACAGGTTCCAGTTAGCTAAAATGCTACAAAAACACAGCTTATAATAAACTGACTCCATAGAAGCATCTTTCTTGAATCATTATGGTGAAATATAGCTACAAATTATTATCATCCACCAAATAGAAGTGAAAAAGGTAAATAATATGAGTGAATAAATTGGATAAATCAAATATTTTTCCAACCTTTATTGGTTTAACTTGTAAAGTTTGTTTTATCGTGTTAAATAATAATAAACTCAGATGAAACTTTATTTTGTTATTAATGAATCCTTGTTGATGTAACCCAGCCGAAGCGATCTTAATTGTTGATATTATCATATATGTAATTGTTTGTTCTTAACCATTGAATTCTTAGCTAACCGTGCGTGCCGTCACATTTGTTCTGCGAGGTTTTAATAAGAGTTTCACTACATCTTTCATGTTTCTGACTCAGCAATAATCAGAACCATTACTAGTGAAATGCAATAACGGTGTTACATTCCTCCTGGTTTCTCACAAAGACTTGAAGCACATGGTCGTGCAGACTGACGTCAGATGACACACAAATACACCCTTCAGAGTGTGTCGTTGTAGACATCAGGACAGATGCTGCTGGCTGGAGAGAGGCTCAGCTGGGAGGCATTAGACGGCTCAGAGACAGGACAGACTTTGTGTGTATTGGTATGTGTCCTGTTTTGGAAGTTCAGAGTTCAGGTCATTAGGACACAAGTTTAAATCCTGTAGCTAAATACAGACAGAATATGGGTGTGATTAAGTGTTTTTGCTGTGTGTTTTTGTCCTTTGAGAAGTGTGTTGTGTGTCTGTACATGTGTGCTGATGGATCTACATGTGTGTGTTTGTGGGTACACTATATATATATATATATATATATATATATATACGTGTGTCTTCAGTCCAGGGCCAGTAGAGGTGTGCTGGTCTCTCGATCTGTTGGCCGGAGAGTTTCTGGATCAACTGCAGATTGAGACCTGAAACACACACACACAATCTTTGTGATATCAAGTAAAAGTATTCACATTCTTTACATTAAAGGGAATTCCACTATTTTTAAACTTCGGTCCTGTCTTTTATATATCTGGTGGTCTAACATTTTGAATTTCTCCAGATGATTTCTTCAGCCTGCAGCAGTGAATCAGGGTGTAATGGCTTCAATATAAAACTTTGTGGACAATGCTCTCGATCATGTTGTGTCCACTAAAAGTTGTTGTTTTTGTAACTGACAAATTGAGATTGTTGTTCTATGTGTCTGACAACATTACAGAAAGAGATAGACTTTTTGTTTGAATGAAGATGATTTTTATAACCACAAACAGCTGTTACCTCAATCTCGAGACTCCATTAAGAAAACAAGGAGTTGTACCTCGCAGAACACAGAAGTTGCTGGTCTGCTGCTGCTTTGATTATTTCCCTTTGTGCATATTATTTTGTGTTTCACAAATATTGAGTGAGATGTGGACTATTTGAAATATAACAGTCAATCTGAGCCTATCACTGACAAAAAAAACAACAACTTTTTGTGGACGTACTTTTACATCCTCGTTAACAACCTGGTTACATCCTGCATTGACTACTGCAACTCCATTCTCTTCGGTCTCTCTCTCAAGTCCATCTACAAACTTCAACTGGTCCAGAACTCTGCTGCTCGCATCATCTCCAGAACTCCCTCCATTAATCACCTCACTCCTATTCTTTAGCAGCTTCACTAGCTCCTAGTTAAACACTGCATGGACTTCAAGTTTTTTCAGTATAGTAAAAAAAGAAAGTAAATAAGGTAAACTACAGAACATTAAATATCAAATTAGCAGTCTCTTTTCATCAAATTCAAAACTGTAGTAAAACCAGTGGTGCAGTGCAGGGTATATGCAGGTATACAGAGTAGACCCACTTGTTTTTCAGTCTCCAAAGGATATACCCACTTCTAAATCTCCTCTAAACCACTTCATGATTAACTGACAATATTCAGTAGTTTGCTGGAATTTTTTCCTAGAATGGTAAAGGGATGACCCTCCCTACTCTGTCTCTAATTGACTAGTACGTACCAACTGAATGTAAAAGAGGAATCTTACATGTCACTATTTTAAACAGAGGCCTTTTTTTCTCTGCTGAACGGGTCCCACATTTAGGGGCAAAATGAAGAGTATACCCACTTCTTCAGCCACCACTACACCACTGAGTAAAACCCAGACTACTCTCTTCATCCATCGCCTCACCTCTTCATCATGTCCTTCTCTCCTCCACCTCCACAGTTCTCCCTGACGTGCAGCGCATCATAGGTCAGCGTGTACTCCGTCTCGTCATTGTAGTCTGGTCCCAGCAATGTTCGTGCCCAGATTCCCATATCGTACGGAGGAAGAGTCCCGCCAAATTCCGACGGCAAACACTCAGGCTGGATGAGCTGGTGGAGAGAGTTCAGGTTGTTGCCGTGAAGGAAGATCTGAGGGAGGGAGAGGAAACAAAGTGAGGAAAGGGGAGGAAAGAGACAATTGGGGTGGGGCAAAAAAAGAAGGGGAGGAGACAAGTAGATAACTCCGTAACAAGATAAAGGAATCAAAATAAAAGCAGAGAGTAGGAAAGATGATTGAGATTCACCCTCTTCCTGGTTTTGTCCTTGAGGAAAGGTTTAATGATGGTGTACATGGCGTGGATGTACCATGGCTGATTCACAAAGTGGATTCCTCCAAACCGGGCCGGGAAGCTGTCCTGAGGAGACGAGGAGAGGAAAGACAACGTTTGAAGGAGACAAAGCAATAACAGGTAGGTCGAAGAGACCCGAAAGGTAAATGAGTAGGAGAACCAAGGAGATAAGAGAAGTCCAGGAGAAGACGAGGAGGTGTTCAGAGGTCAGGTGTTTGTGTTGTTATTTACCTGGAGGCCCTCTATGGCCAGTTTGAGGATGTTTGGGGTTAACTTGGACGCCTGTTTGAAGGAGAAATTGCTCCAGTCGATGATGAGGATGAAACCGTTAATCTGAAGTTCGGGGTTCTCTATCAAAACCTCCAAAGACAGCAGGATGGCCCGCAGGATGTCCGTGAACGAGTTCCTGATCAAGAGGGAGAAGAAGGATGAGGGGAAGATAAAGACAACTTGTATGTCGGTGTTCATCAACAGCTAATCAATAGTTAAAGAGGCTGTGACGGTGAGTCTTAACTACAACAATGGACTCAATCGGCTTTTTGTGTTCTTGTCTATTTATAGTGTAAGTACAGCACTGACTCATTAGGCTCCTTGTTCATTTCAATCAATAGACAGACATGTTAATGTGTGTGGGACAACATGTTTAATGTGTGTTCTGAGGATCTTAATGTGTTTACCCAGTCAAATAGTGGGGACCTGCCTTCTTTGTGCAGACAAAACTCAATTCCTCAAACCTTTAATCATTAAATTTGAGGAGAAAGTTTGCATTTAATATTTAAATGAATAATTGATGTATATGAGTGTGAGTGGCATTGTGCATAACCTACGTTTTGAGGACCTTAATGTGTTTACAAAGTCACACAGTAGGGACTCATCTTTCTTGTGGAGGAAAAAACTAAAAACCTTACTATTTAAATCATTACATTTTATAGGGGATGACTTGATTTAGAAAGGGTAAGATCAGGGTAAGTGTTACTATATGTATGTGTGTTTGTGTCCAACATGTATTCCCCATGTTGTCGGGCCCTTGAGGTGTTAACATAGTTAGTAAAACCATAACATAGTAAAACCTCCCTTCTTCCTGGGAAAAAAACATAATTCCTCCTACCTTTTAACATTAGGTTCAGGGGGAAGACATTTATTAACAGATTAATTGTTAATTGTTTATGAGCATGTAGAACATGTATAACTTATGTTGTGAACGTGCATGCGTGTGTGTGTGTTTGTGTGTGTGTGTTTGTTTGTTACCTGCTCTGATCCCAATTGGAGGCAAACAAAATGAGGATTTTTCGGCCATGTTGGTCTGGAGTCTCCAGTACGCCTGGAAAACCATCCATCAGTGCCCGCTTAATACCTGGGTCATCAACCTGTAACACAATTTACTCCAATTAAGAAGCCCACTTATTAGGTGGCTGAGTATTTCAAGAACTATTGTAAACTTTTTCGGCCTCAATCTTTTTCTTTGAACAGTTCAAACAGACCTTGAAGCTCTGAAACATGTCAAGGTTCTGCTGTCTGAACTGGAAGTACTGGGCCAGCAGCCTGAAGGTTTCCACCTGGTCAAACTTTCTGGCTCTCAGGAAACGGAGGATGAAGTCATCATCGGTCCGCAGAAAACCAATGTCGGGCCGTGTGACAATCATGTCCCGGACCTTGATGTAAACACAGGACAAAACAAAGGCGGAGGCATCATTAAGTTCACCTTTAGCTCTACTGCAACATCTTCAGTGAGAAATGTAATCTGAAAACAGTTGAGTTAAAGCAAGACATTTTATGGTTGTCACATTGACAACCAGACAAAATAGGAAACTAACCTTGGACAACATCCCCTTAAAAAACTCTGAAAGCCCAAACTTTACTGTATATGAATTGGTGTTTGAAACACATGTTTTCTTAGGTTTAAGTAGGAAGCACTGGACTTTGGATGTGGAATTTTGGCTGCTGCAACTTGGTTTTATGGAGTCCGGCAAAAGCTAGTATTATTTGGATAAGAAGGTGGAGCTTGAGAGGAGTGAGCACTAAGCAAATGATAAATTACCAAAGTTATACAGTCAATGACCGATGTCACTTCCTTAGCTGACTATCATAATGGATCTAGCTAACTAGTCTAGTATTGTAAGCAGAGACCAAAATCTGCTAATAAATGCTAACATATAAATAACACAACCAGAAAATAATTGTAGTAAAGGCTTGTTATGCCGGGATCAGACAACACATTATATGCACCAATACAGCCTGATCCGGCAGACGTAGGGTTTGGCAAATCAATTGATTTATCCTTTGTAGTGTCATTATGAACAACAATCAAGGCTACATCTGGGATGCCTCATGACCTGCTGACAGAAAGACTAAAAATTTGTATTTTTTGTCTGCCTTCTACGATACTTTGCTGTCATATCCGTTATGTGACATTGACCAATGAGAGCACAGAATGCGCCGCACACGCAAAATTTACGGGTGTAAACAAACAAAATGGCCTAGCTAAAGCAGAATGATCAAGTTGGTGCTGCGAGATGGAACTATTAGACAGGAAAAGTTTGCCATGCTCTTGCAGCAACACTTTTTTTGTGTCAAATAACAGTATTGGGGTTCAGTTGGCATAAAATCACTTTTGGAGCTTGCCTCTAGCGGCAACTTGAGGTATTGCATTTCTTTTTTTGTTCTTCAGTGTTTGATTTATTTTACAGCCTTAAAAGTTTCATTTTGGCTTTGGGTTGAATATTACCATTAGTATGCTGACATTAGTTAAACATTGTAGGTTTTCAAACCTGCTGGATGTCCTGGTGCAGAGTGTCTGGGTTTTCATTCAGCTCTAAGCGAGCCTTCTCCGTCGTCTCTGAGCTCAGACCGGCGTGTAGATGGGTCATCATGGGGTCTCACTCTGATGTGGTTCCTAATGTCCAAAATGTGTTTCTTCACAGACTACTGACCCACAATCGGGAGATTGTTTTCCACTTTTTATGTCTTAGGATTGTCAAGTTTTATTCCAACTTCTGTAAATTCCAAGACGAAGATTTCCAGACAGTTCCTTTCTGCTGATTGATTTGTTGTACAATCTTCTGTGGCTCAGTTTTTTGATTTGGTTTTGAAACAGTCAGTAAAGTGAGTCTTTGACCTCTAAACTATAAAACAATCTTATTTGCTGTCTTTGTTTTTGATGTCTTTGATTTTAGATTCCAGATTTTTTTTTAAAGAACATAACTTGAATAGAACAGTTTCACCTCCTCAAAAAATCCCAGGGTTTGTCAGGAAGAGACAATCGTGGTCGTCTTTATCGGACTGTTGTCCAACAGAAACAGCTTATGAATGAACAATCGACTCTGCTGTCTACTTCTACATTATTGGAAGCTTTGATCCCTGTTTTTGGTTTTTGATGCTGAACTGAAACGCTGAGTATGCTGAAGAGTTTTAAAGTCACAAAACTTCAGTCATGGCATAAACGTGTTTTAATGGACAACACATTCAGGGTAAAAGTAAATGCCAAATCCACATCCTATTTGTCCGGATTTTCTCTCCGTTTGGCGTTTCACACCTCCCTCCGCCTCCTCCTGCTCTCAGTCATTTTTCAGAATTTGGTTTCAGGTTTTCATAAGACGACAATGATGCTCCACTTCGTCATGTTTGGCTGCTCAGAGCTGGAGGCTTAGTGATGATGATGAAGAGTCCTGTTGTTCTGCACAGAGGTTGTGACCCGTCAGAATAGAAAAAGGTCAGTTAAGGCAGATCGTCAAATGCCGAGGTCCTCAGCCTGATACAGAGAGGAAAGCACAGGTGACATACATGGCATTTCTTCAATGAGGCAGGTATCTCTGCTTCCAATGTAATTAGTATTTCTTGTTCTGCCGTTAAAAAAAAAGTGCACATTGTGTTTGACAGGCTGGTAGAATTTTTAGACAAGAGGAGGTTAACTGCATTGCCAAAAGGTTACATTATACATTTTCTGCCTATTATATCTACTAAATTGCACTTTATTGTAGTTTAAAATCAGAAAAAGGTGTAGCTTTTGCAGGTTCAGACAAAAAATAAAGGACATTTTAGCTTCCTACAATAGAAAATTATAAAACTCTAGGCACACAAGTTGGGTAATTTCTTATGTTCAATCATCAAAAATTCAAGCAACCTTCTACATACAGTCTAAATTAAATATATTGGCAGTGTTTCAGTACAAACAAATTTGTACAGTTTGGAAAATTATGTCGAAGTTTGATTACAATTTTTGATGGGTTCATTCCTCTACTAATCCTGCCCTGTTAAATAGATGACATTTTTTAAAGCTTCTGCATTTTCAAAACTATAGACCATTAAAATATTGGTGATTGTAACATGACATTTACTTCTTGCTTGTAAAGTCAGTAAACTAGAGGTATAATGCATGGGTTTGTGTTTCTGCTGCTGCTCAACCATTCAATCAATGGTAGTTTTTATCTTTTCTTTATCTCCATTTCATAATGGAGGTCTGAGCCTCAGATGACCCCCATGCCTTTCCACCATTCACCCCAACCCCCGCCCCCAACTCGACCCCATCTGCCGCTTGCATTAATTGTGTCAGATGTCCACAGAGGCACTTGAAGGTCCCTTGGGGCTGAATTTTACATTTCAAGCTCTGAGATTTAACATAAAGGAAAATAACACAACCTGAGCTGCCTGAATGTTACTCTGCTTATACAATTAGGTCAAATTTCTATGTAAAATCTCATTTTATTGATTAAAACAGTCTAATACTGACAGCTCATAATAGAAATGACACTTATAATGTGTAGGCAGTGTGTGCGTGTAAGTAGGCTCACCAAATGTCCTCACAAGGAGGCAAAAATGTAAGAACATCCTCCACAAGTGAGGGGATTTATCCGGGCAAACAGGTTCTGTACGTTTTAATTTAATTTAAAATGGAAATAATTTAAAATACCCACAGCTGAGGGAGCTGCTAGGTGTGCTGGTTGGATCCCGGCCGTCCTGGCTGGCCCGACGGCCCTCCGGTGGTGGTGCTGATGCTGGGGATGGTGGCGGAGGTGGCCATCGGTATCCCGCTGACAAAAGAGGTTTCTTTGAAAATTAAAAACCAAAACGCATAAAAAATAAATCCTTAAAAGAAACAAAATGTCCCTGAGGGAGTCAGAGGGGATTAAAGCCTGTCCTTGTGGATCCGTGTGGGCATCGTAACGTGTGAGGAGGACGATGATGCGTTTTCACTTTGTGCTCCGAGAAGACGTCAGGATGCTCCCAACTGACAAGTTTTCTACGTAAACAGTACGACGTCCGGTCATGACTTTCAAAATAATGGTTTAACCCAGCTGCGATTTAGTCACAGGCCTATTCCATGTGTTTAAATGAGCTCATATTGAAGTCAAAAGAGTGTTTTTGTTTTTATGAATAATGGGGGGATTTCATGCCTTTATTTGATAGGACACTGGATAAAGTTGGAAATCAGGGAGAGAAAGTGTGGAATGACATGGGGGGGAAGAGCTGCAGGTTGGACTTGAACCTGGGCTGCTGGCTACAGGACTACAGTATAGCCTTGGCACATTGGGCTCAACGTACCTACATGACCATCGGCGCCCCAAAAGGTAAGGTTTAAGTCTAACTTTTTCTTGAAGGGCTTCTTTTAAATATCATCTGCTCCTTTATTAATTATATGTAGGCCTTCTTAATTTGCTTAGTCTATGAAACAAATAGGTGCACAATCTTAACAAATATCAACACCATGTTTATCAATACTTAAGATAACATACCCACAGAAGAATATACATACATATATATTTATTTTTATATTTATTCTGAACTTTATACCAGTATGAAACATAGGCTATTATCTTTTGAGTTTTTTTTTTGTAAAATCTGTAGTTTATCAATTGAGATGAGCAAGAAATAAACCACTGAAGAGAATGTCATAAGAAAAAAACACATAGATAAACTAAATGACACAGACGCAAGCATACAAACTCATATTGACTTATACACACATCTAAATATATAAAAAAGAAAGTTGTGAAAATAATGTTTATAGTTTGAAAAGAATATTAATGTATAATAAAAAACAAAAGAAAACAGAATTCACATTTGGTTTGGTTGAGAAGTAAGGCGCTCTTATTTTGGAGTGTGTTTCCGGTCTCTATCTCATAAACGGTGTGGCTTTGCATTCTTGAACGCTCCAGTCTGTGTGACGGCAGCTGACGGCCAAGCGCGCTCACGAGTCAACCTGGACAGATTGTAGGTTGAGCGCGCACATTCAGAGGTTAGTACCATAGACTGTACACGGGTACACCGCGTGCACACATTTGGACCACAGGAAGTGGACTAAACACTATTTAAAGTATGCTATAAACGGTTTTGGTCAAACAAACGTTTTGACGTCACATTTTAATACCAATTTTCATGATTTGTATTTATTTATTTATTTATTCATCTTCAAGTGTACTTTTTTATTTAATTTTTTTTTATTTCAATTATATTTCCTTAGAGGTTTTCACGTCACACAAATCACCCTTTTATTCTGACAAAGTGTTTCTATATATTGTCAATAAGTATATTATCATCAAGTTGAAAAGTATTACTGTGACTAGAAAAATGACCATTCACCAAATGTTAGTTTTTTTAATTGACAAAATAGAGATTAATTTATAATAAAAGTAGTTTTTTTATTGGCAAATGTTGTGTTATAGTTCAGTGTGTTTTCTGTTAAAATATACGTTTTACACTGTTTTTGTCAAAGGGACATATTTTATATAAAAGCAATATAGTCCATGGGCCTGACCAGATTCCAGTACCACTCTGGTGGTCCCTTCATTAACAGCTGCCACTCAGGAAAGGCTTTCATACCAAAATGTAATCTACAGACATTTTCAAAAATTCTTACTATGTTTTGCCACCTTGAATGACACCAACAAAGGACAGTTTGGGCTCTGGCCCATGGACTATTAATTGTACAAAAACAACAAAAAAAAACATTTAACTGGCGGCTGCGACTTAAAAAATGTTTTACCCTAGGTTAATGTATTGATCAGTCTCACAATTAATCATTTTATTATATTGCGAGCCAGAAATCACAAATGAAACAAATAAAATAAAAATTCAGTCACTTCAGTTACACTACACAAACAAATCAAACACTGTACACAGTTTCACAGTCAGGATAGCTTTCTCATTTTTCAAAATGTTACTGATGAATTCAAGTGTTTGGATTAATTTTCCTAAACTTAAAAAAAAAAAAAGATCTTTTTATTGACAACACAGAGTAACACAACAGAATACCACGGAAAGACCCAACAGAAACAAGCGAAACATGAAACAAAAGGTTTTATAAAGGTTTTTTTTTTTTTTTTTAAAGCCTAATTTAAGTGACAATTTCACAAATATTCAATGTTTTTTCCACTATCCTATTTTTCAGTCCATGTAAGGAATGGATGTGTGTTTTTTTCTATTTTGATTTGTTGTATTTGTGGTATTCTTGTTGCCTCTGATACTTCCCTACTACTGTGATGGTGACGTACTACTGTGACGGCAGGTGACGTATTTCCGCTTGTGCTAAGGTTCAGCTCAGTCAGTTGGGAAACAAACACCTCACTGAAAGCTTCTCTACCTCCTTTCAACCTTTGGTTATTTTAAAAACCCGTTGTTACCAACTTTAAAATCTAATTTTCGTATCTTCACCGAAGTGTCTACAGCTGTCCACAGGTCGTGTCATAACGTGGGACGTCGTGTTTAAACTCGTTTTTCAGACACAGAATCTGACCTCAGAACGTGCTAACGTTAGCTCAGCAGCTAGCCACCATTAAACGTCGTATAAATCATGGATCAAGCGGTGGTCGCGGCACAAACACCAAAGGTAAGAAAGTCTCTCTTGTCATGTATACTTCTGTTAGCTCCTGTTTGTTAATACAAACCATGGTGACAGTCCTCTCAGGTATTTACTCAGCAGCTGTTGGTGCGATGATTGGAGATATTTTGAGTTTAAACTGTCAGTGTTGTCTTTCATGAGTGTAACTAATATCCCGGCTCACTCTTTCTTGATAGTTAACATATTGTGAAGTTCATTTCAGAACTACTTACATACTCATTCTGTTGTGTCATATTAAATATTAAAATTGTAATTTAACACAAAGAGATGACGTGAGTTTGTATAATGTTGTCTTTTTGTACATGTTATATGACGTCACATGGGGGGCGTGTCTTAGCAGGAACATGCCTGAACATGTCTTGAGTCTAAATTATGACTCAGTGTTTGAATTACCCGTTTGTTAGGATTATACATGACAACTGAGTCCCAGTTATGACTCATAGATGGCTCTGTTTTAATCCAAAATGTTGTTCTTTGTAAAGTGTGTTGTGTCTCTCTTTTTATTTCCGTCTGTAACTTTGTGTTTTTGCTGCTGCCTGTCTTGGCCAGGTCTCCCTTTAAAAAACAGGTTTTTAATCTCAATGGGACCAACCTGGTTAAATTAAAAAATAATATGTGTTGAACTAAATGATATAAATGGCATCCCCCCCCACGTCTTGACTTTCCTCTAGTCTTTACATTGTTACAATACAATATGTTCAACATTACTTTGTATAGGCTATTTAAAAATCATGTTTTCTATCCATTGTGGTGCTTTGTGTTTGTTTTTGTGTTGCATTAACTATCTATGATCTGTGTTTCTTTTGCACTATTCCCCAAGGCAAATTTCTCTTATGGATAGGGCTGGGCGATATGTACGGAAGAGGATTAGGGCCACACTTAAAAAAAGATCGAGTTCTGACTTTATTCTCAGAATTCTGAGTTTAAAGTCAGTCAGTTTTTTTATTTTATGTGTGGCCCTAATCCTCTTCCGTAGATATGCCCTAAAAATAAAATGTATCTTTTTAAAACATGTCGCTTCGAAACATGATAGGAATAGTATCAGAAAAATATCTACATTTTTGACATCCGTAGTTGGGATGATAATGTTTTTGTGTTATACGTTTCGTGTCATCTTTTTTTATTCTGTGATCACTGTTTGTACAGTTTACTTTTCATCTGCATTGAACTACATGCTCAACCTGTGGCTTAACCAGCTCCAGTACACCAAGCTAAACGTTATCGAGCCAAATGTATGAATGGATTAGTCGGTTAACCTGAATGTATATTTACAGCTTATATAAAGTAAAATAATGTAAGTAGTTTTTCACCTCACAACGTGAAAACCTTTTTAAGTTCTGCCTCCTTCATCAGCTGGCTTTTTTTTCAACATGTGATGGTCAACTAAAGAGGGCTTCTCTTTAAAAGTTAAGAATTCAAATGATCAATACAGAAGGTCCAAAGTGAACTCCCAATTTTATTTAGTATCAATTCTTTTTTATTTTTTTTGAAGCTGCACAGGCTTTAAACTTTACATTCTAATTTTGGGTTTTTGCGACTCCAAACGTTGCTAGCTAGTCTCAATTTTCTGTGGCATGTGTCTGTAATAACTAACAAAGCCAAACAACCTCAAATTCTACACCTGTTTAATTTGTTTAAAAGGTGGGAAGAATTTGTATTCAGAATAACATGTTTTTTTGTGTTTCCAGAGTCCGTGGGGTTCAGTGGCCCCGGCGGCTCCATCCTGCTCACTGGCTGATGTGATGAGTGAGCAGCTGGCTAAACAGCTGGACGATGAAAACAACGCCTTCCCGACACTCACCGAGTAAGTTCTTACCTGTGTGGTATTTATTTTTAGACTAAGTTAAAATGAAATAATCTGTGTTCATAAAGAAAATAAACAAATGGCAAGAAAATATAGGACTGACAATTAGTTGAAACTTAAACTTGTTGAGGCTTCAAGGAGGAATAAACATGATAGACGATCTTCGTGTCCTGAATAGCTCCTGTCTTTACTCATTTCTTTCTTTCTTTCTTTCAGTCCAGCAGCAGATCTGTTGCTGTCAGATGATGCGGGTGATACAACCAGTGACCTGATGCTCGCTCAGATGCTGCAGATGCAGTTTGACCGCGAGTTTGATAATCAGCTCCGACTGGAGGAGAAGAAGTTCAACGGAGACAGCAAAGGTAAAACTACAGCAGAGTGACATAAATAAAACACTTTTAATCAGGGTCCTAAATTTACTTACAAGTAAATTTACAAGTAACATTTGCGGGTTGATTTCCCGTTTTTGCTCTCCGCAACATACGTATGGGTTTGTACCAAAATACTCTCGTACTAGAGACTGACATGAGAGTGGGTTTTGACCTCCGTCATGAATGTTTAACGAGCAAACACACTGATAACAATAGCCTTGACTCGTTTATTTGTTATTGCATATAATTTTTGAATATTGAAACAGATGACAGTTGATCCATGATCCAAATACAGACTTACTTCTACAATTAGGAACGCACGTGATCCAGTCATACAGTTGGTTCGACTTTTCTTTGTCCACTCTCACCGTGTCTGCGTTTATCATGCAGGTTTCAGCTGTTCGCAGTGCGTGAGAACAATCTAAAAGCACGCTTACATTTAAAAAGAATATGTCTAACTAGTGCAGCACGGGCTGTGATACACTCACATCTACTAAATGAACGGTCTGCTTATGTTATGTGTTCAAGTTGTCAAACCTCAATCGTAGATGACATCAAATTTTTGTGAGGGTTGCCTGGGCACCATACCTTTTTAAATAAATAAAAAAAAAGGCCAGCACATTAATTTGTTTCCATTTCTTATAATCTTGATCCGATAAAATTATCTGATCCATGACTAGGATACATGTTGACATCAAAAACATAATGCCTTATAACCTCAATTAAACGTACTGAAACACAATGTGCACGTGACCCAAAACACATTTTGGAGCCTGCATATAATACTGCAAGTTTATTGAATTAATGCACTTGTTTAAAATGTGTGTAAAGACTATAGAATAATAAGAATGTCTTTTGTTTGTGTCCAGTGTCCATCTCTTTTGAGAACTACCGTATGGTCCATCCCTATGAAGACAGCGACAGCTCCGAGGACGAGGTGGACTGGCAGGACACGAGACACGACCCCTACAAAGCTGGTAAACATCTGCAGCGTGTTAGAAAACAAACAGGAAGCATTGATTTTTACTGCTTCCTCTGCTCGCCCTGCTTAAAAGTTTTGTTAAAGAATTCCAGAGAAACTTGAGATCTTTTTGTATAACGAGAGCACTAGTGGTGAGTTCTAAATCACTATCAGGTTAAATCAACACTGAAAGCCTAAAATTCCTACATACACAGATATTTACCATTAAGGTGTTTAAGAGAAAGTCCACAGAGTAACTCGCACATTTTAAATGTCTGTGTTTGATCAGATAAGCCCCAGACGACACCCAGGAGAGGCTTCACCGGCAAAGGCAAAAACATCACAACCAAACACGACGAGGTGGTGTGCGGACGCAAGAACACGGCACGCATGGACAACGTAAGACAACTTTTAAGAGGGTTGTCAAGATACACAAAAAAAAAACAGATATTTGTTCATGGTTCATCTATTTTGTTGCCTGTCCTACGCTTTTGCACCAAACATGCAACAGATTGAGTTGAAGATCTTTGTGCGTTTAAATTGTGCCATGTCATTTTATTCTGTCTTCCTGTTCCTCCTCCAGTTTGCTCCTGAGATCCACGTCGGTGACGGCTTGGGGATGGACCTGAAGCTGTCCAACCAGGTGTTCAACTCTCTGAAGCAGCACTGCCACAGCGAGCAGAGACGCAGCGCCAGGCTGCACGAGAAGAAGGAGCACTCCACAGCTGTAAGCACACAAATACTCGATTGATCGAAGATGCACATGAATCTTTGTTTTGCCGTCAAACTCAACCGCTCTCTCTGCAGGAACAAGCCGTGGACCCTCGCACTCGCCTGCTCATGTACAAGATGGTGAACTCCGGCGTGCTGGAGAACATCAACGGATGCATCAGCACAGGAAAAGAGGCTGTCATCTTCCACGCTAATGGAGGGAGGTGAGTGGATGGAGCAAAGTTGTCTTAAATCCTGAAGGATCATTTAAGGACAATCGGGCAGGGACGAAAAAAAAGGGCAAGAAACAGAGCTGTAGTTAAACTGGAAAAAGCATTTTGAATTCAGACATGAGTGTCAGGAATTTTACCTTTAGAAGAAAGGAGCTTCTTGTCTATACTGCCTTCCTCGATAGTGTTGTGTGTTATAAAGTGATACACAAACATGTTTTGTTTTAAGATCAGAACTAAACATTAGAAACAAAAAAGTATCAAAGGAACACAAACTGATTAAGCGATCAAAGCAGCAGTAGACCAGAAACACCTTTGTCCTGAGAGGTCAAACGAGTGTTTTTGTCAATGAAGTCTGGTGCCATTAAAGACAGCGATATAAGATTTAAGATTTACTTTTATTGATCCTGCGAGGGGAAATTTCAGTTTCTACACTTGCAAGTCATGCAACACACACATAGGCTGAAATACACACACATGCACAAACAGGATCCTATGGACATGCACTAATGGAGAGATGTCAGAGTGACGGAGCGGCCCCCGGCAGGCGCTCCTGAGCTAGTGGTGGGGAGGGGGTTTGGTGCCTTGCTCAAGGGCACCTCGGCAGTGCTCAGGAAGCGATCTGGTACCTCTCCAGCTACCAGACCAACTTCATATTTGGTCCGCGCAGGGACTTGACCCAAGTCCCTACAGACTGAGCTACTGCCGCGCAAATATAACCGCTCTGTAAGGATGTTGTCACTCAAAACAAGCACTTTGGTGGACTTTGTTAAATCAGGCACTTCATCCCTGAAGCATTATGTTATTACAGTCTGTCTGACGGCTGAGGTCTGAAAGCATCTACTGGAATAATCCCAAAACGTATTTTATCTTTTTGTCATTTAGACATGAAATGTGTCAAAATAAGAGCAAGGGGAGGAAATAGAAGTGAAATAGAAGTGTACCCCTCTAAAGAAACACTTGGTTCTTGTTGTCTTAACCAAGAGAAAGAGAAGAAACTCCTTAAGTCAGGTGTGGAACAGAGACTGGAAGCTGAGTTGAAGTCTCAGACTGCTTAAATTACTATTCTTAGATTATTTATTCTTCTGTGTGTTTCTGTGTGTGTGTCAGTCTGGAGGAGCAGCCCGTTCCCGACGAGGTGGTGCTGAAGGTTTTCAAGACGACACTGAACGAGTTTAAGAACAGAGACCGCTACATCAAAGACGACTACCGCTTCAAAGAACGCTTCAGCAAACTGAACCCACGCAAGGTCATCAAGCTGTGGGCCGAGAAGGAGATGCACAACCTGGCCAGGTAATTCCACCTTATACTGCCACGGCTAATATCAGCGCTGCCTCTTCTTTAAAGTACAACTACACTTTAGTACAACTCTGCTCTTTTCCTTGCCTGTCTCTGTCTACGTTAAATCTTGAAGAAAAAGAGTTATTTAAAATCGTATTAAAAAGTGAATAAAAAACTGCCAGCGTCTGAGCACAGACCTCTGATGTGAATGTGTCTGTGATCAGGATGAAGAAGGCAGAGATCCCCTGTCCAGAGGTGGTGCTGTTGAAGAAACACATCCTGATGATGTCGTTCATCGGTAAAGATCACGTTCCTGCTCCCAAACTCAAAGACGTCACGTTGAGCTCGGAGGACATGAAGAACGCTTTCTACCAGGTCCTACATGTGAGTACGCCGAACACCAGCCACACTTCCTGCTACAAGGCAAAGTCAAATAGTTTGAGACATTTCAATCTTTGAAACATTCCTAACTGCTGTAACGCCGATATGTTGGCAACGCTGTGTCATTATCCATTCAGTGCACCAGCAAACAAATTTCCATTCCACCAAAGAGGAAGAAAAGTGAAAGGGGAGGAAGATGTTACAAGTTCACAGCGAGATTGTTTTGTTTTTTCGCGCTGCGCTGCCATACAGACGTGCCCTTCACAAATAGCCATCTAATTAGTATTGAATTGACCCTAACAATACTTTGTCCTACAATTATAATCCCCTACACGGATCTCTGAATGATAGTTCCATGTTTGTATGTACTCTGAACTAACCGGACAACGGCCACCTGATGTCCAGCACCAACCACATCTGACCCGCCTTATTCTGCGTGCTGCAGCCAGGGGTTTATGTTGTTTTTTAATTTAACAACTAAATGTGTTTTATCTAAACTCTATGTTTTCTGTGTGTGCAGATGATGCAGGTGTTGTATCAGGAGTGTAATCTGGTTCATGCTGATCTGAGTGAATACAACATGCTGTGGCACGAGGGAAAGGTACCCACCTCTGTCTGCTTCACTTACTGTTTGCTACTTCTGGATTCTTTCCTCCTACCTCTTTATTATTCAAGTCTTCTGTCTTCTTCCCGTCTACTGTTTACCTTCGGTCTTTTTTGTTCTTTTTACCTCCTCTCCCTCTCTTGTCTTTTTTCATCCTCCTTCCTCTCCTCTCACATTTCCCTCCTCCTCGTTCCTTTTTTTAAGCTTCTGTTCAAACTGCTGAAGTTAAATTTGTTTTGTTCAATCAAATCTGTCCGAGAGACGCCCACCACAGTGTCATTCTAACGTCTTTGCGTGTGTGTGTGTGTTGTAGGTTTGGTTGATTGATGTCAGTCAGTCCATCGAGCCCACCCACCCTCACGGCCTGGAGTTCCTCTTCAGAGACTGCAGGAACGTTTCAACGGTAACTTTCTCATACCTTTTGAAGTGATTCACATGAAAATGATAAAAAAAGATGACAAATTCTGTTAAAAGGGAACTTTGGTTTGTTGTTGATAATATTTGTTTATAATTCTCTAATTATCTCTAAGTAAAACATTTAGAGTTAGTTTTACTATTATGATCCGATCGTTAAAAAAAGTACAGATTCAATTTATAAAAAAATAAAAACGAAAATACTGCATTTAGGATACCAGGTGACCAGATTCTGTCTTACTTTGCCAGGTGATTAAACTTCCATTAAGGTGTTTAGTTTTGCCCAAAGCACAGGAAATATATACCAGGGAGAAATGTTTTGAGTATTTTCAAGTTATATTGTTTTTTTTGTTATCTTTTTTGTTACCGTAATTGCTTGACATGACTGATTGAATAACCGTCTTTAATTTGGTGTGCGTGTCGCAGTTCTTCCAGAGGAGAGGGGTGAGCGAGGCGATGAGTGTGTACGAACTTTTCAACGCCGTGAGCAACCTGAACATCCCCGTTGGTGCCGAGGACGAGGCTGAGTTCATGGCCGAGGTAACACTCTAAAATATAAACTAAACCTTTTTTTTTTATTCAAGCTTAACTTTTAAGGAAAGAGTAAAAAAATAACAATAATTCTGCTTAGTCACTCAGTTTTCATTTAATGACATTTTATTGAGTTTTTTTACTTTGATGTATTCTCTATCTGTTTTGTTAAAATATAAATCTGGCTTCAATCTTTGTTTCTTTCTGAAAACAAATCCTATTAAAGGACAAAAATAAGAATACTGGAGGATAAATCTGGAAAAACACCAGACATATCTATTGTTTTAAAATACAAACAAATGCTTTTTAACAAAAAGGAGGAAATGGTTGATTGGTTGGAGATCATTTTCAGATGCAAAGTTATTGACAGTTTTTTTCTTTGCCACTGAAAAGTTCAGGCTGTTATTCTCTCTGTGGTCTCTTACAGATCGTGGTGTTGGAGAAGAGAAATGAAGACCACGTGCAGAAGCGAGGAAAGAAAACCTTCCCTGTCTCCTCTGAAGACTGCGACCCTCCTTTAGAACCCGACGCCGATGATTAACGCCCCGTCCAGCTCGCTCTCTCTTCACGACCCCGCCGTGTTGAAAACGCCGCAACTAGGAGATGAACGGAGGAGGCTCCTGGAGGACCCGGAGCCTCTCCCTCCAACTCTCCCACCACCCTTTTAACCCCCCACCCCCAACAACAACTGCCTCTTTTACTGAGGCAGGACGGAGCGCCTCCTCCTGGCTGCAGGAGGGACGAGTTTCACTGTGTTGGATGTTGAAGTCGGAGCGTTCTGGCTGCTGAGAGGCACCGACAGAGTTTGCTGAGGCTGAGACCTCATCTCTAATCCTCCTGCCGATACTGACCCACACTCTTTGTTCTGTTTTTCTTTTTTAAGAATCATGACCTCAGACAGACTGTATTGAGAATACAAACAAATGAATTTCAGCTTTGCTTAAACTCTCAGAGATTTAATTAAATTTAAACTGAAAGTTTGTAAAGATGGCCGCTGAGTCAGGCTGAACTTGAGGAACATGAGGGATAAACTAAGGTTGTCAAGGTAACGGATTTATAAACTTAGGTGTCGATATCTATGACCTTAACTAGAAACAGATCTGTTTCGATACCATGACAGCTAGTGCAAGTCAGAGGCTTAAGTTTCTCAAAGCTTCTGTACTATAATGCTATCAATCATAAACAATCATGAAAGTAATTGTAAATTTAAGTCATGTGGTATGAAAAAGTATCAAACATTTTGGCAACCCTGGGTTCAACTATCCAGAGGATAACAAACTCTTTCCCTTTTTCAGGGCATGGTAAAAGATACAATTAAAAGAAAGTCAGGTTTTATTCATCCTGTAGCAAGAAATAAACTAGTTTTAAAGAGGGAGGGAGGAAAAATTAAACTGTATCGATTCCACGTCAGCAAAAATAGCAGTCCTATTGGGTAATTTTGTGTTATCATTATCTCAAAATTGCAATCAAACTCCTGCACACTGTCTTAATTGCCAGTTGCCAATTTATTTGTGCAATTTAGACCGTGTGCAGGAGTTTCCTTGCTTCCACTGCTTATCACCTGTCTTAGAAAATAGATGTAGCACTCGTCGATATTATAGAAAGTTAAAAAAACAGGAAGAATCGTTTAAAAACCTGTTAAAAAAGAAGAAGAAAAGTTTTGAAGTCATAAAAATGTTGACCACCTTAGTTTTTCTCACAGTCATAATTTCTCAAAGATTCAACGATACTTCAGTCTGAATGACCAAAAAATGCATCAGGAAGTTTTTTTTCTTCCTATTTAAGCTAAAAAAAAAGGGAGATGCACACAATGGGAAATAATGGTTTTCAGACTTCTTAATAATTTGAGAATGGCTTTATTAATTTCTGATTTATTTTGATTCATTTTTTTTGTTCTTACTTTTACTCTGTCCATTTTTATTTGTAACTTCTGGGTCAGATTTGGAGGGAGAGGTGTGAGAAGTCGCAGCAGTTTGGTCCTGTGTGTGTGTGTGGAAGCTAAAGCAGGGGGTTGATACATATTTTGCTTACACTAGAAATTAAAGCAGAAAATTAACTGTTAGTAGTACTATCAGACAAATGCAAGTTAATAAGAGTCATGGCAGCATCATGTGTAGAAGATAAAGAAAAAACAATTGTTTGCCGTGAAAACGATCATATGTGTAGCTCTTAGATTGTATGACTTCATATCGAATAATCTTCTTTATTAGAGGTCTTTTCTGAGCTCAATGGCTAAAAACATGAGGTTTTCTTGTCAGTGCTGACACACTTGAACTCCTCACATGATGCTGGTTTTATGGTGGATTACTTCTCATAAATTGTGGTGACAATAAAAGATAAAGGTAAATGTGTTGTCTTTTTATTTGTTCATTAAATGTAAAAAAATAATAATTGTTTAAGATATCAGTTCAAGTCTCTTATGGTTGGTCATTTGAATAATATTTCCCTACACACGTGACAGTCATACAACCACATGACTCAGCAGCACTACAAAAGTGAACCGACTGGTTCCTTCAAAGTAAAAGATTAATCTTGTGTAAGGTTTCTGTAATTAAGAATTGATAACGTTATATATATATTTTGTATTCATTGATTCGTTTTTGGGGTTTTCAAATTGTCAAGGAATCATTAAAAATACAGATTGGTGTTGTCGAAAGTCCACGATCATGTCTTTAAATGTCTAGTTTTATGCAAAACCCCAAAATATTCAGCTTGCAGCTTCAGAAACAGTCTTGTTTTAGAAAAATAATAGTGTTAAAATTGCTCAAACTCATTTATAAGTTACCAAGAATCTTTTTCTTTTGTGAAGTTTTACTGTGAAGAGCAAAAACGGAAGTGTCTTGTTTTCAGCCTTACCTTGATCTTCTGCGCGTATCTTCTACCAATCACAGTCCGCGTGTCTAAACACAACCAATCCAAGTCAACGACGGCAACGAGAACTAGCCAATCAAACGCGGAGTAGGGCGGGTCTTGCGTCGCCAAACTGACTTTACGTCCCGAACTCTTCCTTAGCCTTGGGAAATCTGTGAATTGAGGCTAAAACGGGAATAAAACACGTAGAGTTTGTTGTGAGGATGACTGAGGAACATTATCTAGAACTCTGTGAGAACCCGGTGCAGTTTGAACATGCCTCCAGTGTCAACAACGTCTTCTTCGACGAGGCTAATAAGCAGGTGAGCTAGCTGGTTAGTTAGCATTGATGTTGCTGACTTGAACTAATCAGAGTGATCAGCTGACTGTTTGTTCAAATTAACTTTATTAACAGCCGTAAACAACACTTTGAACCTCTAGTAGGATGTTTACTCTCTTTGCATTGTACTGGTTAACGTGACATGACCATTATCTCTAAACCAGGAAGTCCAACAGGGAAGCTTTTTGTAAACAAACAATAAAAATAAACTTAAAGTTAATAAAAAATAAATATACAGTAAACTTTTGATGATGATTTAACCAGAAAAGTCACATCACATGCTTAAAATGATTAAGTCTTAATTAATAAATTCTTATATAATGATAATAACAATAACTTGTTAATCTATATGGCACCTTTAAAAACAGATGTTTACAAAGTGCTTTGATAGACAAACAAACAAAAGTGAACTCAGGATAATAACAGAATAAACAAATAGAGAGTAGTCTACCAAACAATAACAGAACAATATGAGATCAAGAAGAGGAAGACAACGTAACAGAAAATAAAAACAAAATAGTGATGGTAAAAGGATGAATAAAAGACGTAGTTCAATAAATAAATAATATATAAAAACAGAGGAAACAACACCAACCCATTTAAAAAAGAAGGATTAGGAATAGATAAAAATATTACAATTTAATAAAGGATTTGTTTAAAAAAGATCACATCACATAAAGCTAGTCTGTTAATGTGAGTTTTAGGGTTTGTTTTTGTTCATTACTTTTTAGAGGCGCTTTTGGCGGCATTAGATCTATATGGGATAAAAGATGTGAAAGAATCTGCAAGCCTTATCTCCTCACAGGTCTTTGAAAAGGTCGAGGGGCCTCATTTATGTATCTGTCATATACATCTGTCAGTCACTGTATATATATATATATATATATATGTGTGTGTGCATGTTACAAGAAATTCTCCTTGTAAAATATTCTATGTTGGGTTAAACAAAAAATATTGAAGGATAATTCTCCCTTGGTGGACAATTAAGTGATTCTTCTGGTTTTTAAATATTTCTAGTTGTATTTTTGTGTCCTTCTTTCATGTTGTGTTTTGTTTCTGCAGGTGTTCGCGGTGCGTTCAGGTGGAGCCACGGGGGTGGTGGTCAAAGGCCCGGACGACAAGAGCAGTGTTGCCTTCAGGTACCTGAGTATCTGGGGGCATACGTTGATGGGATAAACATATCAACTGTTTATGTGATGAGATATATATAAATGAATAGATGGAAAGAATGCTAATGCTAATATGGTGTAAAATGAATAATTATTCAAGTAAATCTGTGCACTATTGGATGGAGGCCTGCGTCTATCGGCCGTCCTTTCAAACCATTCTGACGCAGTCATAACCTTAAGCTGTCTATCAGCTGCTCTCACATTAAAAAGTGCCAATGTAGCTGTGACAACAATTCTTTTTGGATTTACTGATTGTGTCGATTTGTATCGATTTCTGATTGTTATGTGAGGTATCAATATATTCCCTGTGATAATAAAAAAACTTGTATCATGTAATGTGTCCCTCCACAGAATGGACGATAAAGGAGAAGTGAAGTGTATCAAGTTCTCCATCGGAAATAAGATCTTGGCAGTTCAGAGGACTTTAAAATCTGTGGTAAGTTTCGCTCTGCAGAGTAAAAATGTATGCAGTAATGACATTATAAAAAAAAAAAGGAAATCACCACCAAATGTATGTTTTCCAAACAAACAAAGGCTTTGGAAATATAATCTTAGGACAAACAAGGTCAAGCCAGGAGTTAGATGTATTCAATATGTGAAGAAACATGAAGGAACTGCTTATTGAAGCTGAGGGGGAAAACTCTCAACATGTTTTTTTTTTTTTTTTTTTTTTTTAAGGATTTCATCAACTTCATCCCCGACTATCCACACACAGAGTTCACCCAGGAATGCAAGGTATGCTACATATCGAATTCTCTTCTGAATTTTGAAAGGGCTCTCCTTCCTGTTCACTGACGGTTGAAGTTTTCAGATGAGAAAAACTGTATTGATCTGTGAAGAAGGAGAGGTAGAAGCTGATATATAAAGAGCAGCTGTGTTACGGTGCTTGAAATGTCGTTTTTTTTTGTGCTTTTTGTTCTGCAGACGAAGAACGCTAATGTTTTGGGTTTCTGTTGGACCACCTGGAACGAGATCGTCTTCATCACCGACCAGGGGATTGAGTTCTACCAGGTAACAGAACATCATCGTTTTTGGTAAAGACTGAAAGTGAAGTGAATCCAGTTCAAGGTTATTTAAAGCTGCATTCCTTCTAATCTAAGTTCTTTTCATCATTATACAGAGAGGCCCTGAAATTAATGGACAAAAACCTGTCTGGCGTCACTGCCACATCGGTTTTTCTTTGGTGTAACATGCAGACTTCTCCAGGGCCATGTAGTATGGACGCAATTAGAAAAAAAAGACATTATTTTAATGTTTATTAGTTTGTTTTGGGCTAGGCATATCGTTTGTAAATGACACTATAGAAAGTGAAATCAAACAGCCGTCTTTCGTGTTGTGTGTAGAACGTCACAGAGCTGACACAGCTGACAGTGAGTCTTGTGATCGGGTTTTTCTCTTCAGGTGTTTCCAGACAAACGAAGCCTGAAGCTGCTGAAGAGTCAGAGCATTAACGTGAACTGGTACCAGTACTGTCCGGAGACCGCCGTCATCCTGCTCTCCACCACCGTGCAGGGAAACATCCTGCAGCCCTTCGCCTTCAGGGTCAGCACACACACAGTGAAACACAATTCATCTGAACCATGTCATGTTTCTGAGCTTTGTTATGTTAGTAGATTTAATATCGTTTATACTGGCTCACAGTAGGCTCAGTTTTCTTACCCAACATGATAAAAAATATAATTCACTATTGCTTGAACAGGTGATAACTGAACCCTTGTGACTTTGTTTTATACAGTGAAACTCATTCTAACTTACAGTGCAGGTTTAAATGTTTGTATTTGTACATCACCTTACGGTTTGTTTGTTTGTTTTTTTCAGAATGGGACCATGTCCAAGATGTCCAAGTTTGAGATCGAGCTGCCTGTTGTACCCAAACCTGCCAAACTCAGCTGTCGGAAAGAGACATCGCCATGGCAACCATGTAGGTTGTCTTGATGCTGATGTCCATTGTGGATTGACTTCTTGATCTCAACATTTCTCAGATTCATCTTTATTTCTCTCTCTCTCTCTCTCTCTCTCTCTCTCTCTCTCTCTCTCTCTCTCTCTCTCTCTCTCTCTCTCTCTCTCTCTCTCTCTCTCTGTCTCTCTCTTTCTGTCTCTCTGTCTCTCTCTCTGTTTCTCTCTCTCTCTTTCTCTCTCTCTCTGTTTGTCTCTCTGTCTCTCTCTCTCTCTCTCTCTCTTCTCTCTCTCTCTCTCTCTCTCTCTCTCTCTCTGTGTCTCTCTCTCTCTCTCTCTGTCTCTCTGTCTCTCTCTCTCTCTCTCTCTGTCTCTCTCTCTCTCTCGCTCTCTCTCTCTCTCTCTCTCTCTCTGTTCTCTCTCTCTCTCTCTCTCTCTCTCTCTCTCTCTGTCTCTCTCTCTCTCTCTCTCTCTCTCTCTGCTCTTCTCTCTCTCTCTCTCTCTCTCTCTCTCTCTCTCTCTCTCTCTCTCTCTCTCTCTCTCTCTGTAGTTATGGTCAGCTGTTTGTCATGTATCTGAAGCATCACTCCAGAACAGCCAACAGTCCCAGTGCAGAGGTAGTGCTGTATCATTTACCAAGGTAAAAACACACACACACACACACGTTGGCATTTTGTTGTTTATAACTTTTATTTGTTTGTTTTTGTTTTTTTTATGTTCAAACTGCTTCAAACCAATTAATAATGTTTGAATTGAATTGATTTTTCTTCCTGTCCTTTTTCACTTTCTTGCGAGACTGGCTGTAAAATGTATCTATGTATAATGTAAATGCATTTGAAAAGTTCTGATACTTAAATTGAAGCCGTCTCATTTACCACTGTCTGTTTTTGTGTGTGTGTTCAGGGAGGGTGCGTGTAAGAAGAGTCACGTGTTGAAGCTGAACACGACTGGAAAATTTGCTCTGAACATCGTCGACAACCTGGTGGTGGTTCACCATCAGAGCACACAGGTTTGACCTTATTTTTAATGAGAGCGAGCAGACCAGGAAGCGTCACCATCCCGATGTACAGCTCACAAACATGGCTGCAAACATCATCACAGCCAGGATTTCACCTATATTCTTTTTCTGTCTGTGTGTGTGTGTGTGTGTCTCAGACATCTCTGATCTTCGACATCAAGCTAAAGGAGCCGGATTGTGCCGTCAACACACACCAGCCTGTCCTCCCCGCTCGCTCCATACACCCCTACAGGATACCACTCTCAGGTACTTAGTACACACACCGTCAGACACACACATACACACACACACACTCACACAATTAAAAGTGATCTGTTCTATTTATCTTGAATCTTCCATTTCCAGGTCCGGCTGTGGTTCCCTCTCAGCCTCCTGTTCCCTGTCAGCTCTGTATCCTTTCCCCTCTAATACAAGTTTTACGGTATTTTATTTTTTCAACTCTAGAAGCGTAGTCGTCTGTTTTTTTGCGTGTATTAAAAACTTGTTATCATGTTGGCCTTTAACCATCACTGTAGACTCTTCCTCCTGGAGCGTCTTCCAGCCTGAAATCATCATCAGTGCCAGTGAAGGTGAGGAAACAGACTCCAGCATCCATACCGTATTACCTTTAGTTTGAGCATTTAAGTACTTCAGAGGGTACTGGCATACTTTTATTAAAGACAATCTGTTTTATCTTTTCCCTGCTTATAATCAATATTTGACTGTTTTTATGAACAAGGACTTGTTTTGAGCTCTAAGTTTGTTGTTTGTTTCCTTTGCAGTAGACAGAAACACATTCTTTGGGAACCTGTAGTGGGAAATGTGTTCAGCTTCTAATGCAGCGCTCTTATGTTGCTGCTCTCATCTTGTGGCACATGCGTGTTACTACAAAATACAGAGGGGCAAAGATAATGAACACAAAGTCACCTTGATGGGTGATCCAAAACCAGCTGATATAGAAAATTGCATCATTTATTGTTGAATTTATCAGATTAATTGGCATGCAGAAAATTTGACAGAGATCAGGAGAGTATTCCCTCTGGATTTTTACCTGACCTGCATTTCAGGCTCGCCTCTACTTTATTTGTTTTGGTCCTCTGCAATGGGCTCTGGCAATGGGATTTAGGATCAGGCTTTTATTTTAGATCAAGCTTTTATTTGAGGAAATAAGGTAAAGACACACATGTTTCCAGCAGCGGATGTTGTCTGCCCTGATCAGTGAATATCAGTCATTTAAAAAAAATCTCTCCCTCTACCTAAATAATCAAGGTAAATAAAACGCTCTTATGCAGATACATATAAAATGTTTTACATGACATTGGATCTAAAAGTTTCTGAAACTGGGAGTTTGAGAACAAATCTTTAAACAAATTTGCATTTCATAAATATGAATATTAAAACATGAAACTTGAAGAATCTCTCTCTCTGTCTGTTTCAGGGTATTTGTGGTATTTGCAGGTGAAGTTGCCTCCAACAGTCAACCTCCTGCAGGACAAAGGCAAATTGATGGACTTCCTGTTACGACGGCGAGACTGCAAGATGGTCATCCTGTCCGTCTGCTCTCAGAGTACGTCTGTCTGTCTTACTGCTTTCTCTCTTCAACAAAACTCCTTTCCCAAAGTCTCGGGGTGAGCTGCATGTGTGAATACAAACAGACACATTTTTGCACTATTTTTCCAGAGTTTCTCCTGCCAGCTTCCTAGTAATTTTTCAGCAAAAAGCCTGAGTGAGCTGATGTGAGAACATAGCAGGATAGAATTGGGAAAATTCAGCTCGATTGAGTGGGAGAGGGTGGTGACATTTAATTCCTGCGATCGATGCACTACCACAGACTGTCTGCAGGCGGTGATATGATCTGTGTGCACATAATTCAACTGCTGCGTTATGTTTTCTGTTTTCCAGTATGTTCTTCTTCACTCTTTGTTGATATTGTTATTCTGTTGAACTACACATAGAATTGACATAAAGGCAAATATTCTCATTATAGTGTCGTACATAGGACTCTGTTGCTTCAATAAAAAATGTAAACAAACTCTGACATTAAAACTTCAGAGAAATTAAGCAGAAATGTCCGTCTTGTTCTCAGTTCTGGAGGGCGGGGAGAAGGGAAGTCTTCCTGTTGTGGCGACTGTGTTCGACAAACTGAACCAGGTGTATAAGGAGTACCTGGAGGCGGAGCAGACCTACACTGTGGTGAGTGACAATCCTACACTTATTTGACTCCGTAAAATTTGAATATTTGAGGTGTTTGTATATTTGTATGTGTTCGCAGGCGATGGAGTCCGGTCCGAGTCGAGGAAACTCTGCGCAGAAACGTCCGGTCAGAACTCAGGCGGTCATCGACCAATCAGACATGTACACACACGTCCTGTCCAACTTCACAGAGAGGAAGGTAATAAATAATAATAATGATTATAATTCTAATCCTTTGTTTCCAGCAGAAAACAGTCAAATTCAAAATAACAAACCAAACTGCTTTTAGAGACTGAAAGAAAAGAACAATACCGAAAGAGAAAATGATTTGTCTCTTTATTCTGCAGGGAGTCTCTCATAAATTCATCATCGCCGTGCTGATGGAGTACATCCGCTCTCTGAACCAGTTTCAGGTCACTGTTCAGGTAATAACACACTTCCCTCTAACATATTTAAATACTGAGGATGCAAAGGTAATGCCAATGCTTTCAACTTTGACTTTAACGTTAAATTATTTCCACCTACAGATTTGAGATTTTGGTTCTTTAAGGTTTCTGTGATCTCTCACAAGCTCTCCTAAATCCATGAACTGATTATGACATCATTTCACACAAACGTTTCATTAAAAAATGAAGATGGTCTGGTTTGTATTTTTCAGCATTACCTGTACGAGCTGGTGATCAAGACGTTGGTGCAGCACAACCTCTTCTACATGCTGCATCAGTTCCTGCAGTATCACGTCCTCAGTGACTCCAAACCTCTGGTGAGTTCACACCCAAACTCACAAAAGTAGTTCAGTCTGAATCCTAAGCAAAAGATTTTAAAGTCATAATATGCCACAGAAGAAGTGTGAAACAAGGCCTGTAACATTTGATCATATATGTGAATTATTTTTCAAAACAAGAAGTCAGACCTAAAAAATGACAAAACTAATAGTTGCAAGCGATGAAACAGATTAAATCACTGAGAAACGATTTCAGCTCAAAAAGATGAACATATTTTTTCAACGGTAAATCAAAACTTTTCTTCAAAAAGGTCAGTCTAGTTTGTTTTTGCAGTTTGTGTTTCTCTTATTGTGAGCATTTGTGTTCAGGCTTGTTTGCTTCTATCGCTGGAGAGTACGTATCCTCCTGCTCACCAGCTCTCTCTGGACATGTTGAAGGTATCAAACACAAGAACATGATGATGATGATGATGACAAAATTTAAATTCAGTCAATTTGATTTATTTTCGTGCGTTTTCAGCGTCTCTCCACAGCCAACGACGAGATCGTTGAAGTTCTGCTGTCAAAGCAGCAGGTTCTGGGCGCGCTCAGATTCATCCGCAGCGTCGGTACGTTGATGTTCAAATTCTATCCCAAGAAAAATCATTTTTGGGGCTATTTTAATTTATTTAGCTGTAACCAATATAGATTATTATTTGAAAGATCTAAAACTGGTTTTCTCAGGTGGCCATGACAATGTTTCGGCCAGGAAGTTTCTGGACGCAGCGCGGCAGACCGAGGACCAGATGTTGTTCTATACCGTGTTCAGGTCGTTCCAGCAGAGGAACCAACGGCTGAGAGGAAGTCCAGGCTTCAACCCGGGTGAGAGAAAACACAACATCATCTCAATTTAAATCCAAGTACAGTTTTACTGATGGTGGATATTACTTTTCACTCATCAAATGAGTGAAATCAGTCATTTGGAGGCGGAGAGGTCTCGTTCTTTTCCATCACTGTGCTGACAGGGAGACGCTGCTGTCAGTGCGGTGGCTTAACTACGGTGCACTTAAAGGGACAAAATAGCACAGGATTAATGCCATTAGATAAGTGAATGCTCTCATTTCAAATAGATATTGGGTTGTCAGCTGACGGCACTGTTTAAAACGTGTACTTCTTTCTGTCTGTGTCTCCAGGAGAGCACTGTGAGAGCATGTGGTTCACTTCAAGCAGCTGTTTGGGGATCAGGCCCTGATGAAACCCTCCACAGTGTGAACACATGACGCAAAAACACACAGAGACTGTAAACTGGATCACATCAGACTGAACAGAAGTTCAGGAGATGAACCAACATGTGGAACAGATCTGAATACTTTGTACATAATAACATAATTAAGGCTAACACTTTATTTAATGTTTTCTTTTGTAAATAATAATGTACTAAACTAAATTGTTTCAAATGATCATAGAAACATGAGTAAATGCTCTGTTTAAAAGATACAGTGTGATTACATTTTAAATGTTGATGTTTAAACGGCCTTCTGTACAGATAATAAAAACTACAGATGTGTAAACATGTTGTGTCTGTGGTGCATTCACATGCCTGTGTGATAATTCAACATATTCAGGGTTGTGTTTGTTAGAAGGATTATATTTATATTATTTTTGACATAAATATTAAAACTGATCAAGAGTTATTTTAATAGTTTGCGCATGATGTGACTTAAGTCAATTTTTAAATGTTTCAATACCAAAAACCAGAAGTACCACAAACTGCAGTTATGTAAGTGTCCACTTGAGGCTGGCACCAAAAGTGAGTCAATCCCCATAGACGTTCATGTTAACAATATACAAGTATTTCACATGTTTACAGACAATATTTGTATTCTATTCATTTATATTGATATTTTTCTGGCTTTTTTTGACATTGTATGTTAGTTAAACTTTTTGGATCCTTTATGGATATATATAAAATATATTCTTCATTAATTAACACATTCTTCAAACATTGTCTCATTTTTTAAAACAACTTCAATATCTCTCCCTTTTATCATCTTATTTGTATCATCCATTGTTTCATCTTACTGTATTTTATTGATTTCATATTGATGTACATTTGTCTCTAATTTGAAACATCTTTGAATCAAGAACGCATGAATAACATGGACTGCCATCTTGATAGTTGAAGAGAGAGAGAGATAGTGATCCTAAACATGGAAGATGAAGAGGAAGGTGATGAAGATGGCTGTCTCAACAAGCTGTATTCAAACTGTAAGTTAACTATTTAAGATACTTCAGTTATGTGCTGTGTGAAGAGATCTGATTTGTCGTGTTAACTAAAGTTTGCAGTCCACTGCTAGCTAGCAAGATTCAGCTACTGTTACCATGGAAACGCAAGAAAAACAGCAGCTGTCGTGTTTTTTTTTCAAAACTGAAAGATTTTGGTAAGTCAACAGCAGCTTTTTGTGGTGATTAGCTTGTGATTGTTTATGGTTGTTGTTTTGTAGTTTTTAATTATTTCTGGCCTGTTTGTGTAACCTGGATAGTGTGTGTGTGTTTCAATTCTACATCTGGTGTTTGTGTTGGGGGGTTACCAAGGTTACCAGGGTTACCAAGGAAACGGACAAACTAACTATCGAGTTCATGTTTTGCTTTATTGTGAAGAGGTGGGAGAGAAACAGTCGAGGTTTATACAAGGAGCAAAACAAGCCCAAAGTTTCTTATAACAAGCGGACTTGGCAACACGTTTGGGTGTTCACATGAATTATTCAAATCAAATGTGATTTGAAGAGTTGAAGAACAAAACAAAACAAAAAAACATTTTTCATGTATTTACCTGCCTTTTGCATCTTCATAAGTCTTAAAAACACAATAAATGATGAATGTAGTGGAGTAGATGTAATGGCTGCAGGCTGCAGCACAAATACTCTTATATTTTCTGATGATTTAATTATTTCGACTTCATTTGACATTTGCAAGAATCATTTTTGGACGAATTTATCTTTGACACAAGACATTTTTCTCTCAAATTAAACCTTTGTCTTCATGAGCTGCAGAGCAGTATGTACTTTACCCGCTAGAGGGAGCTGCAGTATAACAATTAGCATGATGCACATTTCCTCACCTGCCAGGTTGAGTAACATATCTTTTAACCCCGTGAAGAGGATTTCTTTTTTCTTTCAGCAAAGTTTGAATATTTCTGAATTTTCAAACGGATGTCTTCGCTTCAATGCAACCCCTAACCCGCAAACAGAGTATAAATGTTTTGCATCTTATAAATTACAAAAACAGAATGAAAACGATCTCTCAATGACAGGGTTAAATAAACTGCAGAGGTGAGAAGTTACAGCTGTGCACGTAAACTTGTGACCCTGCTCTTATCTGATGTCTGAACAGGAGAGAAACTTGAGCTGAAATTAAAGTGGCTTACACGGGGAGGATTATAAAGAGCTCAGAGCACAGTGTAAAAAATCCTGTCTATGAAATAGTGTCTTTAGAGGTGATTTAACAGCAGACACTCTAATCTAAGATCAAGGTTCACACTATTCTTATTACTATGACTCAGCTTTTCCTTTATGTGTTAAAGTTTTCTTAATAGGAAAAATCTAAACTAAAGCCGGTTGATGGGAGAGACCTCTTTTTGAAGTTTTGCATGAAATCAAAAGACCCTAAACAATCAGGAGCATTTAAATGAGTTAATGATGTTCTTACTGCTTCATATTGTTGGTTTAGACTTCAACATTCACACTAAACACATTTTATCAGCCGAGATGTTCTTTGTAAATCCTGTTTCACAGGTGAAGTGAAAGGTTTCTTAGAGTTCATAGAACTCCAGTCAGGTCTGGTATGTACTTTATTTTGTAGAAAACCACATAAGCTATTATCTTAATAACAATGACAACATTTCCTCCTAAAAAAAAAATCACAATTCCGGTGTTTAAGATTTTCTGCAGACAAACACGAGGAGACTGTTGTACACCTCACACTGTGGACCCCGCGGCATGCTGGGAAATAATGTATCACAGTGGGAGGTGGACAGCAGACAGTAAAGCAAGATGTCTGGAAATGACTGGCATTTGAACTGGAGTGTTATTGGGTTTAATAAATAACGCTTGTTACTTTCATTTAAAGATAATTATTGTTGTTAATATCACCTCTGAGTTTTGAGTTCTTGACAATGCAGCTTTGTCAGATGGAGTCAGCGCCTTAAAAGTCTTCATTGTAAATATTCTGAGCATCTTTTTAAGCTTTTTTAAAAACGTAATCTCACTTAAGTCACAACAATTCCTAATTTCCTATCGGTTAAACAGACATTTCAACTCAGCCTAACCGACTAGTCTAAAGGGAAGAAAACACTCAGAAAACACTCAAAATTAAGCACAATATATTCAAAATTGTCAGCGGGAGAACAATCTAGTTTGGTTTGCAGAGTGTGGATTTCGTGAGCAGTTTAGCACCGCCAGCCTTTGGTCCTCCCTGCAGCTTGACGTCCATGTGCTTGTGCTAAATGTGATGACACTTTGCTCAGGTCGATAAGCCAGTTTAACTTGACGCAGCCCTCGTCCAACTTTATCGAACTTTTCTTAACCAAAGTAGTGCCAAACATGCTCCTACGAGCCGCTAGCAGTTCACCGACATTGAAGGCCAAAATATGAATCATTCTTTTAAACAACTAATGTTTCTGGTTTCTAGCGAGGGTGACAATGTTTAACCATTTAATCGACTAAACGCACACATCCCTCGTAATAACAAGACAATAATGTGATCACCAACTAACCTCTCATGTACAATGGGTTCACCAACAATTGCCTCCAAGGACAACCAGTTAAAATGTCTAAATTCATATTCAATAAATACATGTCATAGAGAACTTTCACTTGCAAACATTTGATGATTTCAGTGAGGTAATGTGAAACTTTCACAGTTATAAAATGTCGTAATGAGGCATTTGTTTTGTGTGGTGTTTTCTGTTTGGCCTGTAAATTTATACTTTTCTCATGATAGGCTTATAAAAAGTCAAGTTAACTACTCTACTTCTTGTTAGTTTGACAGACAGCAGAATACACAATATGCATTCTAAGGTCTATACTTAACCAATAGAGGGCGCTAAACAACGGCAAGGCAGAAAGTTCAATCTACAAGACAAACAGGTAGAGATTTGCAACACCAAATAAAATCCTGAAAAAAACAGAGATACAATAAGCAAACATTTTGAGTCAAAAAGTCTAATAAAAAAGTAACTATTAGTGTCTTAAAAGTTAAAAGTAGGCTAGAAGACTCTTCCCAACACATCAGGATTTCCCTTTGTTAACTTAAGAGAACAAATCATGAAGAATGAGCTCCAACGATGACTTGTAAAGGTTTGTCCTCTCATGATGAAAAATCTGAATCAGATCACATTAAATCATACACAGTCTGAGAGGAGACCCTACATCCTCACACTGAATGAAAGGCGATCAATACTGACCGTGTGTGTGTGTGTGTGTGTGTGTGCGTGTGCGTGTGTGTGTGAGAGATACCAAGTGATCATATTTGTGTGTCCGCGGTCACCACAGCGCGAGACCGACGGGAGTTAGGGCGTAACCTCGCGATACTCCCCCTTCTCTCTCTCCCTATTTCCAACTCGCTCTCCTATCTCTCTCCTCTCGAGTCCAGGGGGCGATCAAGCGGCGGGGATGCTGAGAGCCCGGCCGGTCAGCCCTACCAGCCTACCGACCTACCGACGCACCGAAACGCAGCGGAACAGTCCCGACTGACCGAAAAACTTTTTCCTTTCCTTAAATCTTTCTGAGAGGAAAAACAGAAGAAAGAATACAAGCAACAGCTGGAGCTGCGAGAGGGAAGTTCTTTTTTTTTTTTTTTTTTAATTATCACACCTGAGAGAGATGAAGAGAAATTAAAAAAGAGGAGGTTGAGGAGTGTTTTTTCGGGATTAAGTGAGAATAAAACATCATCTGAAGCCGATTCTGGGGGATTAAAAGCGGCTGAAGTTGAAAGATGCGAGAGGAACCGGAGCGGACGGAGTGAAGCTGCCCGGTGCGCACTTTCCCCTCCCCGGCTTCACTGACGCGCGACAGTCCGCTTCCTCCTGCCGGAGGGACGCGTCTGCGCTCCTGTCGCTTCTCATCATCTCCATATCTGATCCGCCGTACTTGGATGTAAAAACACCAAGAAAAAAAAAAAAAGCTTCATCTTCTCCTTCTTCCTCCGTCTAAACACTTTTGTTTCCTGGCGTTACGCAGAGTTTTGCGCTCATGGATCGGCCACTTTGTGCCTCCTCTCCGGATGGGATTTGGCAGCAGTGAGCGGGGCGCGGTGGAGCGGTGATGGTGTGAGGAGAAATTTAAGAACTCGCAGTTTTTAACGCAGGAGTTTCACATGTGAGTACATGCGTTTATTTGTCTTTTGTGGAAGAATAATTTGTGGGGTGATCTCTGACCTTTCAGAGCCACTTGAGTGTAACCAGCTAGAACACCTGAACACAAATCATTCCTGTCAACAAGACACATTTCTTAGTTAAATTAATTTTCCTCCGGAGACTAAAAACAAACACTCTCAGTGAGTTCAGGCACGT